TCACTTTCCTCCTCTGAAACACTAAAAACCTGGACATTGTCAGACCTTGGTCGAGGGATCATTCTCTTACCTATTATTCTTCGAGTATGTGCCCGCCCCGACTGGTTTCACCCGAGATTCCTGCTGCGGATTAAAAATATTATACCACATCTCTTTCCAAATACCGAAAATGTGTCCTCGGCCACAGATGTGGCTGGTCCGTGCTTGTGCAGAGATCGCATTGACAACCACCCTTATCTCAACCAGCCGCGCGTTGCCTCCTGCACTGGTAAATGCAAGGATTACTCACAGCCGCGAATCTTTCAGCATTTGGTGGTTACAGCTTCAGCCATGACTGATTCAGAGCTACAGGCATTCAGCATCCATCGGTCTGTATCTGTGGTATTCGCTGGCCAGTTACCTAGCTAACATGAAGCAGGAAAACTGCCACATGATTATAATAAGAAGCATAATAAAGATAAATGGTTTAAGTATCTTGGGGTGCCAGTTGTTCATGCTGGCTTTCATTTTCATACATTTGCTGCTGAGTATGGCCCGCTCATGAACTGTAATGTTCTAGCCGGTGAGTTGAAGCATAGGTAAGTACCTATTCTAAATTATAGCCAGCTGCTGATAGTATCACACTATATAAGAATATTCAAGAGATGGATAGATCGCGCCTCGCCGCCTCAGCTGATGACTTATCTCTTCCGGCTAGATCGGCTCCACCACTCTTTACGCCTGGGTCTTGCGGGTTCCTGGCGGGATGATCATCCAATTCTACTAGAGATTGTCCAGGATCTGTATATGTCCTGCCCACGTCTGATCCAGAAACATATTCTTGCAGATGAATTTATTACTGACCTGCAAGTTACAATGACACATCCGATTGAATGGCCTCATTCTTCGCTTTCTGAGCAGGATATACTGGACATGTTACCTTCAGCGTACCGGCAAGAATATTCAATCTCACTTCCTCGCCAGTATGATAAAACACAATTATCTTACTATTGTCAGATCAAATTCTGTTCCCGGTATGATTTCTTTATTTTTAAGGAGACAGCTGTGAAAGGCTTTCGCAGCTGATTTCTATATATCTTCTATTCCAAGATACTAACTGTGTTCTGTTCTCCAGTCATTCACAGACAATTACCACTGGAAATTTTATTAAATACCAGTCTTCAATAGCATATGTGAGTTGTGGTATAAAGCATTATACACAATCAGAATGCTTCTTCTTTCTTTTATTACAGCCTTGGGTACGGAACGGAAATACAGATAAGGCAACAACTCTTCCTTTCTATTGTTCTTCTAAGAGATGGGTATTGTCAGGATTACAAAGTAAAGTTGAGCCGGCATTTATGATCGATATAGATAATGTTTACAGACAGGTATCAGTTGATATTAATACTAGACAAGATCTAGTATACTGTTCATGGAATATTGATTTTATGTAAATAACAAATTATTATATTCTGGTCTTTTACTACTTTCGTATGATTATATATTACTTCTGAGAATATTTTGTATAAGAATCTTACTATTATTTAAGGAGTGTAACCAGATAATCTCTAGAAATTATGATTAATATTTGTTATATATCTATAAAATACCAGATAATGTCTAGAAATTATGATTAATATTTGTTATATATCTATAAAATACCAGATAATGTCTAGAAATTATGATTAATATTTGTTATATATCTATAAAATACAGTTTCTGTTCATAAGTAATAGATATCTTCCGTATCTAATCTATTTTATTACAGAACTATTCTTGTTAAATTATAATTACATAATAGTTTCTGAATCGTATTCAACTTTAACAACGTTTGTATGTAATTACCCGGTTTGGGTGAGGTTGTATCGTTAGTAATTATTATTATATGTAAATAATAATAAATAACTGTTTTGCAACTGTAAGCAACTGTAACACAACCTAGCTACAACCTAACTGTTACTGTAGGTAACAGTTTGACAACTATTATGAAATGGTCAGTGAGTGTGGCAAACTATTAAATATATATAAATAATAGTAAGCTACCATCTTTGACTTTTACTGAACTATGCTGTGACCCTCTCTACGCACGCCTCCGGGCCCCTATGTAGTAGATATAAGTAAATATGCTGGGTAGACTGGGACAGCATAACAGGTGATATCATATCTATCCTATCTACTACCTACCCAACATAACACAAAGACACGCAAGCTATGGATGATGATGTTTAATCTAATTTATTAAACAAAAAGCAAGACGCCTCGCCATGCATGAAATAGTTAATCACTCCTCCCTCTTATCCCCTCCTCTCCTTCTTCAACCCCATCCCCCTCCAAAAGTCCAACTCCTACCCCATAACAAAGAAAAATAAAATAAAATAAAATAAAGTAAACAAATCAATACTCCTCCGAAACCCTCACCGCATTCCTAGTCCTCCTCGCCGCCCCAACCCCGACCCCCCCAGCGCCCAAGATATCCGCCTCCAACCCCCCCGGCACAAGCCGCTGCTTCTTCCTCCCGCCCGCGCCATCGCCCTCGCCATCTCCGGGATGTTTCTTCGCAACGACCTTCCCGGCCTGATGCAGGAACTTTTCGCGCATGGCGACGGCGTCCGGGTCCTCGTAGTCGAGTTGCGTCATGGGGGGGTCGCCGGATTCTTCTTCTTCGGAGAGTGTGGTTATGGGCTTGGCCATGTGGGGTGGGGAGGGTGGGGGGACGTAGTTGGATATGTTGGAGTTCGCGCGGGGGAGGGTTGGGCCGGTGCCGGTGCCGTCGGTGGAGTCGATACCGATGATGCTGCCGGTGCCATCTTCGTTGAGGGTGTCGATTGAGCTGGCACGGGAGAGGCCTTTGAGCTGTGGTTGTGGTTGTGGCTGTGGTTGTGGTATTGGGGCGTTGGGGTTGGAAGGCTGGTTTTGGGAGAGGGAGGTCGTGGTGGATGTTGTGGAGGGGGCGCGGCCGAGGAGCGGTTTGCGGATTCGGCCGCGGGGGCGGATTCGTTCTGTCGAGCCGGTGGCTGTGGCTGTGGCTGCAGGGTTGGGATTTGGATTGGGATTGGTGTTGGAGGTGTCGGGGCGGGCGTGTTTGAGGAGGTTGGTTACGGTTAGGTTGAGGGCCGATTGCGTCGTAGCTGTAGTTGTAGCTGGAGCTGTGGTGGTGGTGGTGCGTTGGGGAGATGATTTGCGTTTGAGGGGAGAGGTGATCGATGCAGGAGAGCTCGGTTTAAAGGCCTGCTTCTGGTTCTGCTTTGACGGCGTGTTTTGGGATATTGATGGTGATGCGAGGCCTGTTTTGGGATCGGTGCTTTTCTGGCGCGTGGGTGTGTTTCTGGCGCTAGCTTTGGCTGGCGAGATGTCGTGGCTAGTCGTGGAGTTCTCGTTATTCTTTTGAGGCTGTTGTTGCGGCTGCGGCTGCGGCTGCGGCTGCGGTTGCTCTGGGCGAGAACCAGCTCGCGCTTCCAGGGACTTTCGGCTTTGCGTGGGTGGCTTCTGGACCAGGTAGTTGTCAAACGACTGTTTCTGTTCCGTCCGGATGCAGGCCCACAGCCAGTCGGCGGAGACGGCGGGCACGCCCCATTCTTGCGTGTGGCGGAGCTTGTCTGCGTTCGTGGGGACCGATGGGTTGCAGATCAGGACGGAGGCAGTCGGGGTTAGATACTCGTTGTATGTTGCACCTAGGGGGGTTAGATATAGGAGGTGATTGGAGGTGGTGTGCGTACCGATTAGGTTGACCAGTTTCAGTAGATGGAGAAGGTCGATACGGGAGAACCCGGTGGAACAGACCTTCATCCCGGCAAAGCCTGCTGTTGTTATATATCTTCCGTGATAGAGAATAGGCAGGCGGGGGGTTTGGTTACCTTTGATGGGAAATGAGGGAATCGGGGTGTTGGCGATATGCGACTCAGGGGGCACGAGCTTCTTCGCGTCGAGACATCGTTCCAACCACATGTCCGTCACCACTTCGCACTCGAAGGCGAGATCGTCGGTGGAAGGGACCTGCGTGCGAGGCATCTTGTGCGGTACGATCGTGTATAGGCCGTGGCCTCTTTTGGGTATGTCCGGTCGAGAGAACTCGCTCAGAGATCCCACCATCTGGGCCCCGTTGAAGGAGAGGTGATCGCGGAGTACAGTTGTCTTTAAAAGTCAGAATATGGTCAACGGCCAAAACCACGTGCACGAACCTGTTTTGAAGAGAACCCGTGGATGAAAAAGAAACAGCCATCCAAGAAGCCGTTGCGGTGCTCCTCTACGGGTTCCGCGGCCGGCGGGCGAGGCTCTTGAGCCTCTGCAAAGGTAGTCTCGCTCGCAAATGACCGGGATGCCTGCAGTATGGACGCGCTCTTCTGAAGAGACTCACTCCTCCGCAGGCCCTCTCTGGCCGGCTTCGGCTCGCTGCTGCTCTCGAATCCCGTGCCGACAATATCGCCCCAGATCCCTTTATTCTGGTCCTCCAGCTTGACGCTGGCAATCCGGCGCAGCTTCCTCGGTCTCGGATTCGACGGGTTCTCGGCCTCGGGGGCCTTCGGCTTCGGCGCAGGCAGCGCTCGGCTCCAGGCCCCGACGCCCTGATTCTCCTCCGGTAGGAGAGGGTGATACAGCGTCTCTTCCAGGACCATCCCTCGCTCAAGCGTATCCGTAAACCACTTCACAGTGACAACCTTGATCCCCCACTGCGTGGCAAACTTGTACTTCTCGCCCTCGGTATTCTTCGCCACGAGGTGACTGGCGTTCTTCGTCAGGTCTTTGCGGAACTCGCCCCCATGCGCGGTAACTGTGCTCTCGATATGGTTCCGCAGCGTCACTGTAGCCGAGCCGATCGTCCGTTAGTCTCATCTGCCCCCCCGCAGTGTGTCGAAGAAGGACGGTATCGCCTACTCACTATCCTCGAACCCCGTGATGCAGATGGACAGGCCAGCAAAAGTCGGGTACCGGTACTCATCCTCCAGGGCGCGGATGTCTGTGTCCCCGCCCTGCATCCAGGACTGGCGCACCGCTTCCACCCATTCCGGTCGCACGACGATCACGTCGGGTCGCTCCTTCGCGACGAATTTGTACTTGGGGGTGTTGACCTCGCCGATGAGGAGATGCGTGACGTCGGAGGTCAGGTCGTACTTGTGGGTTGCTCCCATCTGACCCGCGACGAGCGCTAGTTCAGACTAGAGACGATCGTGTCGTTAGCGCTGGTTGTTTTTGGGAGGCGAGGGGATTGACGAACCCGCTCTTCGGGGAGAATGGAGGTGAAGCAGAGGACCACCCCCGCCAGAGGATGCTCCTTGTCTGGAGGCGAGTCAGTATGGGAAGTTCGTTCTCGGTCATGGGGGGGGGGGCTCGCGGGATGGAGGGGAGGACGGACTTGAGGGTGCTTTCTCTGCCATGCTTCATGATTGGCATCAACGGAGGCCTGCGAGAGTCTTTCCTGTTGGGCTTTCGGACCTCCGCGCCGGCGCGCGTCCCCGAGGCATGCGCTGTCACGTGATGCTGTAATGCCTGAGGACAGGCAGGAGGTCGGCGGACAACAGACGACAAACTACAGTACTTCGTATCGATAGATTCCAGTAGCGCTTCCTACGCCCCGATTCAGGAACAGAGAGCAACGCATCCGAGACAGGCATAGCGCTAGGGCCAGCCCTTATCGGCATCACGTGCCCCTGTGGCGCGGCGCGTGTCGACAAAAACGCGCAACTCGAACGCCTCCAAGTCGATGAATGACGATCCCGATGGGTTGCGACTTCTTTCCGCCGACTGTCTAACTATTGTTATATGTACTTGCCCAGGCACCGAGCCCGGGCCCCAGCTATTATTCTCCGCCAGCTCTTCTCGTTTGGCCCGCCATTGAGCCCGCAACCCGCGTCCAGATACTCGACCTCGCCGGTTGGGGGGGCAGCGGTCATGTTCAAGAAAGCCGTCAAGGATCACTCGGCTGCGTCCACGTCCACCTCCGCGTCGACGTCGGCAACAACCCTCCAGTCCACCTTGACGCGCAGCAATGCGACTGTCCCGGCCAAACCTCCCCCGCCGCCACTAGGTGTCAAGCGCAAGATCGACATGACCGCGACGCGGGAGTCGACTCTGGGGTCGCTCCACAACGAGGTGTACTTCGATGAGAACGACTTCGACGACGACGACGATTTGGACTTTGGAGCGCCTGATCCGTTCATTGCGCCCGCCCCGATTTCTAAACCCGGTGTCAAGCTAGCCGACCCCGCCGATTATCCGCCTTTACATACCCCGGAGGACGAGGAGATACCCATCGTCGACCTGACGGAAACGCCGAAGCACGAATCCGCAATCCGGTATCCAGACCTACCTCCCGTTCCAGACGACAATGTCCCGCCGTCCAGCAGCATACAATACCCCTGGTCGTCCTCGCCTCCCGCCCACTTCCAAAAACCGAACAAGAAACCCCGAACCCTGCCATGGCTGAAAGACGAGCCGGAGCCGGAACCGGAGCCTCTCCCCAAGAAATTCGAAACCCCGGCACGCCCGAAACAGACTGCCCCCTGGAACAAGTCGGCGAGTGCGATCAAGGACGAGCAACGGGAGATGCGTCGGCAGAGCAAAAACCAGAAAGCGCAGGCAAACCCTCCGCTGCACAATTCTCGCCCTAAGGTTGCATCCATCTTTCTCAGCGATGAACAGCGCCATGTCCTCGATGCGGTGGCGCAGCAAGGGAAGAGTATCTTCTTCACGGGCTCTGCGGGAACAGGAAAGTCGGTGCTGATGCGGGAGATCATCAAGAAGCTACGGGATAAATACAAGAAGGAGCCGGATAGGGTTGCGGTGACAGCGTCCACCGGTCTTGCGGCCTGCAACATCGAAGGTGTCACCCTCCACAGTTTCGCGGGCATTGGATTGGGTAAAGAGCCCGTTCCGGAGCTCGTTAAAAAGGTCGGCATCTGCTCCCACCGAAAGGCATAGCCGGGCTAACATCATATAGATCAAGAAGAACCAGAAGGCACGGAACCGCTGGATGCGCACAAAGGTCTTGGTCGTCGATGAGGTGTCGATGGTTGATGGGGACCTCTTCGACAAGCTGGAGGAAATTGCACGGCGGATCAGGAACAACGGCCGACCATTTGGGGGCATTCAGCTGGTCGTGACCGGGGATTTCTTCCAACTGCCCCCGGTCCCGGACGGGGCCAACCGGGAGGCCAAGTTTGCTTTCGCAGCTTCCACCTGGAATACTTCCATCCAGCACACGATCCTCCTTACGCACATCTTCCGTCAGAGAGACCCGGAGTTTGCGGACATGCTCAACGAGCTGAGACTGGGAAAGATCACGCCCCGCACCATTGAGACTTTCAAGCAGCTTTCTCGACCTCTGGACTTCCACGACGCTCTCGAGGCCACAGAACTGTAAGGCTTCTGCTCGCCGCCGCTTTGCACAGGCACATACTGAATACTGACTATCTATCAGGTTTCCTACGCGGCAGGAAGTAGACGGCGCGAATAGTGCGCGGATGAACCGACTGTCCGGTGAAGTGATGACGTTCAATGCCGTCGACTCGGGAACCATCCAGGACGTCCAGTTTCGGGAGCGGCTGCTGTCCAACTGCATGGCCCCGCCTACGATCCACCTGAAAAAGGGGGCCCAGGTCATGCTGATCAAGAACATGGAGGACATGCTGGTGAACGGGTCGATCGGACGGGTGGTGGCGTTCATGGACGAAGCCACCTTCGACTACTACATCGACAACGAGAACGAGTTCACCGGGGGACAGGGGGACAACAGCGATGACGAGATCATGGCCCGGGCCCGCAAGAAGCTCAAGCCCCTGGCGCACAAGGATGGTGGTGTTACGGTGACCCGAAAGTGGCCGCTCGTGTGTTTCGTCCAGCCGGACGGCACCGAGCGGCATCTCCTCTGTCAGCCGGAGACGTGGAAGATCGAGCTTCCCAACGGAGAGGTGCAGGCGCAGCGGCAACAGGTGCCTCTCATCCTGGCGTGGGCGTTGTCCATCCACAAGGCCCAAGGCCAGACCCTGCAGCGGGTGAAGGTCGACCTGGGGCGGGTGTTCGAGAAGGGACAGGCGTATGTGGCTCTGAGTCGTGCGACCTCGAAGGCGGGCCTCCAGGTCACACGATTCGAAGCGCGCAAGGTGATGGTGCACCCGCGGGTGACGGAGTTCTACTCCAAGCTCGTCAGCATCAGCGACGTGATTAAGTCGAATAATAAGCCCAAGGCTCCGAAGGCGGTGGAGAACGACCCGGAGGAGGACTTTGAGCAGGATTATCTAGAGCATTTATATGGATGAGCAGGTACATGGTTACGGGGAGAGGGAAGGGAACGTACTGTCAATGAATGCCAGAATGGACTAGAGATATATACCTAACAAACAATAATATACTCTATACTCTCTGTACGGAGTACTGCAACCCTCCCTAGTAAGGCCCCACATGGCGGGACGCGTGCTTATCGGGCGCCTGCTAGGCTGCCCCGCACGTGACGGTGGCTGCCGAAAGCTGCAACGCAACGCAACGCAACGGTCTTGATCGTTCCGCTCTTTGCGACTGTCTTCCTCTCCCTCGGCCTGGAGCTTGCTCTGTCGCCAGTTGCAAATCCTCAACCATGGCCTCTGAATTCATCGGCTACAATGTCCTGGTGACCCTGCGAGCGCCACCAAATGCAACCGTGCAGGGAGAAGTGGCCAATGTCGTCGGCCAGCGTCTGATGCTCCGGAATGGTACGTATCCCCACGCGGCGACTTCTCGACGCAGAGCTCTAACCACCGACCCCCCCCCTCCCCTCTAGTGACGCTCTCCTGGCTGGGTCACCAACTCCCCACCTACTTCCTCGAGGCTCCTGACATTGCGGACCTGTCTCTTGGCCCCGTACAGCCCCCCGCACAGCATCCGCCCCCAACTCAGGAACCCCGACTGGTACCACAGGGGCAGCCTGCGCCGCCCGCACCGCCCGCACCCCCCCAGCCTTTCGTGGATCCGGCCATCCTGAGCTTTTCCAAACCCCCCGTCGTCCCTCCGAGCCAGCTGTCAGAGCCCCCGCAGCTACCTCCCCCTTCGATCAGCCGCGCGCCGTCCCAGAACCCCCAGTTCGCGCCACAGGCTCATCGGGACCAGGCCGCGGTCCTCAATGAACCCTTCAGCAACATCCAGGAGCTGGACGTCGGGAAGAACACCGTCGAGACCCGCAATCCCGTGCCCACCGGTCCCGTCTCCAGTGCAAGGGGGGCCGTGGTTACGTCGCAAGTCACTTCGCAGTACGGGGTGAAGGCGAATCGCCGCGGCGGCCAGCCCAAGACCCCCAAGACATTCAACGAGCACGACGGGGCGACGAACACCGACCCCAAAAGCAAGGGTTGGCGCCAGACGGCCTTTGTTGAACCCTCCTATCCGCATCTAGCCAAGTCGCTCAATAAGCCGCGCCGGAAGAAGAACAACAGGGCAAACTATGCGGAGGACGCCAATGGCTGGGCGACGGAGGATGCGACGGACATCCAGGAATTGGGCGAGTTCGATTTCCAGAGCAATCTCTCCAAGTTCGATAAGCGGAAGGTGTTCGAGGAGATCCGGAATGATGACACGACGGCCGATGAAGACCGGTTGGTCAGCTTCAACAGGAGACAACCCAAGCCTGGCACGAACGGAGGGAAGAACTTGCACTGGACCGAAAATGTCCTCGACAGTCCGGAGAGCGAAAGCGAGACTGATCGCGTCCCCAGCGATGCGAAGCTCAGTAGCGGTACTTACTCGGGCCGCGAGCGGTCCAAGGCGTCCCGGGCGTCAAGCTCCCGGAAAGGAAGTACCATTCTGGGCCAGCCCTTGGTGCCGCCGCAGTTGAACTCTCTGGGGCGCAGTCAGTTAGGCTCCTCGCGCACTACGAGCCCCGGCCAAACAAGACATCTGTCACCGCGTCGCCCATCAGCGGATCCGGCGCGGCAGGCGCCACTTTCCGACTCACCACGACCAACAGAAGCTGCCCGACCGTAAGTCCATTGCAGACCATCGAGGTGGAGCAGATTGCCGTTGCCGAGCTCGGTCTGACCGAGGATATGATCGCCGAAAACACGGGACGCGGGATTGCGGAAGCTGCTGTTGGTCTTCTTTCCAGTGATGAGGCCGCGCCCACCATGCTGGTCCTCACAGGGAACCACCGTAGCGGCGCACGAGCTATAGCTGCTGCTCGCCATCTCCGCAATCGGGGGCACCGCGTGACGGTCTGTATGCTGGGCATGGAGCACGACACCGAGTTGCTGGAGAGCTGCCGTAAGCAGCTTGACGTGTTCAAGAAGATTGGCGGACGAGTACACCGATGGGAGGACCTGTCGACCCGGCTTGCCACATCCGAGTTCTCGCCCGATCTGGTCGTCGACGCCTTGTTCGGAATCCATATCGCCTTTGATGATCTTCGTACGGATGATCAAGCCACGGCCTTTGAGATGATCTCATGGGCCAACCGCAGCAACCTCACTATCCTGTCTGTCGACGTACCATCGGGGGTGTCTGCTATCAGTGGTAAGTTCTCTCGAATATCCATCGTCCCCTGCGCTATAACTAACGTGCCATCTCCTACAGGCGATGTAACAACCGTCGAAGGCGGCAGACTCTGCGTCAACGCGAAGTCAGTCGTTTGCCTAGGGGCTCCCAAAACCGGCATCCTCAATGCACTGCTATCCGGAGAGGGCCTCCATTGGAACCTGACCGTGGCAGACATCGGCATTCCCCAGATAGTGTGGAGAAAATACGGCAGTCGGCGGCGACATGGGATTGACTTTGGGAACCGGTGGGTTGTGCCGCTCCGCTACCAGCCCCTTCCTGTGTAAGAAAAAAGAAAAAGAAAAGAAAGGAAGGGGGGAAAAAGAGTGAAAAGGGGCGGGCATGTTCATGACGATTTGACGATCAAAAAAAGCCATACATTGGGGCGTTTACTGGAAGATAGGGGTTGCTCGATAGTCTACCTATTGGGGGTGTGACATGGTTACTGTGTGGCGGCGTCTCGTTTACGAGGCTTATTGCTGCTTGTATTATAGTTGTAGCCTAGCAATTGATCTTGCAAGATATTGTTCTTGTCTATGGTGCAGTCTACATGGTCCCAGTAGTAGTAGTAGTAGTAGTAGTAGTAGTAGTAGTAGTAGTAGTAGTAGTAGTAGTAGTATACATCGTATACAAGCCGTGTAACACGGTTACAAAACAGCGCTTGTTGGCGGGGGGTCTAGCCCGATACGGCTAGGACCAGATACGGCAATACATCATCCTTCGTTCGAGGCGGCGAGGATCGCGCAGATGGAGCTCCGCCAACCTTTTGAACGCCGTCGCAACCATGGGAAAAGGTCCGTTCACCTGCCTGCTCTGCTTGAACCCCCTCCGAAGCTAACATGTCTATCTCTCTTCAGGAACGGACAAGTTATATGTACGAGACTCCCCGCGTCAAATTCCAATCTTCCATCCTCGCAACCATCTCTTATCGCATGTCGCCAGACTGACCAAACCGCCTCGCATAGATCACGCATTCCGAATGGGCCTCGGACAACGCATTTTCGGCCAGCGCCGGTGCGGGCATCGGCCGGTCGAAGCGCGGTGGAGTGGATAACACCTTCAAACGCCTGCCGTTCAACTTCTGCTCGCTCTCCCTCCAACCCTTCTCCCACCCGGTGTGCACCCCGACAGGCACCATCTTCGACTTGACCAACATCCTCCCCTGGATCAAGAAGCACGGCACCAACCCCGTCGACGGCGCACCCCTCAAGGGCTCCGACCTCATCAAGCTCACGCTCGCCAAGAACGAGTCCGGCGAGTACGTCGACCCTGTCACCTACAAGGTTTTCACCGACAACACTCACATTGTCGCGCTGCGCAACACCGGGAACGTCTTCGCCTGGGACACCGTCGACCGGCTGAATATCAAGGGCAAGCTGTGGCGGGATCTGGTCACTGATGAGGAATTCTCCCGCAAGGATATCATCACCCTGCAGGACCCGCAGAATATCGAGTCGCGGAACCTGAGTTCCTTCAATTACTTGAAGGAGGGGGAGACCGGGCTGACTGATGAACAAATCCGCGAACGGGATGACCCGGCCAACAACGTCAATGCGAGCGCGCTGGGCAGTTCGGCCAAGATCCTGAAGGCCAGAGAGGCCGTGGCTAAGGCGCGTGCCGACAGAGCCCAGCGCTCCGCCACCCCGAAGGACCTGGCTAAAGCCGGGGGCGCGGGCCCTGCATCTCTCCAGGTGAAGAAGACAGGGACGTCCCTGCAATCCGGCAAACCCGTCCCTTACAACGCCGCCAAGTACACGACCGGTCTGGCTGCGGCGTCGTTCACCAGCACCGGCATCACGCCCCATACCTCCGCCGAGCTGGCGCTCCTCTCCGATGAGGATTACATGCTGAAACGCGGCCGCGTAAAGCAGAAAGGCTACGCCCGTATTTCCACCTCCGCCGGCGACGTCAACCTCGAACTGCACACCGAATATGCCCCCAGGGCCGTATGGAACTTCATCAAACTCGCCAAGAAGGGATACTACAGGGACGTCGCGTTCCATCGCAATATCCGTGGCTTCATGATCCAGGGTGGGGATCCGTCTGGCACCGGCCGCGGCGGAGAGAGTATCTGGGGGAAGTACTTCAATGATGAGTTCGATGGGCCGTTGAAGCACGACTCCCGCGGCACGCTGAGTATGGCGAACAAGGGCAAGAATACGAATAGTAGCCAATTGTGAGTTTCCTTCTGGGGGTGGAATTGTATACCTCATACTGTCCGGTACCGTGCTCACCCCGCCAGCTTCATCGCGTACCGCGCCCTCCCCCATCTCAACAACAAACACACCATCTTCGGCCACGTCATCGACGACCCAACCCCCTCCTCCACCACCCTCAACAACCTCGAAACGCACCCGACCAACCCGACCACCAACCGCCCCACCCCGGACGTGCGCATCCTCGACGTCACGGTGTTCGTCGACCCGTTCGAGGAGTTCCTGCGGCAGAAGCAGGCGGACGACCTCAAGGCCAAGGGCCTGGTGGTCAACGCGGAGGAGGAGGACGAGAAGGCCCGCCGCGCCGAGGACGACCGGATGACCTGGACGGGGAAGCGCGTGCGCGGCTCCGGGCCGCCCAAGGATGAGGGCGGTTCTGGTGGGGTGGGCAAGTACCTGAAGGCGGCGCTGGCCGAGAGGGATGCTGCCGGGGGTGAGGAGGATGAGATTGTTGAGTTTGTGGATGAAGAGCCGGAACCCGAGCCGATGAGGAAGAAGTCTAAGGGCGGAGGGTTTGGGGATTTTAGTTCTTGGGATTAGGTAGTCTATACTATGGGTGATCTATGGACCGAGTAGTGGTTGTAAAAAGAGATGTTGTTTGGGTCTTCTATTCTTGAACTTGTAATTATATAGGACATTTAAGAATACTTTCCGGTTGTTTCTTTTTCTGCTTGGGGGGGGGGGGGGGGGGGGTTCCCTTTGAGATTCATGTGGTATACTGCGGAGGTTGGGTTGGGCTGGGGTTATTGTTCGCGTGAAAATATATATATAGTGATGGTTATCTAGAGACCCAGAGGTTGGGAACGACTCTAATATTGCGTGGGATGATATAATGGCCCCGACTGTCAGTCTGTCTCCAACGCAATTCCATGGGAAATGACAGCCACCAGTGGAGGGTAAGTGTGGAGTGACGCGAGTGCGTGATGGATGGTTCATGTTTAATCGAACAAAAGGATGGCCACCGGGAAAGGCGTTCGTCGTCATCGACTGGGGCCCCCACAAGAGCCCTGGTCACGGGACCGGACGCCTCCCAGAATAGCCAAGGCCTGCCTGTGTTTGGTGAGTGGGTACGGAGTACGGAGTGCTAGTAGGAGAACCGCCGCGGTGGTGTGGATTGTGCTCTGTGCTCATGCTGCGCTGCTACTGCTACTGCCACTGCCACTGCCGCTGCTTGCTAATAATAATCCAGCCCGCCTCACTACTACTACTACTACTACTAAACTACACTACTACTTTCATACATACCACACCATCTCTCCCCCCCCATCTCCCCCTTCCATCTCAAATTCCATCATCGCACCCCCCCAGTTCCACATCTATCTTTTAGGGAGTGCTACTTCTCTTCACCTTCCTCCCTCTTAACCTCCGTAAGTCCCCTGAATTTCTTCTCCACCCGACCTGAGGATGGTGGTGGTGGTGGTGGTGGTGGTGGTGGTTGCTGCCGCTGCTGTGTACTCTGTCCCTCCATCCGCGCGCAGTGGGGTCGACCAGGATGCATGACATGTGGTGCCAGTCGAGCTTCTGTTCCCCCCCCCAAAAGAGACGGCATGCTTGCGCCTGAATTCCAACACCCACGGCTCGCTCCGTGCCTGTGTCGGAGGTCTAGATAGAGGGTGTGGCACATGGCGTGCATCCGGGGCGGTTGGACCACGATGTCATCGCCAGCCCAGCAATGCCTGGAAGCCCCCGGCTTCGCCAAGAACCACCATCCATCATCCGATTCCACCTGCAATCGGGTCTCAAGTGGACCGAGTCGCTAACCTCTCCTGTTTCCCTCGTCAGATCCCCTCGCGGCCGCCGCAATTCGCATCCTACGTCAGTCCCTGTCGCCCCCCGTCTTCCACCCCCTCCCCACGCGCCGCCGCCGCCCGCCGCCCTCCACACTCGCCCGCCCACTCACTCATTCCATCCAAACCCGGTTTCAAGTCCCTCTCCCCCCGAAACCACAATCAAGCTGGCAGGGAATAAGCGGAGAAGTTTTTCGAGCCAGGGTGGGTTGCTGAACAGAATGTTCAGTGGCTCCTCGAGCCCACCCAAAGACAGATCCGATTCCATCACTCGCTCCGGTGCCATTGACACGCCTCCCCTGAGCATCCACCCCGAGGAGTCCAGCATCAACCAGAAGAAGTTCTCCCCCCCCGGCGGCTTCTTCACCCGCAGAGCAAGCGAGGACCAGACCCCCGGCGGCGAGAAGAAGCGCCGCAGTAGCACCGTCACCAAGGCCGCCTCCTTCTTCACCAGCGCCAAGAATTCCCTGAGCCTCTCCAGCAGTCCGCGCGAGCAGTCCTCCTTCAATAACTACACCATCCAGGAGCAGCCGTCCCTGCACCGCTTCGGGAGCATGGACCCGGCCCTCAGCGTCCCCCAAGGGCCCTTGAACAACTCGGCCGGCGAATCGCTCCCCACGCCGCGTTCCTCCTTCAAGGTGGGCGTGACCGAAGACCGCAATCGGAAATGTCGCCGCACGATGGAAGATACCCATGCCTACCTGTACAATTTTCTCGGGACTCCCGCGCCCTCCGAGGTTTATAGCAAAGCCCTGCCGAGCCCGACGACCGCGTCCCCCACCGAGACGGGCACCAGCGTCGTCGAAACTGACAATGGGTATTTCGCGATCTTCGACGGCCATGCCGGCACCTTCGCGGCCGAGTGGTGCGGGAAAAAGCTGCACTTGATCCTGGAAGATGTCATGCGGAAGAACCCCAGCACACCGGTCCCGGAGCTCCTGGATCAAACGTTTACAAGCGTGGATCAGCAGCTGGAGAAGCTGCCGCTGAAGAACAGTGGCTGTACCGCCGTGATTGCGCTTCTCCGATGGGAAGACCGCGTCCCCAGCTCGCATTCCGCGACGGGCTCGTCCGCTCTGGCGCCGGCTGCTGCCGCGGCTTCGCGGGGCGACACTGAATCGGACGCGGATACGCCCACCCAGGCCGCCGTCTCGGGTTCTTTCCCCAAACTACAGGAGAAGGCCCTCCGTCAGCGGGTCCTCTACACGGCCAACGTGGGCGATGCGCGAATCATTCTGTGCCGCAATGGAAAGGCGCTCCGCTTGTCGTACGACCACAAGGGCAGTGACGAGAACGAGGGGAAGCGGATAGCCAACGCCGGCGGGCTGATACTGAACAACCGGGTTAACGGCGTGCTTGCGGTGACCAGAGCTCTGGGTGACGCTTACCTCAAGGATCTTGTCACTGGACACCCGTATACGACTGAGACGGTGATACAGCCGGACTCGGATGAGTTTATTATCCTGGCTTGTGATGGGGTGAGTTCTGTGTCCACATGTCGTGGGGTATTGATGTGCTAACGGACCCAGCTGTGGGATGTGTGCAGTGACCAAGAGGCCGTCGACCTCGTCCGCAACGTACCCGATGCCCAGGACGCGTCGAAGATCCTGGTCGACCATGCGCTTGCGCGGTTCAGTACCGACAACCTGTCCTGCATGGTGATTCGGTTCAACTCCAACCGGGTGAAGGAGGTCATCAACCGGACTGCCGATCTCATCGGGGTGGACGGGGACCCGCCCACGAACGTGGAGCGCGGGGTGAGCGAGGCCGACAAGATCATCGAAGGGGCGCGGAAGAGCATGGCCAGCGCGGGGATCGCCGATGACCCGCAGACGGCCGAGAAGGTCACGGAGGAAATCCTACAGAAGATGTCCACCGACTCGGAGCCTGGCCCGGAGGTGTCGACCCCTACCCAGGAACAGCAGCACAACCAGGTGGTGAACAATCTGAAACGGCCGGAGCCCCGGAATCCGACTTCATAGGCCATAGCCATAGCCATAGAACATGGACTGGACTGGACTTAGAGAGTCTTCGTGTGAAATTTTGCAATTGCAAAGGGAGATAGAGCGTCAGGCTACCCTGGAGTTTCTGTGCTGCTTGCCCTTGGCCTACTCACTCCTCCTTTCTTTCACCCCGTTCCTGTGCCCTTGTTTCCCTGCCCTGCCCCCGACTGCTGTTGCTGGCGTCGATCGCGGACTGCATGCAAACTTTTACTTTGTGTGGCTTTTATTCTCTTCTTCTTCAGATCGGGGCTTTTTTCTTTTTCTTTTTTCTCCCTTTGACCACCCCGTTCATATCATATTCCTGTTCTACATCCACCCACCATTCTCCCTTCGTTCGGAATCCGGTCCCGTCCGTCTGCCTTCGGTTTGTGGTAGATAGAAAAATGGCCCGGATAGCCAGCCAGCTAGCCACCCTGCACCCAGCTCAGCCTGATCTGATCGGCTACCGTAACCGCAGTCGCGGGGGCTCTTGTTTGTATCCTATCCTACATGGTGATATGATGTACATTTGATATCTGGTCAGCTGGGACGCAGCGCACCAACGACGCATGCTTCAGTAATCATCAATTGTCAATCGTCTTTCGGCCATTCCGGAATTTTTTACATTGCATGTGAATGCTTTTCCTTTGGGATGGGATTAGTTTATTGTAGTTGAGGTATTAGTAGAGGTGGTTGTAGTGGTGGTTATAATAGTAAAGTGGTAGTGCAGGAGTAGTGGTAGTAAAACCAAACATTTAGATTGTCTGGTGTTGTGTTGTTGTCTGTCTGCTAAACGCCATTTGTAACAATCAGGACGATGACCCGAACATATGTAGAGATAAAAATACAATTTATAACAGAGATAACAGTAGCAGTAGCATCATGCGAGAACAGGCGATCTTTTCAAGTATGTATATCCTCCATCCATCGTCATCCATCATCTATCTCTCCCAGCCCGGGATCAGAGCACCAGCACCGGCAGCGTAAAAGTACAGCCATCAGTCTGCTTCCAGCCCCTTAGTTCGTCTCAGCAACAGCACCCTTCTCCTTGAACTCGCCATCCGCCAAAATCTTCACATCATAAACATCCTTCTGAGTCGACATGACATGATCGCGGCTCAGATCCAACTCACCATGCCTCACCCGTTCCGGCCAACTCTTCGCAAACCGGGCATTATGCACATCCGTCCAGAGAATCTTGACGCCCATGCCCTCCACGGCGCCGGTCGTATCCTGCACCTCGCGAATGGTATACTCGACCATGGGCCCACTCAAGGTATCGGCAAACTTCTCGACGCGCTCACTCTGCTCCAGACGCTTCTTCTCCTCCTTGGCGCGCGCCTCCCTCCGTCTCCGTCTCGCCGTCTTGGTCAAATACCCCCTCTTCCCATCCGCAAACCCATCCGCCACCTCCTGCTCCTGAATCGCCAACACGGCCGAGATATCCGCCACGCTGGTCGCCTTCTGGTCCATCACCGCCCTGGCCCGGTCTTTCTTCTCCATCAGCCAGCCCATCTTGTTGGCGTACTTCTCGTCGAATTCGCCCGCCGCTTTGGGATCCCGCGGCCGTCTTTGCGCCAGCCATGACTCCGTGATGCTTATCAGGGACCGAGGCGGGGCGAGTTGGCGCTGCATCGAGAATTCGCGGAGGAGGTGGTACGCCCGCAGACCGATTTTCGGTTCGCTGAAGTGGACGCTGTAGTACGGTACCCACATGTCTTTGCGGAGGCTGGAGGGGACGGTCTTTTTGCCGTGGTAGATGAGTTGTTTGAGGACGGAGTGTTCCTGTATTTTTTGTTTTAATTGCAAATGTTAGTTGGGGTTGAGAGGGGAGGAGGGTAGATTGTGCATTGGGTTGAGTGCCAGGTGCCTGACAATCGGACAGAACAGGTTCAACTCAATGGAAGCCAGAAGAAGTATGCCGCTCACCTCCAAATACCGTGTCAGCGAATACACCACCTGGTTGGTGCGGATATTATGATAGACAAAGATATTCTTGCCGTGGGTGATCGCGTTCAGGGCCTTGCGTAACCGCACTCCCTCCTTGACCTGGTGATCTTTGAAGGCATTCGAGTTCTGGTCGCGGACCCGTCCTTGGATCACGCTGCCCTGCTCAATTGGCGGCCGACGCGCCACCTGCCATGTTCCGACCTTGGTCGGGTCCAGGATCTTCTGGAATGGCGGCCTCTTCGCTGCTGCTGCCGCTGCCGTTTGCGTGGCCATTGCCGCGGCCACCGGGTATCCCTGGTCGCGGGATGGGCGGTTGAGGGATGCTCTGAGAGCTGGGGGGTGAGAGGGAGTGGTGTGGGTGTGGGTGTGGCGGTGGACGTGGGGTGGTTGTGTTGGTGGTGGTGGTGGTGGACGGGGAGGAGAGCGGATGGAAGCTGGCTGAGATGGAGAGCGGATCAATTTTTCGACGGGAATCCCGAACGGGCGATCGAGTCCGCCGCCGCCTGCTGCGGCCACTACTCTCTATTTACTACATCCTACTGCCTCCCCCCCCACATCATCTCTCCACAACCCTCGAGGTCCTTGCTGGACTGCTCGTCCCCGGGTTGCAATCGTCAATTGTCGAATTGGTCCCCTCTTTCTCCCCTCGTCCATCTCCCTAGGATGACCCGAATACACCGCGCCCTCCACTGCGACAGCTAAGCTTCCCTGCCATGTCGCTGACGGCCACCACCATCACCACCACCACCACCACAGCCGTGGTTGGCCTGGAGTCCGACGATGCTGGACGTCGTCGCGACAGACCAGGCCTGTTTCTACCGGTACACTACTCCTCCCTATACTACCACTCGCTCCCCAGACCGTCCGCTGACGCCCCGCGCAGAACCGCAAGCTGCGTCATTTGCAGGCGATCTCCGTTCGTAACCTCGTCGTCGCCCCTCCCAGTCGACCTCGCGGGAAGACCATCGACGACGACGACGCCCCCAACGCTCTGCAATCCGCCTCCAAGGCCCTCACCCAAGATGCCACCCGATCCCTGCACCAGTCCCGATCCTTTACCAACCTCAAGTCCGCCGCCGCCGCCGCCGCCGCCGACGCCCACCCCGACCCCGAGCAACCACCTCCTCCGTTGCGGTCCTGGCAGCGAAGAAACACCCTGCCGTGGAACGGACCCAATCCGCAAGCGAGACAGGTGAAATTGGAGGAGATCACGAGCAGTCGCATGGCCGACACGTGGGTGTCGATCCATTGCGACGGCATCCCGGAGCCGGTCTACGTGAGCGAGGTCGTGGATCAGGCCACGAACCCCAGCTTCCGCTCCTTCGATCTGAACATGTGCGGCCCGGCCGTGTCGCGCCTGGACCGCGCCACGGTGAAGCTGTGGGCGAAGACCGCCGCCATGGACCAGTACTTGCCGCTGGTCGACCTGCACCTGTGTCTGCAGTCGCTGCAGTTCCTGGGCAAGTCGTTGGACAACTTCCACCAACCCCTGCCGTCGAATTCCATCCTCTTCCATTTCCCTGACGGGGTCTACACGAACCTGACCGATCTCCCGCCCGTCGTGGCGCCGGTACCGACCACGCATACGAAAGCGGCGGAGGGCGCCGCGTTGCTGCCCACTTCCTCCTACGACGCCCTGATGCGCCTGGCGAACCTGGATGAGTGCATCCAGGACGCCCTCACGACGCGCGATAAACTGGAGTCGCAGATCAGCTCGATCCTGGAGAAGAACCAGCGCGCGCTGCGAACGACGAGCGATGCCTCGCGCGCGCGAGACAAGCTGGCGCGCACCCGACAGGCCGTCGCGACGGAGCGGAAACAGCTGCGCACGGCATCCAGGCGGAAAGACGAGCTGCTCGCCAGCATCCAGGCCCGCCGCGACGCCATGGCACGCGGCCGCTCCAGCCAGGCCCGCACGCGGAGCCATCTGCCCGACGCGCAGGGGAAGCTGGCGGTGAGTGTGCGGCTGCTGCACCAGACCACCGACGAGGCCAAGGGCCAGATCCGACGCATCTCGGAGGACCTGCTGGCGGTGTACCCCATCGAGCCGATCGCCGACCAGCCGCTGGTGTTCACGATCGCGGGCTTGGCCCTGCCGAACTCGAACTTCAGCGACGTGAACGACCGCGATGCCGTGGCCGCGGCGCTGGGCTGCACGGCGCACCTGGTTTACCTGCTGTCGTTCTACCTGTCCGTGCCGCTGCCGTACCCCATCAACCCGTACCAGTCGACCTCGCTGATCCAGGACCTCGTGTCGGCCGCCCTGCCGCAGCGCACGTACCCGCTGTACCCGGTCAACGTGCAGTACCGCTTCGAGTACGGCGTGTTTCTGCTGAACAAGGACATCGAGTTCCTGCTGAACAAGCAGGGGCTGCGCGTGTTCGACATCCGGCACACCCTTCCGAACCTGAAGTATCTGCTGTACGTGCTGACTGCCGGGACGAGCGACATCCCCGCCCGCAAGGCCGGGGGCATCCGGGGCCTCCTCCCCGGCTCAGTGTCGGGGTCGCGGCGCGGGAGTGCGGACAGCGGCGCGACGACGGAGGCGCGGAGGGGGGTGATGGGGCTGTTGAATAAAGGCGGCCTCGTGGATGCGATGCCGTCGGTGTCGCCGTCGGTGTCGTGACTGTGAGGCCTGAAGCTTGGATGGAATGTCGTGTGTACGATGCATGCATGCATGTAGTTACAGAGGCAGTTGGTATCTTTTTTTCCCCCACGCATATGTGAGATTTGTTGTATGCATGGGCGGCCATTGTTTGGAGTAGAGCGTGCTTTTTTTTTTTTCTTTCTCGTCTGTCAGAATTTTTTTTTTCTTAATTTCTTCTTATTATCTGTTTTATTTTATTTTTTATCGCGGAGTGGAGAGAGAGAGAGAGAGAGATGGGTTGGTGGTTCCTTTGGCCCACTTATCAAGCCATGCCATGCCATGCCATGCCATGATGCCACTCACTCTGTTTAAGAGTGTCTCTCCACCGCCAGAAGATAGACAGCCGTGTACATAGTTGCAGACAGCGTAGATAATCCCACATCTAATTGATCTACCTCCTCCTTCTGTTCTCTGCCTTTACGAGTAAGATGGGCCGAGTGCAGCTGAGGATAGAGTCGATCTGACTGGATCAACGCGAGTGCATGCCAAATGCCTGATAACCACCGGGGCTCCGACGCAAGGGCGGCGGTGTTTTGTGGCCTCACGCTGCCTCAGTCCGAGAATCACTTCTTTTTTTTTTTTTTTTTTTTTTTTGTATTTGATTTCCTGTCATTCGCTACCCCGCATTCTTTTCGCGACACCTGATCTGCTTTACTCTGCTCTGTTCTGTTCTGTTCTGCTCTCTCCGACCGACTTGTGCAGCCAGCCATCTCAGCCAGTCCAATCTCCTCTCTCCATCTCTCCCCTCGCCATTCTCCAATCTCTTCTCTCATCCCAGCACATCACATCATCTCTCTCCCCTCGTCTCATCCTCCCCCCCCCCCTCCTCCCCCCTAAAAAAGAGAGCTGCCGCCTAGTGGGACGGTCACCACGCACCCTGCCGTCTTGGAAGTTGGGGGAGGCACCCGGAAGAAAGCCGAACAGCCCGACCAGCTGCGATCTTCTCCAATCCCCACCGCTTGTTGTCGCTTTGCATCGGCCCCTTCAGACGGAGGGATCCATCATGATGACTGCCCCCGCCCCAGCAACCACCTCCCCTCCCCAGCTCCAGCTCCAGCTCCAGCACCACCCCGTCTATGCCCTCCCCAGCGGCCCCCAAGTCGCCCTCGCCCCCCGCTTCGCAGCTCGGCCAGCAGAACCCCCAGCACCGTCGCGGCTACCAGGCATGCGACCCATGTCGGAAACGCAAGGTGAAGTGCGACCTGGGCAGTATGTCTTCTTCCCCCCTCTCGTCCCCTCCCCCTCCCCCTCCCCCTCATTCCCCAGCTAATCCTCTCCTCCCCCCTCCCCCCCCACCCAGGCGTCGACAATCCCCGTCCTCCGCCATGCGTGCGCTGCCGCCGCGAAAGCAAGCGCTGCGAGTTCTCCGCCACCCGCCGCAAACGCAAGCCCTCCGATGCCGAGGAGACCGTCGCCGCCGCTGTCGCCGAGGGCGTGCTGCGCCGCGACAAGCGCATGATGGTCGGTGAGGTCCTCTCGAATAACGGCTCTTCCGTCAGCGAGACATCCTCCTACGCCGCTCCCCCGGCCCCGGAGCGTACCTCCTCCTTCGATAATAATGCGAGACCCGCGGCGAAATGGGCGGACGAGTCTCCGGCTACGACTACCACCCAGGCATCAGGGTCGAATGGCCCGTCGCGATTGAATTCCGCGGCGTCGGCAGCGGCAGCGGCGGGAGCGAGCACGACAACAGCCCCGACGGCGGCTCCGTTTGCAGAAGCGAGAGGTCCCAGGTTATCTATGTACCCCGCTGCTGAGAGACATGGCCCGAGTTATAGTCTGGAGGGCGGCCAGCCGATGATGAACCGCACCGCCGTGGAGCTGCTGTCGCCGGCGATCAGTAACAGCCATGACGCGCTGCATCTCCTGTCCGAGGCGGCGGGACGGACCGAGGATCTGAATCGCCAGAGCCTCGAGAATCGATATGCCGCCCGCCAGTCCGTCTCGTCGTTCAACTCGCCCATGTCGCCGCTCACCCAGGCCGGCACGCCGCGCAGTGGGGGCGGGTCGTTCTCCCGGCCCCCCCGGTCCGGGACCGTGCCGGTGGGGAATTACTTCCAGGCCGGCGGCGCGGGGGCGGCCGATGCGCAGATGGCCGATGGGCGCCAGGCGGACGCGGCGGAGAATGTCCAGGACCCCGGATTCGTGGATGCGGTCAAGGCCTGGTCGCGACTGCGGTTCGTCCGCGCGGGCTGGCTGTCCGTCGAGGAGGCCATGGCCTACGTGGCGTACTACTACGAGCAGCTGGCGCCACTGAGTCCGATCGTCATCCCCGACTTCTCGCATCCGTCGACGCATCGCACCCTCCTGACCGAGGAGCCGGTGCTGGCGGTCACGATCCTCACGACGGCGTCGCGGCACATGAAGCCCAAGGGCGATGGCGCGTACACGCGGGCGTTCTACATCCACGACCGGCTGTGGTCGTACCTGCGCGGCATGATCGAGCGACTGTTCTGGGGCCAGGAGAAGTTCGACGGCAACGGCATGGGGATCAGCAAGCCGCGGTCGTTCGATCTGGCGGCCCCCTCGGCGAAAGGCAGCCACAAGGGCAACCTGCGCGCGCTGGGCACCATCGAGGCGCTGCTGATCCTGACCGACTGGCACCCGCGGAACCTGCACTTCCCGCCGGGCGACGACGAGAACGCGCTGCTGGATCTGGACGCGCAGGCGCAGAGCCGGTACGAACGCGAGCTGGAGCACGACGTCGAGGGCACGGCGAACCGCGCGCCCAACAGCGCCGCCGAAGGGAGGCTGGCCTTCCAGAAGTGGCTCGAGCCCGCGTGGCGGTCCGACCGGATGTCGTGGATGCTGCTGAGCACCGCGCAGGCCCTGGCCTTCGAACTGGGCGTGTTCGACCAGAAGAACGACGCCAAAGCCGCCAGCGAGTCGCCCGCCGAGCAGACGCGCAAACGCCGCCTCCGTCGTCTGATCCTGGTGTATATCACGCAGAGCAGTGGACGTCTGGGCATCCCGTCCATGCTGCCGCTGCCGCAGTGGACCAACGACATCCAGCCGACCTCGGCGACGGGGAAGGGCACCGATACCATCGTCGATCGCATGCACGACTGCTGGATCGGCATCTCCAAGATCATGTACCAGAGCAACCAGCTGCTGTTTGCGTCCAGCGAGCAGACCTCCGAGCTCATCCGCAGCGGCCGGTACCGCGACCAGATCGACCGGTTCCAGCCGTTTCTGCGGGAATGGCGACATAATATCGACACGATTGATTGTGAGTCTTCTGCTGGATCTGATACTGCTGGTGGATATATACTGACCTGTCTCTGGTATAGTGGCACCCTCCATGAGAAGTATCCTGATGATCGAATACGAATACACCCGTACGTTACCTGCTTCTGCCTGTGGATATGTCTAACAATGATGCAGGACTGTATGTGAACTCCCTCGCGCTGCAGGCGGTGGTCGACCGCTGGACGACCATGTCCAACGAAGCCGCGCAGGCCCAGTGCGCGCGGCCCAACTCTGGCCCGTCCGCTGGTGCTGGGTATTCGGTGCTCATGGAGCTGTACCGCGTCAACGAGCAGTATATCCAGGAGGTTGTCGATGCGTCTCGCAAGATCTTGCAGACTGTCCTGGATATCCTTGTCCCGCGTGACCATCTGAAGCATACCCCTGTGAGGACCTGCTTTCGTATCCTGTCGGGGATGATATTTATTCTGAAGGTGTGTCTATCTTTTTCTTTCCCTCTCTTGTTCTCTCTCTCTCTCTCTGTGTGTGTGTGGGTGTGTGTGTCTACTGATGTGCTGACTCCCCAGACCTTCACGCTCGGCGCCAAAGAAGACGACGTGCGCGTCTCGTTGGACCTGCAGGACCGCACAATCGAAGCCCTGAAGACGTGCGTGGTCGACGACGTGCACCTGAACCACGCGATCGCACGGCTGCTGGAGCTGCTGACGACCAGCATCCGCACGCGGTTCCTGCGATTCGCCCCGCTGGACCGCAGCGGCGACGGCGAGCAGGAGCGGCCATCGGCGCCCAACTCGCGGCACCAATCGCCCCGGCCGCGCGACGGACCCCCGAGTCGCCGCGAGGGATCCAGCCACGCCTGGACGCCGGCACACACCGCGACCCAGAACCTGGGCTACGTCGACGGCAACAGCACCGGCACCGGACTGGGCGTGCACGACCCCCTCGCCGGCATCCCCGCGCAGCCCATCAACTCCTCCAACATCAACGTCTCCTTCATGCCGCCGCCCCCCTCGGTCTACCACAACTACTACGACCCCAGCGCGACGCCGCCGGCCGGCGACCTCGACGGCGGCCCCGTCCCCCCGCAGTCCCTGCATGACCACCCCGGCGCGTCCGGCGGTCTCCCGGACTGGTTCGCCCTCCCGCTGGACCAGTTCTTCAACAGTTCGACTGCTGTCGTGGACCAGGGGCTGGGCGGCACGGGGCCGATGGTCGGCGAGTTCGACATGCTGGAGGTGTTGCTGAACGAGCAGTATGATGGGAATGGGGAGGGCGTGGACTCGGCGGGTGGGAATCTGCCGTCGCAGTTTATGCAGTCATGATGTGCGTGTAGCTAGCTCGCTTGTCTATTGATTGATTGGTTGGTTCATGATTGTACGACTCTACGCGATAGCTTTTTTTTTGACGCTGTTTTTGCTGTTAGCTGTGGCCGTTACATGTATGCTGTATGGATGCAAGTTTATTTGTATGTATCCCTGTCTTGTGGACTGTTGTTGATAGAAGTGTCCATTTGTCCATGTCTCTGTGCGAGAGAGTGAGAAAGAGAGAGGGAGTATGTATGTATGTATGTACATTGTATATACCCACGGGACCGAATAGCGCCAGAGTGCGCCATTTATTCGCTGTATAGACCGTGGGGTGGACGGCTTGAGGTTTCTGCGTGATGTCTACTAGTGTGTTTGTGTGTGTTAGTCTATTCTTGTTTAGTCTGGATATAGTAGGTAGTATTATTATAGTAGGTCCTAGGTAGTATCTGGTCCGATGCAAAGTCGATACTATGCAGGGTTCACATGTCGTGCGGTAGAGCTCCGTCGAACTGGCCTTCCCGTCCCGGTCTTCTCTTTCGAAGTCCCAGCTATGATCGTGACTATCTCTGTGTCAAATGGTAGTGGCAATGGCGTTGTCAAATGTCACTGTCAATCTCAATCATACCTCGGTCCGTCCCTCCATCTCCATCACCATCTATCTCTAAGAAGTATCTCCCACCCTGGCCCGGAGTACTCCGTCTCCGTCCCGCACGGAGTAATGCAATCCCGACTACGCCTAACCCTAACAAACCCATCTACTATCTATCTAGCCAAACCCTCACCGTCACATCGCCCCCATCCCCCCTCTGCAGAATGTGACATGCTACGAGAAGACCAAGACACTATCTTCCTGCAGGGACGGAGGACCTCTGGACGCCCGTCCGGCCCCTGATAACAGAACATCCATCTGGCTCCACTGTGACTTGCTGCTGCTGGAGTTCCGACGGAGTTGCGGGCGGGCGGGCGGGACGGACTGGATGGACGGGATGGACCCTGCTTGGGATCGGCGGATGGCCATCTATCTATCTATACTATACTATACTATACTATACTATCCTACACTAGACTACAATACACTGTTGAATAATAGTGGGTGGGATGTATATGAGGGTGATAGTACTATCTGTTTTACTATAGAACTATGGAATGAGACTAGGGGTAGCTGGATCGGAGATCTGGTGTATCTGATCTTGACTGACTCTCTTACTATATCTAGTTGGTGTTTGATTGGGTCTATGGTGGGTTAAATGGGCATTATGGTCTTTCGATCGAGCAGTCAGTCATCCATCCATCCATCCATCTGCATCTTCACTGCAACCTGTCCCCTCCCCTCCCCCCCCCCACCCTAGTCCCTAGTCCTTAGTCCCTCCTAACCCAACCCCACAACCAGGGTCCAAGGCCAAAACCCAGATAGTCAGGACCTATCTCTATCCACCTTCACTGCCCTAAACGTCCTCAATGTCTTACTTTGATGGATCCCAGCCCGCAGCAGACAGCATTAGATACCCCCCCCCACCTGCGAATGTTCCTCATCCTCATCCTCGTCCGGACGACAGTCGGGGATCTGCTCGGCGGATTCCTGGATGGGCGATATGGCCCGGTTGGTGGCTTTGGATGTGAGACATTTGGTTGTCTGTCTTTTTCAACTTTGGGGGTTGTGTTCTGGCTTCTGAGGGTGTATTGTATAGTATAGGTGGGGAGGATGAGGAGGAGGTATAATGAGGAGGGGAAGAAAGAGGGAGGTATAAGAAGGCTGTTCTGTCTTGTCTTGTCTTGTCTGTCTGCTCTGCTCGACTCCACTGATTCTATTCTATTCTATTCAATTCTCATCATCAACCAGAGTCAGCCTTCCCTTATTCTGTCTACTCCCTACCAGACCAGTCAATCAAAATCAACCCAACAATGGTCGTCTTCAGCAAAACTGCCGCCCTCACCCTAGGTCTGGGCCTCTCCAGCGCCGTCATCGCAGCCCCAGCCCCAATCCCTCAAACCCAACCGAAAGGCTTCTTCTCCATCCACCAAGTCGCTAAACCCTCTGTCGCCAACAGAACCCGCTCCGTCAACCTGCCTGCCGCGTACGCCCGCTCGCTGGCCAAGTTCGGCGCGACGGTGCCCCAGTCCGTCCAGGACGCCGCGGGCGAGGGCTCCGCCGTGACGACGCCCCAGGCTGATGATGCCGAGTATCTGACCCCCGTCACGGTGGGGGGGTCGACGCTGCATTTGGATTTTGATACGGGGAGTGCGGATCTGTATGTTGTCTTCACCTATCTCCTTCCCTTTTATAAAAAGAAAGAAAGAAAGACTAGGGCTAACAAGTAGACAACCAGATGGGTCTTCTCCTCCGAACTGCCCTCGTCCGAATCCAGCGGCCACAGCCTGTACACGCCCAGCTCGACCGCCAGCAAGATGTCCGGCTACTCGTGGGACATCTCCTACGGCGACGGCAGCTCCGCCAGCGGCGACGTCTACAAGGACGTGGTGACGGTCGGGGGTGTCACGGCCACGAAGCAGGCCGTGGAGGCGGCCAGCCAGATCAGCGAGGAGTTCGTCGAGGATACGGCGAATGATGGGCTGTTGGGGTTGGCGTTCAGTTCGATCAATACTGGTGAGGAACTTGATTTCCCCCCCCCCCCCCCCCAAAATCATTATTCACCCATCCTATCATAGGATGGGTAGGGATGGGTATGCTAATCAAGACGGAATGTGGAATGATCAGTGCAACCCCAAGCCCAGACGACCTTCTTCGATACGGTCAAAGACCAGCTCGATTCTCCTCTCTTCGCGGTCGCCTTGAAGCACGATGCCCCCGGCGTGTATGACTTCGGCTTCATCGATGGGTCCAAGTATACCGGGGCTCTGGCCTATGTGGATGTCGATAGCTCGGAGGGATATTGGGGCTTCACGGCGGATGGGTATGCCGTTGGGGATGCCGATGTGAATGATGATGGGTTTAGGGCTATTGCTGGTATGTTTCTTTCTTCTCTTTCCCCACCGTCTTTCTCTAACAACAACAACTAATCATCCAATAACAGACACCGGCACCACCCTCATCCTCCTCGACGACAGCACCATCTCCGCCTACTACGCGCAAGTCTCCAAGGCCGAGAACAGCGCCTCCGCCGGCGGCTACGTCTTCCCCTGCTCGGCCAGCCTGCCCGACTTCACCGTCGTCATCGGTGGATATAGCGCCGTCGTCCCTGGCACCTACATCAACTATGCCCCCGTGTCCACCGGAAGCAGCACCTGCTATGGGGGCCTGCAGAGTAACAGTGGCCTGGGCTTGTCGATTCTGGGTGATGTGTTTTTGAAGAGTCAGTATGTCGTTTTTGATTCCGAGGGGCCGCGGTTGGGGGTTGCGGCGCAGGCTTAGAGGAGGGTATGGGTTTGGGGTTGGATATAACTCATGTGTGTCTGTGTGTTTGTGTGTCAGTGTGTCAGTGTGTCAGTGTGTCAGTGTGTCAGTGTGTCAGTGTGTCAGTGTGTCAGTGTGTCAGTGTGTTTGTGTGTCTGTGTCTTTACCAGTGAGTGGGTGGGCTTTACATACCATATACCTCGAAATGTACCGGGGTAGACATAACAGAGCCAGAAAGGGCTGATTGAATGAGGAAGAAGTATGACTGGACTGCTGAACTGTCCCACACTGATTAATATACTTTATTCACGGTGTCATTCAACTTATGTGAGGATAGTAGACCCCAACTGGGTAGTACTCAACAACTAACCGAACTCCCCACAGTCTGGATACAGATATAAACCGAGCGAGAGTGAGATCAAGATGGATGGGCGAAAAAAAGTCAATTTGGAGACACACGTGGACACATAAATATAAACTACAAAACATCAAGTCCATTAATATCTAGTAGAAAACATCAAGTCCCTTTAGGTGATGGATTACTACAGTATTTTCATCCAGTAGAGTCAAATTGGTATCTATGTCCCATTAATCCGCACCATCTATCCATCTCTATACCCAGACACATGTGCCACCGTGAATCATAAGCGCCGTCCGTCCGATCCGCATCATAACTCCAGTTTATCCAACCCCCAAATCTCCCACCGCTGCAGCACATCCCAGCCCACCCGTCTCACATGCCGACGCCAGTACCGCCCCTCCCTGAAGATTTTATGCACGCACGGATCATCCAACACTTCCTCCGTCTCTGCCGGGGTGGGCTCCTCCGTTGCGCTGCTCGGTGTGTGATCTGGCGCCGTGGCGGATGACCCGTCCTCTCGTCTCCGTTTCCCGAGCGTCGAGGGCGGGTTGGATTTCGGCGGCGGAGCTGACCCTGGCAGGCCAAAGGTAGGGCTGCGCTCCTGGGTCCCGTTTGCGTCTGCGCTCGGGCCCGCGAGCCTGTCGGCGTCTGCAGCTGGACGTGTCCCTGCTCCGCTTCGTCGACCGGGACGGTGTAGTAGTCGCCGAGCTGGAATCCTTTCCGGCCCAAGCCAATCACCTTCAGCCGGTGGAAGACCTGCTGGTCGGCGAGGCCTTCGCTTAGCCGGGCGATCAGGTACTCGTCCTCCACTTCGACCACGTCCGCGAGACTCTGCGCCTTGGCGAGCATGTTGGCGGACTTGGAGGCGTACCGGGCCGTCTTGGAGGGGGGCGCCCGTTGTGTCTCGGATGTCGGACTGGTGGGCACCAATAGACGTAGTGCGACCAGGTTGCGGAGGAACGGAAGTAGGAGACCTAGTGATTCTATATCGCTGAACTCTGTGGCGAAGCCCAGCTGTTCGAGTTGCGGGCTGGCGTGCACCAAGCGGGCCACGGCCGACGCGGAGAGCGGCCATCGTGCGGGGAGTAGGAGGTGTCGTAAGGTGGCGGCGTGGTTGAGGGTGATGTTGTTGAGGTAGAGATCCCGCATGCTGGATTGCAGGCTGGGCGAGTTGGCCGCCACCGCATAGGACCCGGACCCGTTCGTCTCCGAGGGCGGGTGGTCGGAGCCCGGGGGCGTGAGAGCGGTCGCCGGGAGCAGCGGTCGGGGGGAGTTGATGTCGTCGCCGGGGTTCGTGGTGGCATTGATGAAATACAGTCGTTCCAGCCCGCTGAACGAGCCGATGAATTCGGCATGTTTCCGGCCGACGGCATCCTGTCGGACACTCTTGATCCGGAGGTTCTGTTTCGGCATGGTGGGCCAGGTGCTGTCGACAAACGTGTTCATCGACAGATCCGCGCCGCAATTGTTGAGGATGGTCACCTCTTCGAGCGCGCCGTTGTCGATGGCCACGTTGAACTCCTCGGTGTGCAGGGCGTAGAGGTTCTGCAGCCCGACCTTGCGCACCGAGAGCGGCTGCTTCGCGGCGATGCACTTGCGGAAGTAGTCGTGGACCATGACACTGGGCTCCTGCTCGTTGCGCATGCGGGGCGACCAGTGCAGGTTGAGTTCTCGCAGCTTGCGGCACTTCCAGAGGAGGGTCGAGATGTCATCCGGGTAGCAGAGGGGGTCGATGTCGGTGATTTTGAGATATCGCAGGTGGGGCATGGGCGGGATGACGATCGTGGGCCGGGGATGCCGACTGGACGGGAAGCGCAGGGTCAGGGCCTTCAGCTTGGGCAGCTTGGCGAGCCCCAGGTAGACGGTCTCCAGCATCTTGGTGTTGAGCTCCCAGCTGAAGCTTTCCAGCTCGGTCATCTGGTCCACGGCGGCCCGCACGGCAATGTTCAGCATCATGGCCGAGTCCGGCACGCGGCCGACGCGCGCATGCTCCTCCAGCTCCAGCTCGCGCCAGACGCCGCGGAGGGTCAGCGAGCGCACGAGGGAGGCATAGGGACGGGTGATGATGGCGTTCAAGCCCATGGAGAAGGGGCTGGCGCTGCCCATACCCTCGGGCTGGTCATCGCGGTAGCGGATCTTATCGTAGGAGGTCAGGGTGATGTGGCGGTAGAGCTGGGGGAGGGCCATGTAGTTGAGGACTCGGCATGTTCGACAGAGGCGGGCGAGATCGCCGGCGTCATCGACCTGTAGAAAGACAGCTGGTCAGCTCTCCGGACAGCTCCTGCAGACACAAGGAAGCTGCGACGCACATTGGAGACGACCTGGGCGATCAGGTTGAGGGGCAGGGCCATGAGCTGCGCGGCATGCGGGCGGTCAGGGGTGACGGTCGCGTCAAACATGTTCCGGTTGACAGCCGCCATGATGCGACGCCCAACGGGGAAAAGGTCGCGGCATGGACTGGTGAGCAGACGGGAGGGAGGGAGCAACCGCCACGCAAGACATCGATTGGAGCGGGGCGGAATTGGGATGGGGATGGAGGAGGGGGGGGGAGGGGGAGGGGGAGGAGGGGAGAAGGATGGAGAGGCTCGAGGCAGAAGACGAAGGAAGCGAAGAGACGAAGCCGGAGACGAGAGAAGAGAAGAAGAGAAGAGAGGAAGAGGAGGAAGGAGGGTCTTCCGCTGACTCATTGTGCCGCTCTGCCCCTTCCCCTTTGGGATAACTTATCCAGATCACTAATTATGCAGCACAAGCTGGGGGGTTCTCGGAGTTCTTTTCCTACAGACATTACGGTACCACCACCAAACAGACACTGACAGACACCGACACACACTGACAGGCACTGACAGGCACTGACACAGTCACACAGCATACCAGGGATGATGCACACATCCGAACAGCCCTAAGCCCATCTCAATCTCAACGACATGTCACACAACACCATCTACACCCACCGTAAACTGCGAATTACACATATTCGTCAACTCCCACGTCTCCGCTCCCAGCATCCTCTCCTTCCCCTCATCCTCCCAATCCCCCGCCGCGCCCGCCACAAACATCGCCGCCATGAAATGATCATCCGTCGCATGCGCCCCCCGATACTGGGGATGCTTCATCAGCCTGGTCATCGCACGCCTGAGCCACGGCCCCTCCGTGCGGAGGAGCACGTCCTCGACGGACTGCCGGAACTCCAGCGCCCACGGCTCCGGCGCCTTCTCCATGGCGAAGTTATCACGGAACCGCAGCATCGGGGCCCATCGGTTGCGGTAGAGGTTGTGCACCGCGCCGCCGGTGCCGATGAGCAGGTAGTTTTCTCGCCGCAGGGGGCGGAGCGTGGCTCCCACTTTCAGGTGGTAGTGTGGGTCGTAGCGCGCATTCAGCGAGATGATGGTCGTGGGGGGGCAGGCGGCGGGGAACATCCGGATGAGGATCAGGTAGACGTCGTGGATCCAGTCGATGGTGGGGTTGGGGGTGACGCGGAAGTTTTCGCGCGCGAGGAGCTCGATGCACCGTTGGGCGGTGGGGAGGTCCGGGTTGAGGCTGTAGGAGACGTATTTGGATGGGTGCACGTAGGCCACTGGGCTTTTGTTCGGCTTGGGGTTTGTGGATACTTGGATCTGGTCACCGTGGCAGTCCCAGTGCGCGCCCTGGGGGGGTTAGTGGGAAGAAGAAGAAGAAGAAGAAGAAGAAGAAGAAGGGAAAAGTGGGGATAGGGTGAGAGGAGACATACCATAATAACTACCCCTTTAATGCCGCGTGCGAGAGCCTCGTCACCGCATTGGCGCCAATAATCGGCAGACGAGGACTCCTCGCCCAGCATCATGGTCGAGCCATGGGAGAAGAAATGCACCGGGGTCAACCGAGCTGCAGTGGTGTGGGCTGGATCGAGCTTACCCATTCTGTGAACCGTACCACTGTAAAAAGGGAGAAACTGTGAACAACAGTAGAGTCCACTTCGGAGACTTCTTGGACAAGATCCATCCTTATACGGGACTCGGGTGGTGGACCACAACCCGAGCCCTACTGTATTCCGGGGATGGTTCCGGGGAAAGTGGGCCGTTCGGGTGGGTTCCTCAAACTTAGGATTTGGGTTAGTAGAGAACACGAAAGACTGTACATTGAAAATGGCAAACCCTACCTGCCGAGGAGGGAACCGGGATACACGATGGTTTATGTATATACGAGCGAGACAGAGGTAAGAAGTCAAGATGGGAATTAGAATCCGGCAGGTTCTCTTCTGCACCATGTAACAACTCATCTGTAGCAAAGAGGACCGAAATCATCTGGAAAGAGTTAATATCAGTTGATCAGATACCCTACTGGAAAAAGAAAAGAAGACCAGCAACAATCACATTGCCCACCATCTACCATAGTAATAATACGAGACAGATAACCACTCAGCAACCCCTGAACTATCCACACGCAATATATACAACCACATCCCACGCATCAGAACTATACAAGAAAAAGAAAGAAGCTATCGTCAAGAACAAAGAGCCCCAACGCCTTGAGACCACATCCCCAAATTCCAATATGTGCAGCTCAACCCCCAAGAATACCAACCGGGCCTCCCACTCTACCGCTCCATCCAAGATAATCCCTCAAGGGGCATACGACATCTGCACCGGCGTCATATAAGGCGAGACGAGGGCAGCGCCGGTCGTCTGAACGACGAGTCTCCGCGATTCCTCGCGCTTCTTGATTTCCCTCTCGTCCTGGATGAGGGTGCAGCAGGTACAGCAGGTTGCGCGGATACAGTCCGACGCGATATTGCCTTCGATGCTGTAGGCCTTGCGGGTGCGGGTGTGTTGGATGGTGGCGAAGAGCCCTGATACAGTCGGTTAGCTACTACATATGCCCTCGGCTGCGAGTGAATGGAAAAGGAATAGTTTACAGTGACATCCACACAGCAGCGCCATGGCCGTACAGGAACCATTGCAGCAACTATATCCCAGCATATTGGTGGGGTCCTCGGAGCGCGACTTCCGCGAAAGTCGATGCTGGGTCTTCCCGTAGAGGACGCACGGGCAGAAGAACCCCAGACAGCAGGCCCCGATGTCCGAGCAGCCGCAGAGGCTCGTGCTCCATGTGCCGCCGCGGATTTCTTGGTCCGGGTGGCGGATCTGTCCGGGTCGGTGGTGCGCCGTGATATCCATCCCTGCGGGTGTCATTGGGGCGCCGGACGCTGCCCGAAGGGGGTACTGCGGGAATGAGGGCGAGTATAATGGGGTTGGGGCTGCGAGTGCCATGGGCGGGGGACTGGATGGGTGCGGGGAATGGGATACCATGGGGTCTGCTTTGGTTGGGAGGGGTCCAGGAGAGTGCGGGATGTATGTATGGGGGTCGTGGGGGATTGTGGTTTGAGACTGGACTTGCTGTGGCTGTGGTGGTGGTGGTGGTTCATCGGCGTATGGGGCATAGTTGGCTGGATGTTGCGCGATGCTTGGCCCACTGGGGTAGCCGTAGGCCGACATGTCTTGCTGGTATTGCGGCGATTTCTCGTTCATGGGCATCTGGGTCGGCGGGGGCCCGACCTGCGGTTCTGCCACCTGGATGTCTGATGCGGTCGATGGCGGGAGGGCCTGATGTCCCAATTGACCCCTAGAGGCATGCATGTTTTGAGGGGTCTCGAGAAAGGAATATCTCTGGTCCGCGCCCAGATTGGACGTGTCGAGGCGCAGTTGTCCGCTCATGACGACGGCTGTGAGCTCGACTCAAGCTGGGACTGCATTGGGGGGTTGGATCTACATGTATCCTCCCCAGGCTGAGCAGAGACATGCACGAACGAGAACGAGGGGCGAGAGACTTGCGGACGGCCGACGGGTTATGTATGTATAGCCTCGATGGACGGCGGGGAAAGCTAGGGCTCGAGTGGTCGAATGGTCAGCATCGCCTGCTCGCATCCACTGCTAGCCCGGCCCTAATGTGGCCCTTTCACACCGGCGGCCATTGGGAAGCTCCCGTTGGGCCCGCCAGCACCTCCCGTCACATCACATCGCCGGTCGGGCGCGTCACACTCGACGGCACCGAAGCGCCCACCTGCAGCTGTTCTCCTGAGAGTGCTCATGACTGCTGGACGAGTCCATCATCCCTGAAGCCCATCCGGGTCATCCGGCCTCTATCACGTGACCCACGGCCGCTTGGGAGAGGTGAGAGGCCTCAGGCCCCTGTTCCAACGTCTGCCCTAAGTTGGACAGGGATGGAAACACCTCGATCGTTCCCTGGACCAGATAGATATCCACCGACCGCTGGATGCCTCCCCGGTGCTTTGATCGTAACGACGCCACTGAACGCTCTTTCCACCATGGCATTCACCTCCGTCAAGACAGGACTGCTGAATTTGGGCCCGAGCCCAGCTTCTCCGGTGCTGTGAAACAGACAAACAGACACCGAAAGGAACCATCCTACAGATCAAACAACCAGGCAGAAAAAAAAAAGCCAATTCGGCCCCGGATCTTCCCACGCATCGTGGGACGGACCAATGTGGTTTCCCCTGTCTGGGTTACATGGCCATTGTGCACGCCACATGATTGGCCACACAATACAGAGCTGGGAGTTGTTCTCTCGACTACTTGTAGAAAATAGATGAGATGGTTTAATTAGCGCTGTACACCCGTGCCACGCCGTCTATAAATGCCTCTGGACAGCCACGCAAAGCAGTTAGTATCACGTGTCCGCTAGCGCCGATTCTCCCCGCGCGACCTCCCGCGCCGATCCGTCTTGGACTTCCGCGCTAATTTCAACAACTCCACACACCCCCATCCGAACTCCATCTCCTTCCACCGTCTCACATACATCCCCACCAACTCCACCCCCACCGCCTCCGCGCTCGCCAACGTCACCGAATGCTCGCGACTATTCGCCGTATCCAACACCATATTGGTATCGCAGGACATGGCGACGAAGTGCTCGTCCAGGAAATCGACCAGCCGCGCAGCCGGGTTCTCCTGGATAGGTCCGGTAAACGCACGCACGCGCCGGGTCCACTCCGCGAAGGGGACGAGGGCGGGCGCGTCGAGGAGATCAGATAGGATGTGTAGCTTGTCGTGCCAGGGTTGACGGTGGAGGAGCGGACCAGGTCCTGCGTGGCGTGGATGCAGTTGGTTGCGATAACAATATGCTGGCTCTGCAAGAGATCGGCAGCAGGCTGCTCCTCGATGTTGATCATCTTGAAGCGCATGAACGGGTACTGCTTGAACCGCTTTCGTAGACCGGCGACAAACGAGGAAGAGATGTCGGTGACCGTGTAGATCACGTCAACTCCCATGCGAGCCAGCAAGGGCGCCATGATCGAGGTAGTCCCGCCTGTTCCCGCACCCATCTCCAGGATGTTGATCGTGCCAGAACCAGCAGGCAGGTGCGCGAAGAATTCCTGCAGGAGGAATTCCATCTGCCTGATCCAGGGCAGATTGATGGGCGACTGGCTGTACATGCCCGTCGCCTGCTCGCGACCTTCTGCTGACCCGAAGAGCAGCTGGACGCCGTCTACAGCGCCGCTGAGGCAGTCGGCCAGCCGGGAGCCGGTCATGTAGGTGAGACGGTGATCGAACGAGTGATTCGAGCCGTCGGCTAGGAGCTGCTCCAGCAGAACGGTGGCTGACTTTTCAGGACAGGGGGTACTGGTTCGAGTGATGCGAGCACCTTCGACGACCACCAGTCCCGCTGTCTTCTCTAGCATCTCGTAGATGAAGTCCACAAATCGTTCGTGGCGTGGCAGGTAGGATATCCTCGACACCGTTCTGACCAGGTTGCGCCTGACGGATAGAGCAATCCATGGTATCAAACGCATCCAGGATGTGCACGATGACAAGCTCTGTGGAGGTGGGCAGGATCTTTCTGTTGTAGTCGGCCAGTCCGTACTGCTCGATGAACGTATCGGTTGACTGCTTCGTGATGGCAAACGCCTCCCGAACTGCAGTCGCCATACCAGCGAGGACACCATTCGAGTGGCACTTCGTGTGAGACGTGCCATTGACCTTATTGATCTGAGTACCATTGACCCGGGTGCCATTAACCTGCACAGGACCAACCTCACCAGCTGACTCCTGCTCACCCCCAGCACTATACCCCAGCACGGCTTCAATGCAGCGCAACAAACTCGCAAAATCAGTCAGATTCCCCAGCTCAGAAACACCGGCCAGGTTGTGGAACCAGTCAGGCGAAGTCATAACATTGGCCGCACCAGCCAGGGCAGCAGAGCACTCGTTGTGGAGGCTGGCGCGGCACGCTTGGTGCACGGCAACCGCGGATGACGAGCAGGCCGTATCCAGCATCAACGACGGGCCTGTCCAGCCGAAGTAATGACTGACTCGACCAGCGGCGAAGCTCTTTAGGTTTTCCGTAGCAGCATACGCACTAGCGGGGTGGCAGGCGATGTTACTCTCATAGTCCACCAGCCCCACGCCCAGGAAACAGCCGATATGCTTGTCCGGGAAGCGTTGGTCGTGGAAGTATCCCGACTGCTCGAGAGCTTGGTAGGCAGCTTGCAGAATCAGCCGATGCTCGAGCCCATTTCTCTCTCGAGGGCTCTTCTTGAAGAACCGGTAACCGAAGGAATCATGATCATCGATGAAATTGCCGTACCACTTCCGCTTCTTGTCTAAGGTGCGCCACACAGTGTCCATCTCGAATCGGCTACTGGCAACCTCGATGTGCTGGGACTTGCCCTCGCGCAGCAACGCGGAGAACTGCTCCAGATCCCTGGCACCGGGTACCTGGCAGGACATTCCTACCACGGCGATGCGGCAGTCCGTGGGGTCGTCATCCTCCGCTGTGCTGGACAGTGGAGTAGCCAGCTCGTGGGCCGGCCGCAGATGATGCAAATCCAAATCAGCGACATGGACAATGCGCGAGCCAAGCTTGGGAAGAAGCGAGGGAGGGACGCAGCGCTCGGGACCAAACCTTGCGATTTGGGACTCCTTGCCTTGTAGCCTGTCCGACTGCGCATCGGAAAAGGTGCGGTACCAATGAGACTGATCCACAAGGATTGCCTGCAACGCTAGAACATCCAGCCTTTCCCCCTCCGTCTGGGCAGATTCAGTTGGAAGGACAGTCGGGCGAGCCAGCTCAGGTATTGATTTATAGTATGACGGGGGATAGGAGTATAAGTAGGTAGCTTCTGTTTTCGGGTACTGGAATCTTGGATACCGAGATATATCATTGAGTAACCATAGCCAGACGAAATTTCGTAACCAGCCATCTATCTACCTACCAGCCCTAGTGCATTCGCTTGTCTTTGTCTTCGTCATATGTTATGTTCCATTTATGTGCCCGGACTGGGATACGCCATAGCATCCCGAGTTTGGGGGGGGGGGGTGGTCTTCCGGTTCGAAACTCCGAACCAGAAGCCACAACCCGACATGTTTCATCCCAGGGGATATGGGACTGGGGTTGGCATGCTGTGGCAATTGGTCAATGTGCATAGGGACAGAAGTTCTTGGGGGGCATTTCCTGTCATATAAGCGCAACATCGTCGGATCTGCAGGCTTATCAAGAACAGCTTTTAGCTTCCGCTGCTTCTCTCCCCAGATAATCATCAATTCAATCTGACATCATACCTACAGCCGAGACTTGTTCCATCAGCGAATCCCTTGCACAGCCACTCGACTATATTGTCGTCGGCGGAGGCACGGCCGGTCTTGTCGTCGCCTCCCGGTTGACCGCCAACCCTAATGTGACGGTGGGCGTCCTCGAGGACCCCAATGTTCTGAAACTGACGGGGATGGGCGCAATGCTGCATAACCCTGCGTATGACTGGATGATACCAAAGTGTGCCGCAGGTAAGCAAGTGTACACTCATCTGAGACGAGTATCGCTCTAACGCAACCGGATTGGGACCCACCGATCCCTCTTCACTGTCGACCGCACTGGTGTGACGCAACGCAGCTACTCTGCCAACGGATACCTGCTGCCTGCCCTGGGACGTCCCAATCTCAAAAGTCCTGACGAACGCGCTCGCACGCAAGATCCTCTTGGATGACGAGCAGCGAGCTATCGGGGTGGAATTGCAGTCTGGGGAGACCATTCACCAGGCCTTCTCCGCCGACCGCGTCTTCCAGTTCGGCGCCATGCGAGACCAGGTGAAGACGAGGGTGGAGCCGACGTCGGAGATTGAGCTGCTAGATCGCGACCAGGCCCGGGGGTATGTGAGGGACCGGGATGATGAGCTATCATCATGCGGTGGGACGTGCGCATTGGGAGAGGGGGGGGTTGTTACGATGCGAGGTAGGTAACTAGGCTATTAACATCGACCTGCTGGGTTTTCGTACAACATTAACAGAAATATATGATATTTCGGGCGGTTGTGGTTTACTTGGGTCTAATCAGGTTTGGTTTGGTCAATGCCAAAATATATTCCTGATTCGGCAGCGAGAGAATATGTATGTATAGTAGTATATATATTTCATTTTCGACCCACCCGACGGGTTGCTGCCTGATTCTGTCTAGGCAGTCACAATACCACACACATGCATCATGTATTACCGATCGACTCGTCGAGACCTTAGGTTGGTGGTCTGGCCTGGTCTGATCGATTCGATCAGGAACAACGTCATGAGTCGTAGATAGATAGATAGATAGATAGATAGATGGAAGTACTATGAAGTATGCAGGATGCAGGTAAGCATGTACCATGTATGTACCTGTACCCAGTCAGAGGCGGGTAAGGCAGAAAGGGGAGCAAGCGTCATTCCAGAAATGATGACACCGTACAGTAGTGGATGGCTAGCAGACAGACACTTTCAGACAATTAGTGAAGTTGACTAGTCAACTAAACTACTACTAGGTCAATCCGGCATTGGGTTTAGGCACAGGATCTGGCAGGTTTGGGCGTTTTCGGAGGGCTGGAAGCGATCCTGACCAACGGGCCGATCACGTTGGCCAACAATTGGTAGGGTTTGGCTGGGAATCGAGGGCACGGGTCAGGCGGGGGCAGGAGATAAGACCGCTTCTGTGTCCGGATGGGAAGTGGGACTACCGACCTACCTGGCTCTCTGTACGACTGTGAGATATCTCTTGGAGATATATACCTACCTGGGGAGAGGTATATTCTCTATCATATTGATTATCACGGTAGACTATCTGTATCTATACTATCTACTAGATAAGTCACTATCTCCGGAGTCCCGGAGCAACGTTACTCTAATCACTAGCGTCTGAGTCCAATCTCCATTAGTGGAAGCCCTAAATCGCGCCGGTGGGGGGGGACCTCCATTTGCGACCGCTCATCGTGCACTTGGCCTTGCAGAATGATCCAGATAGATAGATGGTCTATCTCTCCATTTTCGAGCTTTGGACTCTCACGTTTCACCTTCGGGTGACCCCCGGATTGGCTGCGATCGTCTCGCCTGTACTTAAGTATCCCCCCCCTTTTCAGCCAGCCAGCCATACTGCCTGCATTTCGAACCCCCGGCGGACGGGTCTGCAGCTGGCCAGTTCCGTCGTTGGTTTTTTCTTCACCGGGGCTTGCAATGAACCACGGCACGTCACATGAGAACCCGCGCCCCCTTTCCCCTTCCCCCTTCCCAGTGATGAGCCCGACTTTTGTCAAGAAGGGAGGGGGGGCTTTTCTGCCCATTCCATGATTAGGAATGGGATTGGGATACTGACGGGGCGGAGTGCTGACGGTGTATCTCTTATCATCCATGTCAGCAGTATCTAGCCTGCTTAGTATCTACAGGCTAGGCTAGTACGGAGTAGATAGTAGTAGCATCCACTTTGGTTCGCATGGCAGGAAGGAGGACTGCGGAGAAAGCTCTGGTGGCAGCCGGCTAGCAGAAGTGGATGGATGCCCTCTTGCTCCCCGAAATTGAGGGCATTAGGCCACGAATCCCACGGATCCCACGGATGCCACGAGACAAGCAGGAAAGGGATTCATTTTACGTATCTGTAACTGGGGGGATGGAAGTCCCGATTGGTGATGGTAATGGCCTCATGAGTAGGAGGAAGAGGAAGTAGGAGAAAAGGAACGGATCAATAGTAGTAGAAGAAGAAAAGAACGGCGACAAAGGCGGTGACGGGGATCCGCGTCATCTCTTCTCTCTCCTTCTCCGTCTCTCTCCTCTTCTTTCCTTTCCTTTCCTTTCCTTCCACTCACCTTCCCTGCTTTGGGGATCATCAGGCTGACTACTTTCTTACTTTACCTCTACTACCACTACTACTATTACTGCTAGTTACTTCCTGCCAACTAGTTGCTCCTCCTACCCGCCCTATCACCTCCCCTGCCTTCTCCAGTTATTCTCCCCCAGTCTAGTACCGCCCGCTAAAGTAGCAGCAGCCTCCATTCCCCGATCATCCTCTGGCTGCTCCCTCCAACCATCGCTCTCCCCCCCTCCCCCCTCCCCATTGACCCAGTCCATCCCGTCTGAACAACCTGTAAGATGCCCTTGCCCCCGAACGTGGCTGATGTTCCTTGATCTGCCCTGCTGGATTTGGATTCTCCCTAACTTTCGGGCTCGGTGACGCCAGACAGATCCTCGCTCTCTCCTCACCCCTTCCATTTCCCGCCCTCCCTCGGTGAAACACCACTCACCACTCACCACTCACCACACATCACATCCCCATCGACCACTCTCTCAAAACAAAATCTCAACCCACAAACTCACACCCACCCAACCATATCTCTCGGCCCAGAAACGCGTCCTTCCGCTCGGCATCTTTCGTCCTTGCCCTCTCTCCCTGCACCTCCGACCAATGTCCTCCCCATGTCAAGTCCTCCACCTGCGACTGAGAACACCCGGTCAGGACCCCTGGTGACACCTGCTGCGTCTGCCCAACATGATTGCTCCGAAGGGCCTGATCCCCTCCTCGACAAGCACCGGCGCCACCGCGACGCTCGGGGCCAGCTCATCCACGACGACCGTCACAACCAAGCTCCCTCCCCGTCCCGCGCCGAATCCCCCACCGGCCATCAATGGGCCAAGCCCGTCTCCTCCTTTGCTCTAAAAAGGGCCACTACCGCCCCCATCGAGCGCCTGTCCCGTCCGGATCGCTCCCATAGCCCGCAGCTGTCCGAGCGCGACAGCATCTTCGCAACCCATTACCTCCCCTCTGACGCCGAGCCTAGCGTTACACCGCACGTCGCGCCCGTGGGCGATGCCCAGCATGACCCCCGACTACCCTGATCCCCCTCTTCGAAGATGTTTCTTCCTCTCCTCCTCCGATTTCCCCTCACAAGGTCCTCCCCCGTCACACTCGCGTCGGCCCTTCCCACATGGAAGTTGACGTTCGCAGGCAGCACCCACTAGGCCCGCCCTCCTTGCTTCCCTCCGCGGTGCCTCGCTCCTCGCCATTGCTGCCCGTGGACTCGCTCGCCGCCTTGGAGAAGCGTTCCGACGTGTCGCCGCGAACGCCACATCCTCCGGTCTGGGAGACCCTGCAGCCCCTGCGCAGAATCCCGTTGGACGGACTCGCCACCAAATTCGCCCCGTCCGAGGACCCTGCGGCGCACCGCAGTCTGCTGTCCGCCTCCCTGACGGACAGCACTTTGTCGCCCTCTCATTCCGCATTACGATCATCCCCAACTAAGAAGCCTACGGGCACCGGTCGTGAGACGGTCCCTCATCCCTGGTCGGGACAACAACAGGACGGGTCGCTCGCACCGAAGCCCGAGCGGAGCTCGAGTCGGGGCCGGCGTGGTCGGGTTGAACAGTCCATTGAGGCCAGCCTGGCCAACCCAGAGCCCGCGTCCCATGTGCGGAGCCGCAAGTCCAGCCACTACCTGGGCCTGTTCAAGGAAAACACCACTTCGCCGGATCGCAAACGCAGGGATGAGCGCGGCGGACGACATGATGAGTTTGCGGAACCCCATGACAAGCAGCAAGTAACTGCGCACTCGGAGCCGCGTTATGACCGGGAACGTCGTGATTCCCAATTGCGCATTCCCTCTCCGTCCGACGACGCCGAACTGCCCAGCTCGAAAAGCCTGTCGCAGCTATCGCTCGCGGACGCACCCGTCTTCCCACCCAGTCCCGAAAGTGAAACCTTTCCGCAAATGTCGAGCGACAATGTGTCCAAGCCCCTTCCCATCCTGCCAGAAAGTCTGCTGGAGGAGATCCGCAACTTCCATCTTACTCCGGGCGGAGCTCGGGGCACGTCATTCTCGCGGAGCATCCCCACGCAGTTTTCCGAACGGAGCAAAGACTATTTCACCAAGGAGCCTGCGCCGTCGGGCCTGGGGGAGCAGTTCTCCCCGTCGGATACGGATCGTGAACAACGCCGGGGCTCAGGGCAGTTCGAAGACGAGGATGACGAGCTGATCTCCTCTGCCGTCTACTTCCCCCACGAACGGGTGACGGTGTCTGAAGAAGTCGACCAGGTCGAGTCCTTTCCGGATAGCCAGCACGGCGTGGAGCCCGTTGATATATCGACCCCTCAGAGTAGTCACGTTCTGGTACCCAAGAGACATGCTGTTTCCGAAGAGCCGGAAGCTAATCATGTGGACATATCCCTTCGCTCTAAAAATGATAGTAGAATCCTACACGGCGACCTGCAGCAAGGCATGCAGAATGCTCCCATAGAAGAACTTAATGAAGAGTCTCTTGGTTCTATCCCCGAGCGCGCCGCGGAATACTCCACCTGCGAATCGGAATTTGCGTCGGCTGACGATAGTGGCATGTCGGTTCGAGACGAGGAATCGAGCGTGACAGATGAAGCTGAGGTGACGCCCACAGCCACGCCCACCCAGCGCTCGCGCATCGCCCGGCCCCGCCGCAAGCACGAGTCGGCCGCTCCTCTGGGCGCAGTGGAGTTGAAGCCCTACCGGCACCAGGTTGGGGGCCATACAACGGTATTCCGCTTCTCCCGGCGCGCCGTGTGCAAGCAGCTCAACAACCGCGAAAACGAATTCTACGAGCGGATTGAGCGTAGGCATCCGGAGATGCTGATGTTTCTCCCCAGGTGCGTATCTTTCTCGGAACCCTAGCTAGTCCGCCTCCGTGCTCATCCCCCGTTTCACCAGATACATCGGAGTTCTCAACGTCACCTTTTCCAAGACCCCGAAGCGACCCAAAGCCTCCTCCACCAGTCAGTCGGAGCGCCCCGAGAGCGCCAACGCTACACATCCCGCCAACGGGGCCGACAAGCACGGGCAGCCCGCAGACAGCAGCGCCCGCCCGCAGAAAGAGGCAGAAACCCAACGGATCTTCAGTCAGAAGCAGGTGACAGGGATTGTGCCACAGGTGATTCTGGAAAATAATCGGCACATCATTCCCGCGGATCTGTTCTCTCGCTGCCAGCGGCCCAGAACGGCAGACGGCTCATTGTCGGCGTCCAGGAGCTTCTCGGGCGACACTGGACAGATGTCGGCGGAGGAAAATATGCGGGGTTGTCTCTTGGATGGGCAGTCTTTCAACAGGAAGCAGTGGGGCGCCACTACTGTCAATACCAAGCTGCAAGAGCAGGTGCTTCGGGAGGTCTTTAGCCCCCCTGCTATCCACCATCACCGGCGCCATGCTCGAGGCCATCTTAATCTCCCGAGAACGTCGTCAGATGGCTTTGGAGTTCGTCGGCGCGCCAACCTGTCGGAAGACCAGACCGCAAGCAGCCGCCGAAATGCACCTGACCCGAGTGAGCCCGTTCCGTCTGCCGCGATCGAAATCACGAAGCAAACGAGCGATGGGCCGGGTCTGTCGTCATCCGCGTCTACCGCATTGGAAGCGAGTCATAACCGCCTCGAGAAGGTTCGAACCGAAGACTCCCCGCCGCGTTCGAGCTCGCTCTCGCGGAGCCGACCGATGCGGCGCCGTCGGTCCGGGAGTGGCTTGCAACGGCGAGGAAGCATGGGCTCCGGGCAAGCCGGAGGCGAGTTGTTGTTTTACGAAGACGACGGGTACGGTGGGGATAAGGAAGATGGGATCTTCTCAATGGAAGGTGATACTGCGGTAGCGCCGTCTAGTCCCTTGAAGACCAAAGTGTCTCCCCCAACCTCTCGGGTATCGAGTGGTGACAATTCGCATGTAGACGGCCATGCGCTCAGTGATGTCCTCTCCAACACCTCCATCCCCTCCGAGCCCAAGGACGACGGCGAGGCGCAACTTCCGTCCAACCCTAAAGAGGCCCAAACCAGAAAGGATGATCGCGTGCAGTTCTTCCTTCTGCTGGAGGATCTCACAGCGGGCATGAACAAGCCCTGTGTGCTGGATCTGAAGATGGGGACCCGTCAGTACGGAATCGAAGCCAACGAGAAGAAACGCAAGTCCCAGCGACGCAAGTGTCAATCCACGACGTCGCAGGAGCTCGGTGTCCGTCTGTGCGGGATGCAGACCTGGAACGTGAAGAAGCAGGAGTACTCGTTTGAGGACAAATACTTCGGACGCGACCTGAAGTCAGGCCGTGATTTTCAAGACGCGCTGACGCGATTTCTCTACGACGGCGCCAGTTACCGCAGCGTGGCGAAGAAGATCCCCGTCATCCTGGACAAATTAGCCAAGTTGGAGAACATGATCCGGAGGCTGAAGCGGTACCGCCTGTATGCCAGCAGTCTGTTGATCCTCTATGACGGCGACCCCAACAACACCGGCCAGGCGTCTCAGGAGACCAATGGTCGTTCGGGACGACCCAACATGCGCGACACTCTGCAGCGCAAGAATTCCGACGACGGCTACATGGACGTGCAGTTGAAGATTGTTGACTTTGCGAACTGCGTCACGGGCGAGGACGAACTGTCCCCGGATGCCCCCTGCCCTCCTCAGCATCCGGACGACATCGACCGCGGCTATCTCCGCGGCCTGCGCAGCCTGCGGATGTACTTCCAGCGGATCCTGAAGGAGATCACCCAGGACGACTATGTCGAACGGGGCGAAGGCGAGGCCATTGCCCTCGGGTCCCAGCATACGGGCCGCGACGATTCGTCGGAGCGCTACTGGGACGAGAATGTGCTGGAGACTGACCCGGGCGAGGTCAGCTTCTAAACCTAGACCATCCATCCTGGATGGATGTCCTTTTTTATCACTATGAGCTATTGTTCCCCGTTTTCTTTTCTGATTCGCCAGTCTCGTTTCCCTTTGGTTGCGCTCTGTTTCAACAGGAGTTCACGGCTTTCCTCTTTCCCCCATGTGCCCGATGATCCGCTTCCGCGGATTCGAGGCTCTCGCATCGCACTGACCTGACGGAGAGTCGGGCGGGGTTCCTTCATTCGGTTCCGCTGGTCCTTTGCCCTTCCCGGTCGATAAGATGTACGGCATTGCGGGGACAGATAGATGGAGGACTGCGACCTACGTTACGATATTGACGAACGATCATGGCATGATGCCCCTTCGGGCGCGCTGTCCCGTGCCGGGCGCATGGTAGACGGTGCCCGTGGGGCCCCTACATTTTCATGGCGTGTATGAACTTGCTTGTTATTGTGTTGTGCTTCTTTCTGGTTTGAGTCGTGTCGTGCAGTGTTTCTGGTCCAGGTTGTTTTCCGGCTTCTTTCCTTTCTCGGACATGTCTTATTGCTTATACCACCTGGGAACTAGTCCGATTCCCGGGGACATTTAATCCGTGCTTTTTCGATAATCGCAGAGTGTATTCGATTCGATTCGATTCGATCCGGCAGTTGGGGTGTTGTTCTTGTGTACATACCATACGGATGGGCGCAGAGATTAGACAGGATGGTCATAATCGGACGGTTCTCATGCTGCTGAGTTTGCTATAATTTGATCGGTTGTTAATGTGTTTGCGGTGTTGCGGTGTTTTGTGTATGTGTGTATGACTGTCGTATCCTGGGTATTTTGCATGTAACTGGATGTACTCCGTAGTTATATCCGGTAGTATAGCCTGGCCATCACGTGCCAGCCCCCAAGAAGCGGTGAGGTCATCCTCCGCCCGTCTCGCCTCATCTCCTCATCTCCTCATCTCTCCTCATCTCTCCTCATTCCTCTCTCCCTCTCCGCATTCCCCTCCCCATCGCAGGGGTTCGCTCTGTTCTTCCGCTGGGCAGTGACGAGTGTGTCTCGTGTCTCTGCTCCCGCCATCTGACCCCTGTGGGTACCTGGAATGACCCAAAAAGCCTCCCGCGCCTGAGACCGGCGATCGCATCGGTCAACTGATAGCTCATCTGCCTGTTGCTTATCCGGGCCGAGGATCCCTCGGAAGGAGCTGGAGCTGACTCTCTTTCGCCCCTCCCCTGAGTTGGGATTGGCATTATTTTGTGGCTGCTGTCCTTTCAATTAACAGACCTTACTTTCCCTGGCTTCTTGATATTTTATTTCACCCTGGATTCATTGCTTCTTACGCTCCCTCGAACAGTACATACCTTGCTTATCGACAGAGCAGCATGACTGGCCCCAATGGCCAGCCAGACTCGGCTATCGACAAACGGGACTTTGACTCACATCGCCCGTTACTCCAGGACGTCGACCCCATCCCGGAGCGGGAACCGGCTCTTGCCCGATCACGCCCTGGATCCAGACTGTCCGCCACCAACAATGACGATGGGCTCTTGAATGACGTGGTCGACGAGATACTGGAGAGAGATAGGAGGAAGATGGCTAGGGAGGTGATCAGGGTGGGTAGCTTTGCGTGGGGGGTCATCAGCTGGTGAGTTCTTCAGTCGCAGCACAACAGATCATCAATGGTTACTGATCCTGGGATTCCCTTCAGTCTGGCAGCTGGTAGCATCACCGCTTTCTCCCTATATGGCCCGTTGCTGCTCACTCGGCTCCATTACTCCCAGCTCCGGGTGAACTCTGTCGCTATCGCCGCGGAGGTTGCCATGTACCTGCCCGTCCCGCTGTTCGGATATCTCTGCGATCGCTACTCGCCCTCCCCCCTGGCTTTATTCTCTGGGTTCGTGTTCGGGGCCGGCTATCTGCTGGCGGCGGTGGTCTACAAGAGCGGACCACCCCCCGATGTGGGCGGCGATGGCTACCCGTTCTGGGTGATGATTGTGGCGTTCATTGCCGTTGGCGTGGCCACCAGCTGCATGTATCTGGCTGCTGTGGCCACGTGCGCGAAGAACTTCGGGCGCGGCAAACACAAGGGGATCATGCTGGCTGTTCCCATCGCCGGGTTCGGTCTCAGCGGCATGTGGCAGAGCCAGGTCGGCACGTACCTGCTCTATGAGCGTCTCGATGACGGCACCCGCGGCGATGTGGATGTCTACAAGTACTTTGTCTTCCTGGCATTGCTGCTGTTCTGCGTGGGCGTTATCGGCACGTTCGCGCTGCGGATCGTCGACGAGGAGGAAGAGAGATACATCGACGAGGCGGTCGACGAGCTGGAGCGCAGTGGCATTCTTGAAGAGAGCGAGTTCTTCCAGTCCCGGAGCGAGGTCCGCGCGGCGTACGGGACTTTCTCGCAAGGGGATGGCACCGGGTCAGACGGTGAGCTCACGCTGACGCAGTCGGAGGAGGATCGGGAGGCGGAACGGCTCGAGAAGGCGAGAGAGGAGGAAGAGCGTCGCAAGAAGAATTGGTTGCTGAACTACGAGACGAGGATCTTCCTCCAGGACACCTCCATGTGGTGGCTCGCGGCGGGCTTCTTCCTGGTCACGGGGCCAGGAGAAGGTTATATCAACAACGTATGGCCCCAACTCACTTGCCTTGCTTTGCGATATAATCTCACTGACATCTCCCTCCAGCTGGGCACCATCGTCCAAACATTAACCCCCATCTCGAGCCCCCCCAACACGCCACCCCCGGCAGGCCTCCCATCAACACACGTCACCACGATCGCCCTAACCTCCACGATCGCCCGCCTCCTCACCGGCTCCCTCTCCGACCTCTTCGCCCCCCAGCCGTCCACCTCTTCCCCGGAGCCGGAACCGGAAATGGAAACATCGAATCCCTCCCCCCATCCAGTCCCGCGACCACAAAAACAACATTCACCCGCCTGGCCTTCCTCCTCCCCTCCGCCATCCTCCTTTCAATCGGCTACCTCCTCCTCGCCACCCCCCTCCCCCTCTCCCACCCGTCCCTTGTCCACCTCTCCACCGCCCTGATCGGCCTCGGCTACGGCAGCGCGTTCTCCCTCGTCCCCATCATCATCTCCGTCGTCTGGGGCGTCGAGAACTTCGCCACGAACTGGGGCATCGTCGCCATGGTGCCTGCCGCGGGCGCCGCCGCCTGGGGACTGATTTACTCGAAGGCGTACCAGGATGCTACGGATCATGGGAATGGCTCGCCGGATGGCCAGTGTCATGGTTGGAAGTGTTATGGGTTTTGGGCTGTCGGGTGCACAATTAGTGTTTGGGTGGCTATTGCGGCGTGGTTGGCGGCGTGGAGGTTGTGGAGGAGGAGGGGGGTTGTTGTTTGATGTTTCTTTTGTGGTTTATGGGGGTGGTTATGTATTGGGTTGGGTTGGATGGAAGGATTGGTCTTTCTGGAATAGATACTGTTGGATTGGATTGGATGGATTGGATGGACTGGATGGATTGGCTCGGGTTTGGATACCGTTCTTTCATCCATTCGGTATATTTAGCTTATATCTACCCTCTACAGTACTGATACCCGTCAGTCGGGGTTTGACTTGGTTTAGTCTTGTTTGGCTTTGCGGTTCTTCAGGTGTTTGCTCGCTCGTCCATTAGCCTAGCCTTCTTTTCTCTTTCCTCTTTTCTTCTTTCTTCTTTCTTCTTTCTTCCTTTCGTAGGCATTGGGCGTGGGCGTGGGCATGGGCAGGCTGATGGGATTTCTTATTTCTTATTATATTCCCTGCCGCCTTTCGGTCCTGTTACTGTGACTTACTGTGGCTGTGACTGTGACTGGCTGACTCACCAGTTGACCAGTTGACTGGTGATCTATGGATTGGTATCCGGTGTCATTATGGTCTACATGATGCTAATTGCTATTTATTATCTTATTGCGTGCGTGGCCAGCCCGGCGGATTCTTATCTCTCTCTCTCTCTCTCTCTATCTTCCTATCTATCCATCTATCCATCATTCTTTATTGAGATATACTCTATGTGTGATTTCTTTCAGCGCGGATTCACGTTGATTAACTAGTATTATTGAAAGAATCAGCTGGATCGATACTTATCTAGATGGATGAGAATGTCAATTGAATAGACGGGATAGTTGTACCACGGGGAAATAATCAACCGCGAGAGTTCTTCACATAACATCAGACAAAATGTGGTAACTAGATGCATTTACACAGGGTATTTATTCTACTGTAGTGAGTAATCTGTAAATTCATAATCTGATAGCCTAATAGGGTAAGTAATAGCCTTGATCCCAGTACCGCTATAACCATGTGTTGTGTTGTGTTGTGCTGTGTTGTGTATACACCACAGCGCGAAAATAACTTATTATATATATACATACCCGATAAGGAAGGACTCCAGAAGATGGATATATAACAATGTACCAAGGCCAAGATCAATATAATACCAATAGTGTATCAATATCACCGCCCAGTGATGCATGGAGAGAGAAACAAGTGCCAGTGTATGCAGAGTTAGCCAGGTGGAACCGTGGGGAAAAGGAGAAAGGAGAGAGAAGAGAAGAGAGAAGAGAGAAGAGACAAGGGGAGACTCAAACATCCGTCGACGACGGATCCATGCCCATAAAGACTTTATACAGACGACGACTAGCCGCAGGACCGATGCGCGAGTCGGTGAGGGCGCCGTTTTTGTTCGCGGATTTCTGACAGATACTCTCGTTAGCATTTGTTCATCCACCCATAGGTTGATTCATTCATTGTTGGTACACGTCAAGAGAATACACAATTTATACCCGAGTAAGTCTTAGACCAAACCCGGGGAAAGATCCTCGAGTAAGTCCTAGACTGAACGGGGAAGAGAAGGACAAGGGAAAGGCAAGGCAAGACCAGAAAAGAAAAGCAAAGCAAAAGGAAAATAGGAGGGAGAATAATACCTTAACATCCTCCAACAGCCCCGCCCCACCACCCCCCCTCATCCCGGCCACCAAATCAACCACACTCGGATACCGACTCGCAATGCCATACGCCATGGACGCCGTAATCCGATTCACCTCCTGCAACATCTTCACAAACGTATCGGACGGGTTCTCCCCGGGCTTCACCTGCCCGGTATCCATACAGAAGGCGGAGTCGTTCCCGTTCATGCGTTCCCGGCGGTACGGCACCGTGGAGATGTGTTCGGTGAAGTTCTTGATCCATTCGGCGGATTCGACGGGCGCATTCGTATGATGGATGAGGCAGGCGTGGGTGATTTGCAGGTCCAGGAGGGCATCTTCGATGGTGTCGTCGTCGATTGGGGGCGTGGTTTCGGGGTTTGCGGCTTTTTTGGAGCGGGGGCGGGTGGTGCTGGTGGAGGAGGAGGATTGGGAGTCGTCCATTTGTCGGCGTACTTCGGCTTGGTAGGCTCGATTTCGCGAGTTTTTGTTCTTGCGCATCCAGGCTGTGAGGCCTTCGATTAGGTAGATGGGGGTGCGGTTGGGGTGGGCGGTTTTGAGTTGGTGGATATGTTGGTTGAGAGTGGGGGATGTTGTTGTTGTTGCTGTAGTTGATGATGATGCTGCTGCTGTAGCGATAACCATATTGACGAACTCTTGCGCCTGGACGAGACAGAGGATATGTTCTTCCTCGTCGCTGATATGCGGCGCACAGGGCTCCCAGTGTCCAAGGGCGTCACTATACCGAGCACGTACCTTACGGCGCCACTTGACAACATTCGGAACGGCACTGTCAAAGTACTCGAGATCAACCTTCAGCAGGCGCATGAACTCCGCTGTCTGCGTGCCAACACTAGTATTTTTGAATTCAGAAGACAGATCAACAATCATCTCCGGGGTCGATTCCTTCTTATCGACCTTCAGCTTATTAACCTCCGCAATATCCGCAGCGATCTGTTTCTCCCGCGCCTTCTCCTCCTTGAGTTTCAGCTTCCGCTCCTTCTCGAGCTGCTTATCCCGTTCGCGCTGCGCCTTTGCGGCCTCCCGGTCCTTGGCCTTGGCTTCCTTTTCGGCATTGCTCGGCTTGGTGGTCTTGCGCGGCGGCTTTCGCGGCGGCGGCATCACATCTTCGATATCGACGTCGATGTCGTCGCTCACTTCGTGTCTGCGTCGATCCGTCGATTTAGATCTCGATTTCGATGTCGATGTCGATGTCCCGCCTGCAGAGTCCTCCAGACTCGCGAGCAAGCTAGCCGTGCGGTTGGAAAAAGCGCTCGCCCCCGTCTCGACCCTCCTCGACACCTCAAGCAGCTCATTGATATCCGGAAAGTCAATCTGGTCGCTGAACTCCTGTATCTCCTCCTTTCCCCGGCGGACATCTTTCGTGATCTCGTTTAGAAGGTCGTCGTCATTATTACTATCATTATGATCATCATCATGGTCATCATCGATCGTAATCTCATTTTTATTTCCACCACGAGTACCAACCCCTTGTGTGATCGTTGTACCTGTTCTGGAATCCGACCTAGCCACCTGTTCCGGCACCGACGAGGTAAACATAATCGGATCGGACTCTCCATTCCAGACGGGGAGTTTCGGGGCCGCAGGGTCCGAGGACAGGATGAAGTCTTCGTCGGAGAAAAGAAAGAGCGGGTTCTTGGATGGGGGGAGGCTAATATTCCGGACAGGGGTGGAGTCGTGACTCAGACGCCGGCGTTTGGATGGGTTGTTGCTGGTGTCGAGGTCATCGTCGTAGGCGAGGTCGATCTCATCGGAGAAGATCGATTCCGCGGGGATAATGGGCGGGTTGGAGTGGGCTCTTCGGATGGAGAGCTGCTCGCGTCGTTCAATGGGGGGCGGGGGGGTCGAGGAGAGGAGGCTGATGACCTCCGGCGGAGGCATGATGCCAAGCGGGGGATGGGGATGAGGATTGTGGGGTGGGATGGAGATGTGGAGGAGAAGGAGAAGAAAGAGGAAGTGAAGGACGACGAGGCGGAAAGACGCCGCAACGCACGTGTCGCGAGGTCACGTCCCCGGCGCGAGGTCACGTGGACATTTACTATCGGACAAAACACTTACACTTACACTCATACTTATACTCGTACTTATACATATGTTCAAATCGAATAGTAGTGGGAATCTTCCTATATTACACGCAAAAAGGGTATTCGTCGAACAAACAATCAAAGAATCCGCACAAGCAGCGCCATCGCCACGACCAGCACGCCGCCGACCAACGCCAGGAAGACCAGAAGCTGCTGGAAGCCGTGGAAGGGCCGTCTCTCCTTGCCGAGCATCTCGGCAATCTCGTCCTCGAGCTTCTCGCCCATGGCCGTGAGCGAGAATTCCGTCTCGACGCGCTGCTTTGCCGCGGCAGACATGCGGTCCAGATCAGCCTGCTCCATCCCGTACAGCACCTTGTCCATCACGGCCGTCCAGTCGGCGTCGACCTTAGCGTCACGGAGCCAGCCCGTCTCGCCCTCGACGATCGTCTCCAGCGGCCCGCCCGTATTCGATGCCAGCACCGGCACGCCCGCGCGCATCGCCTCCACCGGCACAATCCCGAAGTGTTCGTTGATGGGCGTGTAGAGCAGCAGCTTCGCGTGCTGCAGCAGGGTGTCGCGGAACGCAGTCGGCACGCTGAGCAGGAACAGCACGTCGATGGAGTCTGGGATCGACAGCGCGGACACCACCGTCTTGGATGTCGCCGTCTGCAGGCCCAGCCGCGTCGCCAACTCGTCCAGCTCCCGGTGATACTGCACGTTCTCTTGCACCCGATTATCGTAGCCGCCTGTCCTCACACCGTACCGTTAGCACCAAGTCACCACCACAGTCCCACCCAGTAGTCTCTCCCTCCTTCCCCTCGAGGAACCCAGACAGGAAGATAAACTCACCCGCAACAACCAACCTCGTCCCCCTCCTCTTCTCCCCAAGACCATGATACGCGCGAATCGCCAACGCCATATCCTTCTTCCTCTCGAAGCGATTAATACTCAAGAGAATCTTCTTTCCGCCCCACAACCCCTCCTCCTTGGCTTCACCAGCAGAACCCACCGCAACATCCACACAAGGATAAACAACACTCAAATCGCCCAACTTCTCCCTCCCAAAAACACCCCCGACAACGCCCCTCGTAAACCTCGAGTTGGCAACCACCTTGTCGGACGCGCTCATGGCCCACCCCTCAAACCAATCGAACGGGTACCGGTACAGGCCCTTCGCCCAGCGAACGAGCTGTCCGCCCTCGTCACGGCGCGAGAGCAATTGATCCGGGAAGTGGCAGTAGAAGAGGATGCGCTGGCGTGCTGTCGCAGTCCCACTCCCACTCCTCGGGCCAAAGATCTTCAAAAACGGCACGCACGCCGGAATCTGATCAACAATGAAAATCTCATCTGCCGTCTCTCCTTCTCCTTCTCCCTCTACCTCTCCGTGTATTTTCCCATCCCACAGCTCGCGCAACAGATCCCCCGTCAAATGCAACTGTCTCAATATAGCCATAAGCACATACAGCCGACCACCGACATGAGCGGGGAAGATGGTGTTCCCCCGGACGCGGACATCGAGGGTGCCGTCGCGGGCCTCGTCGAAACAGTGCGACGGGTCGCGGTGGGAGGTGTAGATGGTGACTTTGTGGCCGCGGGATTGCAGCGCCAGGGCGACGTCGATGATCAGGCGCTCGGCGCCGCCGATGCCGAGGTCCGGGTGGATGATGGTGATGTTGGGGGGGGGCATGCTTTCTTTCTTTCTTTCTTTCGGGTCGGTTTTCACAGGTTCGGGGGTTGGGAGTTGGTTTGTGCCGTGGGATCAAGAGGGAGGGAAGGATTGCGGTTGGATGGGCATGTCTGTGTGTAGGTGTCAAGAGATGTGGTGGAAGGAAGAGACACGCGGCCAGTTACGGATTGCGTCATGTGATGGGAGGGGCCCGACGGGGTCCTGACAGGCACAATCTATATCCATATTGGCCCGCGGATTTGTTTTTTTTTTTTTTTTTTCATGTTTATTTTTAGAGACGCACATATCCTATCCGATCTACACACTCGCGCGGGAAATCATTGCTAGAATTTGACTGGATCTATCTCTAATGTGGAGGGCAGACACATCACTACGGATTCCGGTAATAAAAACAACTTCATATCGGCAATTCGAAACGGAGAGCAACGATCCCAGCCGTGGCTGGGCCGGCTGAACGCTTGAAAACAACCATCGCAACGCAGCTATGTCGGGTATGGCCAGGGGAGTCGGGAATGTACAGTCACGGCCACACGAAAGGTCATCAAGTCAGAATTCATCAACGGAGGGGTAGAAGAGGAAGAAAGGGCATGTGCACGGAAAGAGGTGAATGAAATACACACAGGAGAAGCGAAGAGAGAGCGAGAAAAAAAAAAAAAAAGAAAAGAAAATGAGACAGGTATCAAAAGGGGGAATCGATGGCGAGTTCATAATACAGGGGACTGGACATCGTAGCACAAAAGGGGGGAACAAAAGGAGGCCGACAAGACTCGCTAGCGCCCTCGCGTCTAGCCAGTCTAGAAACAGTTGAGAGTGCTCTTCTTCTTCTTCTTGTTCAGCGCGTTCATGCGCTCTTCGAGCTGGGCGCGCGCGGCTTCGGCCTCGCGCCGCGCGCTACGCTCCTCCTCGACGGCCTGGAGCGACAGGCGCTGCGAGGTGCGCTCTTTGCGGAGCGTCGTCAGCTCTTCCTCCAGCTGCCACGCCTTCTTCTTCCACGCCTCGCAGTCCGACTTGACCTTGTTGCTCTGCGCCTCCAGGTCGCCGAGCGCCTCCTCCAGCGTCGCCGTCAGCTGCTTCTCCGCGTTCAGGTGCTTCTCGATCGTCCGGATGCGCGACTCCTGGTCCTCCACCATCTGCGCGCTCACCAGTTCCTTGCTCGCGTGGCGCGAGCTGGGCGGCGAGATGCTGCCCGTGCCGTTGGCCGTCGCCGCGATGTTGGGCAGCGGCGGCAAGGGGATGGCCGGGGGTGGCGAGGGAAGGGAGGCCGCTGAAGAGCTCTTGCGCAGGTTGGACGTGATCGAGCTGCTGCGGTCGTGCGAGCTGTCCTGGTTCTTGATCTGGAGCTCGAGCTGCTCGATCCGGACGCGGTACGTCTCGATGTCGCTCTCGTAAGTCGTAATCTTCGCTTTCGCGTCCTCCAGGGCCTGGTCGCGCTCGGCCTGGATGACCGAGAGACGGTTGTGGTGCTGGTCGAAGCTGCTGGTGATCTGCTCCTCCAGTTCTTCCACCAGCCGCACGCTACGCTCCTTCTCCGCCACCACCTCGGCAATTATCGCTTCCTTCTTCTTCACCTGCTCGTCCTTTTGCCGCAGCGTGTCTTCGAGGGTGGCGACCAACACCGCCAGCTCGTTGACCTTGGCCTCTTTGGTCGAGTTGCTCTTCGTGAGCTCCTCCAGGCGACCGGAATCGCTGCCCGTGGACTCCAGCTGCTTCCGGAGGTCTTCGTTCGTATCCATGAGCTCCGCGTACTTGTCTGAGAAATACTGCTTCTGCGTCAGAACCTCCTCGATCTGCTCCGCCAGATTCTCCGCGGTCACGTCGGAATTGAGGAGCCCTGAAACCATGCTGATAAGCTTCGTCAACTCGTTCCGGGACTCAACGATCTCCGATCTGAGAACCTTGATCGCCTCGTCATGCTCGGCATTCATCTCGGTGAAGCGCGATTCGTACTCAGCCTGCGCCGCTGCCGCCGCCCGAGCCTCCAGTTCGCTCAACTCTTGCTTGTGAGACTCCTGCAACGACTCCAGTTCTGCCTTGTACGAGTCTGCCACGGACTTGTGGCCCTCGATCTCCTGCTCCAGTTCGGAAACACGAGACTGATGCGCTTCGACCTCGCTGCTATCAATGTCCTTGGCAGCAAGCAGATCCGACAGTTGCAGCTGCGCCTCGCCATACGACTTCTCGAGCGACGCGATCTTCTCCAGGTGACCCGCAGATGTAGCCTTGTGCTCGTCGATAACGTGCTTCAACTTGTTGACGAGGTCTTCTTGTTCGGCTCGCTCGGTCTCCAGTTCCCTGGCCGCAGCATCCTTGGAGGCAGAGGCTACACCCGCGGCTGCCTGCTCGGAACGCATCGCATCGATGGACGCCAGAGCACGGTCAAGCTCCGCCAACGTCGCGGTCAGTTGGTCTTCGGACGACTGCAGTGATTGCATGGCGTTCTGGTGCTTGCTCTTCAGATCCGTCAGATCGCCCTCGAGGGCGGCAATCTTCCGGTCCTGCTCCTCAGCGCCTGCATCCTGGGCTTTCGCAGCGGCTTCCTGGGTCTTGAGCAAACCCTTGAGTACTTCAATCTCGGCAAGGAGCTGCTTTTCCCGTGAGTCATGCGCCTCCTTCATTTCATTGATGATGTTCTCCTGCTGGACCACCTGGTCACGCAGCTGAGAGACGAGCCCCATGTCAACTGAAGACGCGCCGCCCTGTAAACTGGATCTCTCGCGAGTGAGTCCAGAGATAATGGTGGATTTCATCTCCATCTCTTTCTTAACACTCTGGTTCTCGATTTCCAGCGCCTGGATCCGTTCCATGCGGTTGTACAGCTCGTGCATAGCCGAGTCGAGGTGGACCTCGAAGTTCTGCATGGTATCGGGGCGTGAGTCAAATTCCTCGACTGCAATATTACGCAAGGCGGCGAGGGAGCGGTGTGCCCGATCGACAGTGCCGATCAGACTCTGGCTTGTCTTTCTCCGGATCACAGGGGTTCTCAGACCTGGCGTAGTTGGCGGTGAAGAGTTCCTGGAACGCTGCAGCTCAGCCTTGAGGGTTTCGATAAGGTTCATCGTCTCCTCATGTTCCGACTGCAACTCGGCGTACTTCTGCGTCATGATACTAACACCTTCCTGGTGCTCGGAGAGCAGCCGGCGCATCTGTTCAACCTCTTGCGCCTGGGCCTCAATTTCTGCGGCTCGCGCATCGAGCTCGCCTTCCTCGGGGGCAGCTTCGGTCGCGTTAGATGGCTCGGGCGAAGAAGCAGGCGCCCCGGCCGAGGACAACTCCGAAGAGAGTGATTGAGAGAACGACAGTTGTTTTCCACCGTTCAAGCCGGGGGCCTTCGCATCCTCTAAAAAAGACACGGGACGAGAAAGAGCGTCGGGGGCGAGGAGACCCTGAATCTGCGAAGCAGGATGGCGAACTTCGTCGGCAGCGTCCTGCTGGAGCTCTACAAGCGCCTTCATTGCCTCCTGGTACTTAGTCTCAAGAATTTCGTAGTCGCTGATGGTAGTTTCATGCTGCATGCGCAGGTCGAGAAGCTCTTGTGTCACGGTGTCGAGTTTGTCCGCAACGATCTTCGACTGAGTAGGGTTAGACGCTCGACTGTGCACCACTCCGTTATGCCGGGAATCCAAGTGGCTAGTAGCGGTTTCCAACGCTTTCAAATCGGCCTCATCCGACTCGGCAACCGATTCCGCTTCACCGGGGACGTCCTTTTCGAGATCAGGAACTGGTTCGCCCAGCTCTTCATCGGACTCGGGGATGGCGGTTTCCACGGCTTCTGTGAGCACATCCAGGGAAGTTGCCCGATTGCGAGGGTTGAACGCGCCCTTGACCACTACGGGGGCATGCTCCGGTTCCTCCTCGGGCTCCTGCTCGGTCCCGTTTTGCTGGACGTGGTCGAGTTCGTAGAGGAGATTGTCGAGCTTGCCCAAGCTGCGCTGGCGTTCAATCACGTGCTCCAGCCGTTCCATCTCCCGTTGCATGAGCTCCATGTCTTGATCCGCTTCGGCCAACCGTTCCTCCAAAGTGGCGATGTAATCTTCACAGTTGATCTCGCTCTCGCGGGCACGGCCAAGTTCCTTGCGCAACTCCGAGACGATGGCGGCATGCTTTTCTTCACCCGAGGAGTGTCCATCAAGCTTCGACTCGAGCTCATGCATATAGGTTTCGGTGCTGCTCTCGCGATCCATAAGCTTCTGAATGCGCCCCTGCAGTTGGGCGTTGACGGTTTCCACGTAGGCACATTTGGTTTCGCGCTCCAGAAGCGCGCTTTCGGTGCTGGACAGCGAGGAGCGAGTGTTGGAAAGAGACGACTCCAGACTCTGGATGGTCTTTTCATACTCGAGAACGACCTGTTCGATGGACTCCGCAAACGACTGGGAACGCTTGAGCCGCTCCACGGAGCTCCGACCGACCAGGCTGGCGACATCATTCAGCTCCGCCTCGCCGCCCTGTTCCGAATCTCTGGCGATGTCGGAGATCAGCTTGGCATGTCGCTGGCTGAGCGCGTTGTAGCTCTCCTGGACGTCGAGCAGCTGGTTCTGAATCTCGACTTCGCGCTCGTTCTGCCGCTCCGCCCGATCCGGGGGGGCCGCGCTTCGTCGACCGTTGTCCTCCGCGTTGCGGAGCTGCTGACGTAGGAACGCGACTTCCGCCTTCAACCGTTCAATCACGGCATGCTTGTCGCTCTCGTCGGTGACCTGTTGGATGCGGGGCTTGCTCTGGATCGCCCTCGCTCGTTGGGCGTACTGGACGGTGTTCAAGGTTTCGCTCAGGTGGAACTCCGCGGGGTTCACACAGGCGATCATGTAAGTGTAGGCGTTTCCACCCAGCGAATCCTGGAGCAGTCGCGTAAGTTTCGAGTCGCGGTAGGAAACGTGGGACCCGGATTGGCGAGACGACAGCTGCGAAATGACCTTTCCCAGGGCGGCGAGACCGGCGTTGATCGAGATACCTTCCCGGGCCCGTTCGCCCGAGGCCCCAGTGTTTTTCAATCTTTCACTTCCCGCCAGATCGACGAAATGCAGTTTGCTGTCCACCATAACAGAAGCATCCGCGCCAGACATCACATCCATCGACGTCCGCTTATCCTTGGGGGCGGGGGTGATGACCCCGTTGGGCGATTTGCGTTGCACCAGGTTCAAACTGAATACGGCGTGTGAGCGGGACGACTTGGCGTTGATGGCGGTGGAATCGGTCTGTCGGATGGAAGATCCGAAGCTGAGGGCGCCCATCAAGTCCTCAATCGAGTTGATGTTCACCTGGTGGAGCCCGGTGAGAATAATACGGCCTTTGGTGTCTTCGCGGATGGTGACTGTCCCACGGTCACCCTGGGGGGTAGAGTCGGGAACCAGGAGGTCGCGTAGTTGTTCGTTATAGATCTGCCAACTTCAGCATTTCCGTTCCAGCGCAATGGGGTGTCCGGATGCCTACTTCAACGTAAGTGGCTTTCAATTGCCAAGTCTTATCGGCACTTCCCTTCCCAAAGCTGGAAGTGGAACCGACCGAATATCGAGAAGGGGTGCGAAGACCCGTGCCGCTGTTCCGGTTCGGTTTGGACGGTCCTTCCAACTGCTCGAAGAGAAGCTGAGCCGCACGGGGGATGATTCCTGTTTCCGTCAGTCGTCTGCCGGATCGCGCAGTCTGTTGCGAAGAGTCGAACCCACCCATAGAGTTTGTTTGCTGCTCGCTCGGCCCCGAGGTTCCCATCGTGTAGGACTTGCCCGCACCGGATTGACCGTAGGCCAGGATGGAGACGTTGTAGCCTTGCAGGAAAGAGCTCACACTCTCACTGAGATACTCCCAGATGCCATCCTGGTCGACCGTCTCGGGAAACACTCGATCGAAAACGAACAGCTTGCGGCCCTGGGGCACATCGATGGCGACGCTGGTTGGGTTCATGACATGGACCATGGAGCGTTGGAAGCGCTGCGGGACCAACTCGTATCCGGGGTCGGTGGGCTTAAGAGGCGGGCGCACACGGACAGCTAGAGACCCGTCAGTACTTATCCAGGGGACCACAATAAAGGCGTCAGGTTCGGGTGCGCCGAGTGGAGGGGGTCTCCGCAACCTTGCATGCAGACCAGGTCGAACGGTCGCACCCTCCCGAATCAATCAGGATCACCCACCAACTTTGACCGCCGTCTTGCCATCCTCGTCGGAGGCCCGACTTCCTCCGCCATGTTTACTGCTCATGCTGAGGCGGCTGGTGCTGCGAGGGGTGCGCATGATGGCACTGATCGGACGCTGGGGCGCACCCGCGGGGGAACCGGGCGGCGAGCCGGTCATGGCCCCTTATAAGGATCGGGGAAGGAGAGGGGGGGGGAGGTTGGGCCGCGAGATCGATGGTATGCGGACACAGGTGGATGATTGGTCAGGGAACGGAGATGGTAGTCATCAGTAACGGAGAGGAACCCAGCAATGTATGCGATCTGCCGTGGGTGGTCGGTGGTGTGCGTGAGGAGGGGGGGTTGATTAGGATTATTATTTAGAATCGGGGGGGGTTCGGGTGAGATGGCGGCCTGCGACACTCTCCGACGTTCACGGGTCGTAATAAATGGGATTGATGAAGAGGATTCTGGTGGAAGTCTGACCGATTAGACGAGAAGGGAAGCGAGGCACAGATGAAAAAGCCAAATACAGAGGCAGGAAGGTGGTAGCCGACCACTAGCCAGATGGGCAGACAAAGGAAGGGCACCAACAGAGGAGGACTCCGAGGGAGAGACGGAGGGCAGTGAGCAGCAGCACTATTCCGGGCAGCGCCAACCACCGGAGAATTGAAGCGAAGGGGGGGAAGGAGCGACAGGACAGACACCCGCGGACAGTCGAGGCCGATATCTAGACTCCGAGGGTCGACGGATGACGGCGACACCCAGGAAAGACTGAGATGGGAGAAGAGGAGGGAGGCGGAGGGAGAAGGAGGAGGGAGGAGGAGGAGGGAGCTGGTGGAGAGGGAATAAGAACACGCACGAGAGAGAGAGAGAGAGGTAAAGAGATCAGACCAAACTCCTGAGCGAGGCGGAGAGTTCATTGGTGGCATCAAGGTTGAAGCGAAGCCGGATGGGGCGTGGAACTGACTGGGTTGAGACTAAGTGGAAAAGGAGGGCCGGCCAGCAACGGCGCCGTGGATGGGGGATGGTGAATGGACCACCCCTCCTCTTAGTGCTTCCCTTCACCCAGAAAACAAAAAAGATCCCCCGGTTGGGTCCTGGTTCCTGGTTCCTGGTTCCTGGTTCGTGGTTCGAGGCGGAGAGGAGAGTTCCTGACCTCTGGGGGAAGAAGTATCTACAGGACACAATTGTTTGCCTGTTTAGTCTACTTATCTGTATGTGCCCATGTGCCTCTATGTACCTACCTACTAACTACTACACGGCAACCAGTCCCGTACAGCCAGTCCCGTAACAGACCAACAGTACGGCGTTACCACCAACGCCAGGGGAAAAAAAAAAAAAAACCCCCACTCGCCGCCCATGCTGGAGGGTCCAGATCCTTCTTCCTTACGGAGGACAGGCTTAGATAGTAGATAGTAGTACTAGTAGTAGGGCCCAAAGTGCTGCGGATCCGATGTGGTCGGCCGTCAACAACAACTAACTAGCAGTAATTGTCTCATCCCCGACCGGCGCTCAACACAGACAATGCATTGCATTGGGAATTGCGGGAGCCCGGACGCCGGCAGGGCAGTTCCACGGTTCGCGGGCGGAGGAGGCCATCCATCCATTATTATTATTTCACTTGCGTTCGCCGGTCGCGTGGTTGTCAGTATTTTGGGCTGTTTCAGAATGCTTTCGACAATCTACTACTAAAAACTTCCCCCCCCCACAGCCAATTTGGCCCTGACTCGATCCCACGATACTCCTACCCGCGATACATCTCCCTCCGCAGGCCTCCTTACGCGCACAACCGACAGACAATGCGAAAACCTTAAGTCATCGCGGTTCCCTCCGCAATGCCTGCCACTCCGGCGCCCGTGTCAGACGTTGTGTTGCACTTGCACCTTCGAGATTGACCTACAGGAGACCGACAACTCTTTCAGCTCGCGCAGGACCCAGGAACTCCCGCCACAAACAATCGGTCTGCATCTGCATCCTTGCGCCATCGTCCAGTGCCACTTGCTGCCCGGATTGCTGGTCCGGTCACAAGCCAGGCTCAAGTGAAATGACGACCGACCGACCGACCGACCGAACCTCCCCGCTGCACGGTTGGACGTGGTCAGTGACAGTCAGTTAGTCTGAGTCCAGATGGAGAGAAGCTTGGCCTCGGGTGTTACAGTCTTACAGCCCGTTCCTGGCCGGCGGGTCGGCGTGGTGCCATCGAGGGCGTGCGACAGTCGAACCCCATCTCGAAGATCTGGAGGGGGGTTCATTGGCTGTGCGAGGGCCGGGTGGGCACCAGCTGGATCCTTAGCCTCGCCTGCGATATATGAAGCCTGCCCCGGCCAGTTGAGTGGCATCTGATTCATCGACGCACCGTGCTGCCCTTCCCACGGTCGGCGGGCTGCGTAAGTCGGCCGACCGCCTGCCTATCAGCATCGCCCTGCGAGATTAACCAGAGGATCCCCAATATTAGATAGCCCCCGGCCGTCATCCCCGACTCCAACGTGGGAGCTGCACGCCCACTGGCTTCTCCTGATCTATCATTTCCTGCTTACTTACCATGGCCTTATTTACTTGAAGTCTTCCGAATTGCCCTAGTTGCATGATCAATATTGGATTGGTGTTGATGGCCAATCACTCTGTTTGCTAACTAGTTATCTACCCTGCTGACCAACCCAATCGATTAACTATCCATGATGAAAAAAAGCCGTCCCGGCAGATAGATGAATGTCGGTGCGTGTTTCAATCAGGGTGGACATGGCAATAAATAGCAACAACAGGAGCAATTAATCTAACCAGCTCCGTAAAATAAGAAAAATACTTCCCTCCTAGGGAAGTTCCTGGCCGTTGAGCCGGCAGCACGGGCATTAATCCAGGAAAGCATTCTCCATAACTCATCTCAGCCACACATGAAACACCGACTGCAGTCCCTAAATATAGCAGCCTGCTTTCAGGTGATATTCAGACTCAGACCCAGACCCAGACCCAGAAGCCGAGAAACATGCGGTCTTCATGCTTCGCGCCTCGCTGCTGTCTGTCTATTCATTCCAGCCACTGCGCTGCCGACCAGGGATGTCAGGATGGGGTCTAGAGTTCCTACCCCTGAATCCGCCAGTCGATCCAGCCCCGGCACCACGCTCGTCCGGCAATGATCGCCCTGCAGACAGGAGCCTGTTTCTCCATACATTATTTGCTTTTTCCGGCTAATGATCCAAAAAACAGATCTTCTGGCAATAGTTCTGCCCCGTCTTGAGACGCATTCAACAATGGTGCATACGATCTATGCCTTCTTTGCCGGCCATTCTTCCACGCCCAGGGCCCACGGCCACACCACAATGGCGGACAATGAGACAGGCCGCGAGTCCCAATCATCCGGGTGGATCCCACCCAACTGTCAATGTCAGATCCCTACTGCATCCAATGCCCAGACGGACGATTGGCAGCCAAGATGCGTATGGCCGTCTGGGCTCTGGACTCTGGACTCTGGAGCTCCTGTCCTGGAAAACAACCAGGAACAGGCTTTAGGCCCGGCCAACCACCCAGCACCTACATACTCTGTACAACATCCATACGGTCCTGTGCCCAGTCCCTGCATTAGGTCTTTCCATGTCCAACTTCGTCTTTTCTAGCTCCATATCGATACGCATTGGTAGGGACATCGCTGCAGGGGCCCGACTCGCACCTGCCTCCTACCCTTTTTTTCACAGCACCCATTCATCTACTATCCATCTCATCTCAATTCCTCGACCTCGGAGTGCACACTGTGGATACTAATCCTAGCACACACAGATCCCAACAGGACTACTCCAGCCTCCAGCCCCCTCCCCATCCCCATCCCCATCATTAACTAATCTACCCCCCCGTACCGGCCTCCAGCAGGTAATTATCACACATCTACCAGGAATGACGTAAAGCAAATACCCCAGTTCGAGGCACCAACACCAGATCTCATCTCCACCGATCTAAACATGCTCAGATCCAGGTCGTACTCATCACCAAACTATCGGAAAATATCCAATAGATCACTACCTACCTACCCTGGAGGTACCTGGCAGACAGTCACAATCCCTCCCCAGCCCCATCTCAACCCATCTCACTAATGACGCCACCACATCCTACCTACCTACCTACCACCAACCACCAACCACCCACCAAAAACCTCACGAGATACTGAGCGATAGATCCATCCATTCCCCCCCCCCCCCCACATCCAAAGATAGAACACATCCAAAATCCAAAGTATTTTATCAGAATTATCAGGACCAATCACCCTTGAAGTTGGAAATTTCGTAAGTGGCGCTGCCGCATGCAAGGGGCTGGGTCGATTACCCACCCACCACCCATTCAGCTGATGAGATCATGAGATCTATCTACGGTACTCTGCGGAGGATCGGTAGATCGACTATCTGAATATAGGTAGTATCTACAGTGGAGTCGGTATCTAGTCGGTAGGTATACTCCGTGCAAGGATGTGGGTCTGATCCTGCTGGGCGAGGGCGAGGGCGATGGCGATGGCGATGGGTTATCTCCGTGGTTGGGGTTCTAAAAATATGTGTGGGTGTGGGTGTGGGTGTGGGGGATATCTTCAGTTGTGTGGAGAGTACTCCGGTTGTCTGTTCACTTTCTTTATAGAAACTAAGTGTGTGAAGTGGTAGGATGTTAAACAACTCGTCATGTTCCTGAGACTGATAGCTACTGGTATAGGTCTGATGAATTTAGATAGGTAATGGTTTACTAGCCAGGGGGGTGGATCTGGATATTGTTTCCAGTAAATCGGAATGAACCTCTTCCTGTTGCGCTAGAACTAAGGAATAGATCGGAGCAAGGTGATAATGGGTTGGATATTACAGCCTTTCACTGTAAACCACGTGTCATGTGATGCTGTTGGTAAACAAGGACCTCGCGCTTCTTCTTTTCTCTTCACTTCTCTCCTCCCACCCCCTCTCCTTCATTGTTGATTTTTCATCAATAGTCAACTAACCTAGTGCAATCGGACCCTGTCCACAATCCTTTTTGCTCTGCCGTGTCTTTCCATCATATAGATACCTCCCTCCAGTTCCCAGAAGCTAACAATCCAGCCACCGTTTAACGCATGGCCCTTACTGACCCCTACAACTCATCCGACCGATCAACAGACAATGGACCCTTCTTGACCATAATTGTCAGAACCTCGTACAGGACGTCGGCAGCGGCCCTACACCAGTCAGCCCCAGACAAAACACCACAAGACATGATCATACATGGTAGAGAGCTCAGCATTGGTATCATACGCCGGCGCAACCTCCACGATATCCGCCCCGATGAAGTTCAAGCCATCCAATCCGCGAACAATAGTCCGGAGCTCCCGCGTCGACCACCCGCCTGTCTCGGGTGTCCCGGTTGCCGGAGCATCTGTATACCGGCATCAGCAGGGCACTTCTGAGTGACGATGGAACATACACGCAGGATCCAGGGTATCGATATCGATCGACAGATAAACAGGGTTCTCGGCCCCAACGCGATCCCTGATCTTCTTGATGATTCCGTCGGTTCCTACAGTATTGATGTGTTAGTGGAACTCTTCTGCGGACGACCACCACGCACCGATTGTGTCGATCTCTCTAGCCTCGACGATTTCAAACCCACAGTATCCGTCGTTCTCATAGTCTGAAGGTCCGGAGAGAGTGGTACGAATACCCGCGTGGATGTTGGTGTCGTTCTTCAGGAGCCCTTCCATCGCGGCGTGGTAGAAGTAAGTCCCGTGGTTGATCGCCGCAACCTGGCTGGGTGAACCGCCGAAGACTTTGGGTTTCCAAGAGTCCCTATTCGGTGAGCATCATAGATGATACCAGCAGGGGCATTGGAGCTTACAGGTGGCTGTCGAAGTGGATGACCGTTACAGGTCCATAGGCTCTGTTGATACTGCGCAGCAGGGGCAGCGTGATGGTGTGATCTCCACCCAGCGTGATGACGCGAGGCAGGGTCTTGCCGGCTTTGGAGAGCCCGTACTCGTCCGCATTGGTGAATGGTTTGCGCATTAAGACACTGTTGTGGCCTTCTTCGATCTGTTGAATCGCCCAGGCGTTGTCATATCTGCGTGTCTTAGCATAAGTCTCCCAGATACGATGGTGTAACGCACGAGGTGACTGGGATATCGCCACAGTCCAGAATCTTCAGATCGCTGACGAAGGGGTTGGCTTGCAGAGGCACATTATACCCACCACTAAGATCTGATAAGCTATCCTGCGGGGGCATGCGCAATTGAGAACATTGGACACGCACTAAAGGTTGAGACGACGAGATCCTTGTCTGATGCCGCTGGGCCCGAATCTAGCACCGGGACGGTATGAGGTTCCTGTGTCAAACGGGGCGCCTATGCAGGTTAACCTCGGCCAATAAGTGCAGGGAGAAACATGCCTATGAATGCAATGTCGTATCTCTCGGCCTCGCTGGAAAGGCAGGGGAAGTACGGCAGACGGCCAAAGGTCGTGATTCCCGAGAAGACCGAGTCCGCCTGTTGAATCAGCCATCGCTGACACTGACCACGAGGACATTCACTCACCTGGGTGCCTCCATCTCCGGGAAGGGTGTCGTACCACAGTCTCTGGTGCGGTCCAGCCAAGGGAGTCTGGTCGCTGTGGGCAGAGGCCACCGCGGAGAGAACAAGCAGGCAGAGATGACTGAGAAACATGCTGTGGTTATTGAGATCAATGGCTTGAAAGGACTGATCCTGCATTGCAGGGAGAGGATGTTATATGTCCCTCGTCTCCATTAAAAAGCTAGAGTCCCACAGCACATTCTGTTCTGGCAACACTCGACTGAGTCCAATGACTTTGCCAGGCCTCGCTGTGTGCGCCACATACCATGGGACATTTCCGGCATAGACGTTCGTGCATCAACGATCCGACTGATATGCTGATAGGATAGGAATATTTATCATATCACATCCTCCTCCTGCGACCTTCTATAACAGGAAAACCATTCGAGTGCACCAGTGGAGCATGCGCCACCAACGTCAATAGCAGATATGTGCCGTTTCTTCTTGCTCAAAATCCGTGAAGTGCAGAACAGTCTGTATGCCAAACGTCGGATGACAGACCATCGTGGATGCAAAGCAGATCAGCCTCATGGACCAAATAGGAAGGCCGGCAGAGAAGCTGTGGGGTTCTTGGTATTGATAAGCGTGCATGAATCAATCCACCGGGCGTATCATGTCTAGCTGCGTCTGAATGTCAATACAGCCAGCTTATCAGCTGCGACGATCATGTTTCTGCCCTGTCTAGTCTTCCGGCAACCAGGCCTAGATCCCGTTCAAGCCTTGATGGCAGGACTGGGGCGAGCAAGGGTCTGATATTATCCCATCCAGCGCTACAAAAAGTACTGGCGCTCCAGACAACCCCACATTATTTACACCACCTTCCTAGTACAGCGACGAGATAGAAACCCGGCTCTATTTCCAACACAAAACCTGACTTTGAGACATTGCTACTCATCTAATGCATTACACAGCTGTCGTGGCACCATCCACAACACCGTCCTCCAATCGATCATGGACGTCCATCCGCAGAAAAGCCTTATCGACCTCCTTTTTCCAGTCACTCCCGGCTACAATCGTCCACTCCAACGCCCCCACCAGATAGAGCGCAATGCACTGTCCCACCCACAAGCCCTTCAGCCCCCATCCATGGAAGGCCATCCAGATCCCCAGAGGGAGCGCGCCGCAGTAGTAACTAACCAGGTTGACCAGCGCGCCGACGTGCTGCCGTCCCATGCCTCGCAGACTCCCACCGCAGCTCCCATTCAATCCATCCGCAATCTGGAACAGCGCCACCCACGGCAGGACCTCCGCCGTAAGCCGGACCACTCTCTCGTCGGAGTTGAATATCTTTGCAAACTCGTGCCGAGTCCCCATCAGCACAGTCAACACGACCCCTCCCAGCACCATACTCAGCCAGGCAGCCGTATTAGCTGCTCTCGCTGCACCCGACGCATCACGAGCTCCTAAAAGATTTCCCACGCGCGCCGACGTGGCAACCCCCACGCCAAAGGGGATGGTGTTAAGGACCTGGTCAGCGGTCATGATGACGCTCTGTGCGGCGAGCGGAATAGTTCCCAACCTGCCGGCCGCAAGAGCCACAATCTCAAATGCCCACCACTCCGAGCCTACGTGCACCACACCCAGAAAAGCCAGGCGGGCAAATGTTCCAAGGTTCTGGAACGACTCGCGCGACCAGCCACCCCAGCACTCGGAGCCCGCCACAAACCGGGCATACAAGACAAGCAGCACAAAAGACAGCCAGTAGGAAATGCCCGTTGCAATTGGCGCACCCAGCAATCCCATGTGAAGCGGGTAACAGAAGAGATAGTTGAGCAGCGCATTAAGCGGCGCCGTTATCAGCAGGACATACGTCCCCGGGCGCATGATTCCTACACCAATCATCAGCAAGGATCCACAGCAAACAACCCAGCAGGTACCTTACCCTGAGCCTGCAAATACTTCTTCATAACCTCGAAGTAAATATACCCCAACCCCCCCGGGATCAGATAGGTGAGAAAGCGCGCACTGTCCCTCGAAAGCCGGGGATCCTGGCCCAGCAGAAGAAATACCGGCTCGGAGAACGCCCACAGAATCGCAACCGGAACATAGAACAGACCCAGAACAAGAAATCCCCGTTGCAGCAAGATCCCCAGATTATGCTTATTCGCGCTGCCCGTAAACGTCGCCGACGCCAGCGTGTCCAGCGCAGTCGTGCCGCCCAACGCAATCATCCACCCCGTGATCATGGCAAACATTAGCGAGAAGGCCGTTGTCGCCAGATTCTCGGGGGAGGAACGTCCCACGATCAGCACGGAGGTGGTCTGTAGGCTGTTTTGCAGCGTGTATGCCAGAATCACCGGGACGGAGTCCTTCAGTAGTCGAAGAAATTCTGCCAGGAAAGAGCCCTTCGCATTGCTGGCGATGTTGGTCTCGCTCGGGCTGGAGAGAAGGGAGGTTTGCTCGGTAGGCATATCCGAGGAGGAGACGCTACTGCAGTAACTGTGATCTGGAGGAGAGTCGTACATGTTGCAAGGTGAGGACGTAGAGCTTCGCCTTTCGAGAGATATCCACGATCCAAGAGAATGGGATCATGGCTGTATAACAATTCTCAGTTAGGTTAATATTCCCAATTAACTTACCATCTCCAGACAAGACAGACACCCACCCCTTACCTCGATCGGATCAGCACCGACGAACCAACCAGCCCGATACCCAAATGATCCCCCGTGGAGATCCGCGATCCACATCTGTGCTCCAGCTGTACATATGTCAGACGCTAGGCTTATCAGCCGTCGTGACCCGTGAGGCCACAAAGACGGTGGCTCTCCCGGTATTCACCTATTCGGGAATCTGTGGGGGTGGTCGATTCATGCTGTGTGACGTCCAGGACATATAGCGGATGGTGGGGATATCGGATGAAGGGACATACTTCCTTGGTTGGGATGCGATGGATGTGTTGTGCTGGTTCCCGATATGGTAGGTCGGAGACATTCCGCAAGTTATCTTGTTTGTCGGTATCAATTGACCATCTATCTTGCAGATGAGGCAGTGGTATCATGGATGGACGGCGACTATACATGTGGATTAACATCACGCTAATGGTATAACTGTCCAATTATACTCGCCCAAAATCTCACATGCAATCTGACAAGTCCAATTCCCACAGCCCAGAAAAGAGACTTCCTTCACGATAACAAGATAAAAAAATCATCTTAATGGCCACAATCGATCTAGCAAACCAACAAAGAGGGACATTCACCCACTCCGGAAGCCCTAATTAATCTATCTCTCCGCCGCTATTCGCCCACGTACGCCAGTCCTAACAAAGCAAAATAAGCCCTATGCAATACTAAATCGCATTATGCATCTTATCAGCCTCCAGCGCGGCCAACTATCTCATGAATGAGCGCACGCCTACGTAGTACGGCGAGAAAGTCGACGTCTCGTCTCGGATCTAAACCCTACGCCCCGGGCAGGGACGGACCGCTATTTATCCTTCTATAGCAGGGGATTAACTATTAAGCCCTTTAGCCCCGGCCAGCTGACAGGGGAGGAATCCTTCCGTCCAGTCCTAACCCAGAACAGACGCCAGAGATATCGTCCGCTCGTGTGATTCGGTGGAGGATCGGTGTTTCAGCCTTTCTGCTCCGACGGGCATGAGGCTATATTTGCGATGTAACTTCATTTTCATGTGGCGGTTATACAATGAGAACATATATCGTCATAAGGTACAGGCCCTGCGATGGAGATTAGTACGTCTATAATTACTCAACACACGGATTGCTCAATGAATGCTTGAAGAACAAACAACATGCATTTGGAACCTCCCCCGCCGATAGACGTGACAGTTATTCGCGAAAAGAACCCCTCGCAGTTCGCGGACGCAGAAGCAGACAGCACCGACAGCCACGATCTCCCCATCGAACAAGATCAAGATGGCAAACCACCTATCCATCCCACGCCCACCGCCGACCCATTGGATCCACTCAACTGGTCAAGCATACAAAAACATACCATCCTAGGAATTGTCATGTTCATGTATGCTCTCCTCCCTTCTACCTAGCCAACTAACCCAGACACTACCACTAAATATTAAACTAGGTACTTCCTATTCACCTACATCACAACCACCACCGTACCATCATTCACCGAGATCCAGGCTCAGTACGATATCAACTACTCGCAGGTCAACTGGACGGTCGCCATCCCGGCACTGGGTCTCGCCCTGGGACCGCTCCTCTGGTCCTCCCTGGCGGATATCTATGGCCGTCGGATCGTGTTCATCGTGGGGACGGTCATCGCCGTCGTCTCGACTGTTGGCGCCGCCGTCGCGACGACTTATGGCGGGTACATGGCTGCGAGGTTCTTCCAGGGGTTTGGTGTCAGTCCGGCTTCGACGGTGGGGATGGCTGTTGGTATGAGATGACATGAAATGATATGTCCAGCAGACACGGATTTCAGCCATAGCTAATAGGCCTCACAGTAACCGACCTGTTTTTCGACTACCAGCGCGGCCAGAAACTCGGGCTCTGGGTGCTGGCTATTGACTCGGGGCTTCTCTTGGGACCTACCTGTGCGTTCTTTGAGCTTCATACAGCACAGCAGAATTGACAGTGTGTACTGATTATTAACTGAACTGCTCCTTCAGTCGGCGGCTTCCTTAACCTCTTCAGCGCGGCCTGGATCAACTGGTTCAACGCCATCCTGTTCGCCCTCCTCCTCGTGCTAGAACTGCTTCTCATGCCGGAGACACTCTACCCGCGCACCCTGATGCTACAGCACATGCCCATGCGCACCCCAACAACCCCAAATTCATCCTCTCCCTCCAACAACACCCCCTCCAAGACGTCAAACCCCCAGACACCCTCCCCCAACGCACCAAATCTCTCCCCTTCCTAAACCTCCACCCCCTCCCCGGCCTCAAGCACCCGCCCCTCCACGCCTCCCTGACCCGCTTCCTCCTCACATTTCAACTCCCTGTCATCCCCATCGCCGTCCTCGGCTACTCCTTCACGTGGTACTGGTGGGTGATGTCGGTGATCACGATGGTGCCGTCCGCGTACGCGGAGTACTCGCCGCTGATCCAGGGCTTGCTGTTTTTAGGATTATTGGTGGGCACGTTGGTCGCGGAGGTGAGCTGTTCGGGGGCGTTGAGTGATAGGCTTGTGGGGGTGTTGGCGAGGAGGAATGGGGGGGTGAGGGTGCCGGAGATGAGGCTTTGGGGGGGTATGGCGGGATTGGGGGGACGGTGGGTTAGTATTTCTTTTATTTTTTATTTCTGTGTCTGTTTATGTTTCGTTCTCTCTCTGTGTATGGGTGCGGTTCTGTTGAGATAATAAGGGTTGGAATCGTGGCTGACGAAGAGTATATATATAGTGGGCCTGATCCTTTGGGGCGTGAGTATAGACAGAGGATACCACTGGATGGTAGGGCAGGTGGCGTTCTTCTTTTGTGGGTTTCTTTCTTTCCTTCTCTCTCCCCCCCTGCACCCCAACCCTATATCACCTACCAACCAACTACATATCCTAACCTATATATCCACCTAGTCTCCGCAGGAATCCAAATCGGCAACACCGTCATCACAAGCTACATCGTCGACGCGTATCCCCTGCAATCCACCAGCGTGATTATCTTTTATGCTGTGTTTCTCAATCTGAGCGCGTTTGCGAATCCGGTTCGTTCTTCTTTTTTCTCGTCTCTTAGATCCCTTCCTCTTGCCCCGTCCCTCATCCTCCATCCTCCATCCCCCATTCCCCTCCGGCATTCAAATCATCCACACTAATATATATATATACCCGTATCTGTATATACAGTTCTTCATAGCCCAATGGGAATCCTCCGCGGGCTGGACCTGGACATTCACCACACAGGCCCTGGTGGTTCTTGTTGCGGGGACGGGGGTGCTTATCTCCTTGCAGGTGTTTGGGGGGAGGTTGAGGGCGAGCGCAAAGGAACCGGGGTGGGTGAATGCGGAGTTTGATTCTTGAGGGGATTCTTTTTTTCCTTTTCTGTCCTATTTTATTCCTCTCTCTTTTTTACTTTTCGATTGGGTTCGCGAGGTTTGGCTAGGTTGGGCTTATTATTTAAGATTTATCGTCTATGGGATATTGGGTAGATGGGTATGTAAATCCTGGTAGATACTATATATATAAGATACGTTGCAAGCCCGCCTCCCTCCCATCGAAGACCATCCTTATCGAACCCGGCATCTTCAATTTTACCTTAAGGAGGTCAAAGATGAACTTGATTCATACATCAATGAGGCTCGAGCATACCACCGCATTGAATTGGCGTGTGCAAGCTCTGAACGAATCTATTTCCCTGGATGTCATGGTGTTATCGCTGGTCTTGGTATATCGAAGTTCACCTCCGGTTTTACTACTCCTCGAGCCGTTGTCCTTGAGCCCGTCAGGCCAAAGCTTCCATCACGACGAATCCTAGCAGCCTACAGAGAAGATGAAGATAGCTGCGAACTTCACAATCAGCTCACTATTCTAGGATGCCTCGGTGTTTTTGAACTGGAATACAATCATAGCCTCTTCCATGGTCGTATCCGCGTCTTTTAGCATTGCACCGACTAGGGATCACGCATGGTGATATCCGAGATGATCATTTCAGACTACCAGATGACTATTATGATACGGTCCTGTATGATTTAATAATTCAAGAATCTGAACACCTTTATTTGTTACTGAAAGGCTTAGTATATCAATATTTATTACTGTTTCATAAGAAAGAATATTAAAAACGATTTTACAATTTATATACATACCACGAAGGTTTATATGTACTTTTCAGTCTCTAGGGTTTGCCATTTTTTTTTCTTCGATTATTTGATCTTGTTTAGATGCGGCCCAGCTTAGGCTGTACCATTCACCATGATACTAGTAATAAGTCTCTCACAGCCCTTGATATTGAACAGCCACACTACACCACACAAAATTTACCTATTAATCTACTTACTTATATCACCTCAATCAGCAATCAGTAAAAAACTAGTTTAGTACAGAGTACAGAGTATGAATATATACATATATATATACATAATCGACACCAGATCCAACCTATTATTTCCTATTCCTATGAATTACCATGTCATCATACCCACCACGTGGCCCGCCACCTACCCACCCACCAACCAACTAACATACCTACCTGCCCAGACACGGACGGATAAACGGACAGACAGACAGACAGACAAACAAACCAACGACCATGCTAAGCTACGTAGGCTACACGTGCACGCGACACCTGCACGTCACGAACAGGTATCAGGCAAGGTGTCAGTCCGAGGCTGGCTGGCTGACTGACTGACTACATTCCATGTAGGTATAGTACATAGCCAACCAACCACTATGACGAACGGGGCCCTAACCACAGCACAGCCCACCACTGGCACGTAGTGGTGGTAGTACTCCACCTACCCTGTCATCATCATCATCATCACAAGCATATGTATGTATGTATGTATGTATGTATGTATGTATGTATGTATGTATATATGTATCTACGTATGTACGTATGTATGAAGGGATGGGATAGGATGGGATGGAATGGAAAGGAATGTGTCCCCAGTCCGCCTCCTGCCAGAGCGACATAACCGTGCATGCATACACGCCATCAGTACATCCAAACATGACTGGCCCCCCTCCTCTCATTCCTGATCTTTCCCCTCCGCTCTTAGTCAGTACTAGTGCTCTGCCCTTGTCTGGTTTGGGTAATGATTCTCTTTCTTTTCTTTTTTTTTTTCGGCCATCTTCTTCTGTCTTCTGTGCATGTTGGTCTTTCGTTAGGAATCTACAGTCTGTTTGTTCTGTACTAGTTACGTATATTGTATACATGTGGTACTCTGGGGCATATGACATCAGACTAGAGTGTCAACATAGGCATAGCTGTTAAGCAGAGTTAATTCAGTAAATGTCAAAGCTCCCAGCATATGATAATCAAATATGGTAGATAAATCTATTGGTATGGTGGTAGTAGTAGTAGTAGTAGTAGTAGTAGTAGTAGTAGTAGTAGTAGTAGTAGTAGTAGTAGTAGTAGTAGTAGTGGGTGTCTAAGTACGCAGTTCCATCCCAACAAGACAGACAGACAAACACGCGCACAAAAAGATCGAATCAACCAGCAACCCCGAGACAAGACAACCGAGTCATCGCAGAATGGTATCATAACAGACAAGACAGACAGAAGAAGCCAGTCACTTGCATGCAGCCGCAGACAAAATGCAGATCCCCGTCCCAGGAACGAATCAGAAATGTATCACAAAGGAAAGGTGGTAATAATAAAGAATAATAAGAGGAAGAAGAAGAAGCCCGCCGCGCTGATAACGGGGGTATCAATAATCAGACGCAGCCGCAATCCAGCCAGACAAGTCCGAGCCAAACCAAACGCGCTCAAATGCAATCCGATGGTAACAGTAGAATCAAACAACGCTCACGCGCCTGTATCCCTGTGTGCGAAGTATGCATGCATCCCATCGCGGGACAAAAATCAGTATTACTTTTGGTTCCGGTGGTGTAGGGTAGTGAAGTGTAGTGGGTGAAATCGCGCGCCCTTATGCGGATGTCGGCCGGCGCAGGATCTCCTCGCAGTTGGCGTCAAATCGCATGTTCCACAGTCGGATGCTGTGCATCAGCTTCTCCGTGCTCTCCAGCTCGCGGTCGCGGCCGAAGATCGTCTCGACAAACTCACACCCCGCGTTGCGGCCCATTGACACGCCCTTGCTCCCTTCGCGCTTGGCCACCTTCCACATGAACTGTTCGCACATCTTCAGCAGCTTCTTAAATCGCGCCCACAGGCGCTCGCCACTCTCCAGGAAATCCTCCACGATCTCGTGCGCCTCGCGCCGCTTGATGCGGTCCAGGCACTCGTCCGCCCGCTTCACCTTACCGGCCAGCTTGATCAGCAGCAGCCACAGATCCCCCGCCACGTCCGCCATCGGGGTCGACACGCCGTGGTGGAAGATGGTCCAGTCGTAGATCCACTTGCCCAGCGAGTTGGCGTCGAACACACTGCCCAGCAGGATGATGGGCATCTCCGTCGGATCCCAGTTCTTGATCGAGTACCCGGGGGGGATGCCGGCGCGCGCGGCGTCCGCTTCCGTGGCCTTGGGGGCGGGCTTGGCTGGGCCGGGCGGGCTTGGGTTTCGAGGGGGTGCGCGTGGAGGTGGACTGGCGGCGCGCGCGGGAGCGCTTCGCGGAATCAACGTCGTCCTGGTCCGGCACCTGAGTATAGGAGAAATAAGGATCAGTGGGTGGCTTGGGCTTGCGCTGCGGCGTCGTCGGGTTGCGACGGGGAGGACTGGATTCCTCGCGGAAGGCGTATCGGGGCGCATCGTCGAAGACGGAGGGCTTGTACGACGGCTGCGGCGGAGGGGCAGGACCCCACGGACCGGCGGGCGCACCAGACATGGTACTACGGCGACGATGATAGCCACCAAAAGAAGCACTTACAGGATCGTGCTTGCGCGGCGGCGTGCCGTACTCGGGCGGCGGTTCGTAGAACCCTTGCCCGTACCCGGCGTACCATCCTGCGGTCTCCTTGGTGCCGGCGTAGCTGGCTTTGCGATTGTGGCGCTTGGGAGGGCCGCGTGGCGAGGCGAAGGGGGTGGCGAACTGCGAGGCGTAGTAGGCGTAGTGCGGCGAGGTGGGCGGAGGGTTGGAGTAGTCGAAGGCGGGCCACCCGGCAGGTGGACTGGAGTATTGGTACATTATCGAGAAACAAGCATGGAGCAGCAGCCGGCAGCAGAGCGGAAGGACAACTTTTTTTTTGGGGAGGGTGGATGGAATGGGGAAGCCTTCCCACGCGCAGAGCGATCGCTAGAAATGGAGCAGCAGAAAAGCAGAAAAGCACACAACCCAGGTAATATTATACAGGATATCGTTCAAAAGCCGGATCGACGCCGAGGGAACAGGACAACGGAACGGGGTATCGATGAGAGAACCGTCACCGCGGTACGGAATCGAGGGGAGAGGAGGAATCGAGCTGGATGTGCTGAGAGTGCATTTGAACGTCGTCACTCGAACTCGAAGGCGGCGGCTGAGTTGTGGGAGTTGTGGGAGTTGAACTACCCGGATGATGAGAGGGGGTTCGGAAGAAGAGGATGGGGACGGGGGACAGTCACCCAGGTAGGAAAGCGACGGAGAGGGGAGGAGAAGACCCAAGAAGGGCGTCAAGACAGGATAAGATGAGGCAGTCGAGGGAGTCAAGGAGGGAGAGAGAGAGAGAGAGTGAGTGAAAGCCAACCGGTTTTGTAAGAAAGTCGGAATTGGAGTGGGTGGGTGGGGGCCTGGTAAGAAAGGCACCGTCAGGTAAGTAAGTAATCTATTCCGCCGGCAGAGCCACGCTAGTGCCGCTTTAGTGTTTACGCCAGATACCGTCACGTCCGGTTTGCGCGAGACTGATACAGAGGTAATTTATACCTCCCAATATAAGGAGAGGAGGTAAGGTAGGAGATAGTTTCAGTAACTGTAGGGCGGGTGAAACGAGCAGGAGGCATCTAACTCATCCCATCCCATCACCGAATAATCCAGAGGATGATCCCTCCGGGTTTGAGTTCATGTGAGAAATCGCCGCAGGGGCCCAAGTCATAGTCGCAGCAGCGACTGGTGCTTAAATATTCGATTGGCGCCATGGGGGGGAGTCATCTGAACCGCCCTGTTGGGCATCCCGCCTTGGATTGATTCCTGACTGGGCAACGGCTGGCTCGGTTCTGTCGATAATCGGAGTGGGAGACGGAGATCTCATCTCTGTCCGCCATCCGCCATGATAGCCTTGACTCTCCCTCAGACCTTTCCCATCACGTTGTCGTCCTCCCCCTCCATGGAATGTGAGTCATGATCATATTTGCCGCGGGTGGCTCAGTCGTGAAGAGGATATTAATATCCTCTCCTCAAGGTAATCACCATTATCACCATTCCTCCGTCAGACGGTGGCTCATCCATCCTATACAGGCCGACTCTGTGCCACCGGCCGTCACTCTCCCTCTCCCTCTCTCTCCCTCTCCCCGTTCCGCGGTGGCGAAGGCGACGGCGAAAGGCGACGGCGCGGCATTTGCTTCCATGCGAGTTCCGATCCGAAGTATAGAAGCATACCCCGAACATCTACTGTACAGAGGAACCATCTACTGCATCCTGGATCAGGGTCGAGATCAGGTCAGGTCAGGTCAGGTCAGGTCAGGTCAGGGTCCAAAGTACCGTACATCCAACCATCCCCATAGGTAGACGCCCCGAATCTCGACGGGCGGGTTCCATGGACAGGGCGCGGATGAACCCGTCGGCAATCCATGGGTTTCATCCGGAACCCGACCACCTACCTACCTTAACCTATCTACCATCTAAACCGTTTGTTTATTCTAGATACCTGGAGGACCGTAGTAACGAGCCATGGGGCATGGCATGGCCTGGGTTGGGCAACAGGTGGTGGAGGATGGGCGTTACCGCCGCCGCCGACAGCTGGGCAGCAACCACACCTTGCTGGAATCCTTCACGTATCGGACGCCGCCTGTTGGACAGACCGCAAGTTGGGAGTCGAGCGCGGCAGTTTAAAAATCGTGCCGTAGGAACGAAACCGGCTTCCGGTACAGCAGATAATAAAAGCCAAGACAGACTCGTAGCAGATAGAGCCCATCGTGTCTCGACATGGCACTATTGGAAGTCGCGGGTGCTTCCCCGATGTGATAGACGATAGACCCTCATGCGCGATGCTGCCGACCGGCAGGCGAAAGGGAAAAAAAAGCAAGACCAGATGCCGCGACACTACGGCTTAGAAAACTGCGACTATCTACCGAGTACTCTGTAGATAGATACCAGGTACTCCGTACCTAGATACTGCTAGTCTTCCGTGTATCGAGGCAGAGATTTCCGCGACCCCTGGCAGATAGGCAGCTCCTTTCACGCGCGGGCTGGAGGGACTAGGCTGGTCGGGTCGCACATGGCGCTCGGGGGTGCAAGCAGGTCAGCGACGGATGTGATCATGGTTACGTGGTGGCGTCGCTGGTTGGACTTGCGACGGAGGAGTCACAGGCCGCGTTTGGATATCCTGAATCATATCAGAAACCTTAAGGGTCGACGCCAGGCTTGCCCGAGTGGGTTAGAGATGGGATGGATATTGGGCGAGGAGTGGGCGAGTGCCGGGCGCGGGATCAGGGCCGGGGGAGGGAGACGGAGACCCTAACCGCTCGGCGTCAACGGTTCGAATGCATGACTATGACCATGACCATGGCCATCCAGCTATGTACGTATAATGGCCGGCCGGACCTATCGCTCCCAAGATTGAGACCATCCGAGACGCGAGGCTACACAGCATGAGACTGGGAGGAGATATTACTCCGGGACCGCACGGAGGATGACGAAGGGCAGACAGGGCAGACAGGAAATTAGCATCCATCTAATCAACGCCCGCACAGACAGACAGACAGACAGACAGAGAAGGAAATCGTCTAGAATTAGAAAGCACACCCTAACCGGATCAGTCAATCGAGAGGAGGGTCAGCCAGCGACCCACCGCTCCGTCCCACCAACCGCAGAGTTTTCACCGTCCCTTGCTCCAGCTGGGCCGATGATCTAGACTTCTGGAACCCGTAAAGTACCAGATACCTGCGCCGCGGTGTACGGTACCGTACATACCGGCGTACCCGTACCTTTGCGCGGGTTATTGAAATATTTGGCGTTTGAGATTCAGTTTGATTTGATTTGATTTGACTGCTATACTTTGCATGCCCGGGCCCGCGATGGATGGAGCAGGGCCAATATTAATCCAGTAATCCAATGAAGACGGGCCCATTAACACGGCAACGCACAGCAGCCATGGCAACCTAGATTTACATTGACTCCATACAGTGTCTATCTATCTATCCACTTATTCTTTCTATCAGTTTGTGTATATCTAGATACCCATCTATCAATCCATCCATAATTCTCTCCTGTAGAGAGAAAAGCAGAAACAAAAAGCAAACGCAAATAATCCATCCCCTGCATACGCGCTCCCAGCCGCATGCCGATCGCGCGGCCGGAATTCGAGTCTCGTGTGCGCTGTGCTGTGCAGGCAGATTCCTGCCTGCCTGCCTGACTATCTACTTACCCACTCACGCACACACACACACAGCCCACCCAGTCTGTCTGTCTGTCCGTCCATCCGTCCGTGTTTCTTTTTTATTTGATTTGATTTGATTTAATTTTATTCGGCCTGCCTGTCTGGTTGTTCTGCCGTTCTGCTGGGATTGTGCGCATGACTCAGCCCTTGCCCTGAGCCCTAAGCCTGCATGCTCACCTCAGATGGATGAATGGATGCCTTACTTCTCAGTATGACATGGCGAGTAAAGTAACTGCTACCATACATACACTTCGGGTGGTCAGGGCAAGTCATCCGCCCGAAGGATTTTACTAGCTATTACCCGGGCTTCCACATGGTGTATCTACATATGCCGTGGAGATGAGGCGAGGTGAGATGTGTAAACTAGAGAGGGGATAACTATGGATGGGTGTTCCGCCTGGAGAGGACAGATATGGTACATACATGCATGCATACATGCGTACATGCGTACATAAATTCATATATTCATATAGCACAGCATCAGGCTAGCTCTCCCTATTCGCGACTACCTATCTATCAAGACCAACGAATACGCCGTGAACCCAACACCGGCGCAGGCGGCGCAGATGCTGTATGTGGCTATGTGCGCTTTCTGCAGGTTTCCGCTTCCGCGCGAGTCGGGAGGATCGTGATCTGGCAGCAGGCGGTTAGGTAGACTTACCACTTACCACTTACCAATTCCCAACTTACCACTAACTTGTTTGGATAAAGATGCATGCATGTATGTATGTATGTATGTATGCCGTGTCAGTAGGATCTTTATCCTAGATGGGAGATGCGTGCGTTATCCAGAGCTTGGAAGTACATACATACATTGTGGCTTGTTTGAGGGGTTTGACTCTCTAGCTACGGAGTAGATAGGGAGGTGGTCGATGGGTACGGGGTACATCCAAACCTGAGAAGGATAACTACTGTGTAGACTAGGTACTCCCTCTTTACCCCTCCTTTGTATGCACACCACCTTCTCCCCTCCTAAGTATTCCTTCCCTTCCCTTCTCTTTCTTGCTAAGTAATAAGCTATCTAGTCAACCTACCGATATCACCCTACCTACGCGCCATGCTAATATATCCTTCCGTCCTATTCCTCCCCCTTCCCCTCTTTCAAGCGCGTACTTACTAAGTCGATATAGACAGGCGATAAATGAAGATGAAGATAGACATCTATACCCCGCACGCAAGCACCCACCACTTACCCCCCCAAAGCGCCAGACGTGATGTGATGCAATGTGATGTGATGAGATGAGATGGAAATAGCCGCCGTCTGTGACGAATGACGGTCTTTAACCTATCACCATAATTGTCACCTCCAGCGTCAACTCAAAGTAAGTGTTCAGTACTAGGTAGGTACTAACTACCAAGTAAAGTATGTGCTTGCTTACCCCTCCTGATGAGATCACCGTCTACCTTTGATTCTGTCACAAGGCACAAGGTGCAAACACACACTACCCACCTAGTAGTACACACTAGATACACACCACACCGTAGACAAATGGAAGTAGGCAGATAGAAGTGGATATAGGTAAGCGATACGACGTGATCCACCATACCATGACGAAGCCGGGCACCAAATAACCTAACTAGTAGGATGCAGATAGGCGATAGAGTAGATGGCGGGGTCAAGGTGGGATGGTTTTGGCTTCCACTGGGTGGGTGCCTTAAGCGGAGTCAGAGTGCCTTAGGCCATGCCGTGACTGTTAGTTAGGCTTCTAGTTACCCTGTAAGTTAAGCTAAGTAGGCTGTGTCTGGTCGGTACTTACTACTCCCTCCACCTCCTCCACCTTCCCCTCATTGCATCATTAGGCTTAACGACATACCCTGTCCTACATAGATCCCAGCCACCCACTGAATCAGTACTTTCTGTAGCCAGGACGGAGTACGTATCGAGTATTTATCGAGTATCCTATCCATGTTCCAGCTCGCATGCAAACAGAGAGACAAACGCAAACAAAAGTGCAAACAGAAATGCAAAAACACACACTGCATGGTGTTGGAATCGGTGTATCTGGACTGGTACCTACCTACCTACATACCTACATACCTATCTATCGATCCACCCAGTTCTTGACAAACTACAAAACTCCTCAGTACCGGGAGGTAAATCTCTAGAAAAGTCCAAAGCACGAAGCAACTACAAAAGACATACACACATGTACACATCCATCCATAGTCAAGAAATATAGCTAACAACTATAGAACAATAACCCAATAGTTGGCGACAGTGGACTGAGTCCCCTTCCCCTCCCTCGGCCCCCTAAAGTCCAACCCCGCAAATGAGCGCTTGACACGCGCGCACTGGCAGACCACATCCTTGTTCCAAACTCACAAACTCACAAACTCACAAACTTCCAATCTACATCCAATCAATCCACATCTGGCGGTCAACATGCTCTCAGTTACGGAGTACCACTGTCGGTATCTATTATTACTCTATCTCCTATCTAGTCAAGTCGAGTCGAGTCTAGTCGAGTATAATATGTACTTACGGTCAACACCGCCCTTTCCATTGGTGAATCGTCTTGTTTGGGTGGATATAATCCCCTATGTTGCTGGAGGGATGGGTGGAGTTGCAGTGGATATACTCTGTTCATGTGGATGGTAATTCGGTTGTCACCGGCCGTTATACTAGATTTCTAGACTAGATTTCTAGACTAGATTTCTAGGTTACGGAGAATTTTACACGGGAGGGTAAGTGGATAAGTGGATTGTGGGCTGTGGGCTGTGGGCTGTGGGCTGTGGGCTGTGGGCTGTGGATTCAGGGTTGGGCGGGTGTCGGGACTCTGTATTGACTATCGACTATCTATCTATCGAGGTTTCTAGATACTTGCCTGTCGTGGATGAGATGGGACTGGTGGTGATGGGGATGGGGATGGTGGGGTGGAGTGTGTTGGGTTGGTTGGCTGGCTGGTTGGTGGTTGTTGTGGTTGTTGCCCAAGGTGATACTTACTGTTGAGTAAGGCAACTAAGTAAGGTACTGTTAAAGTGGGTTGAGGTTGTAGTGCAATCATTATGTACATAATCTTCATGCCCGTACTATACACCATCGGTCATCATACATGTCTATATACCATCCTCGTCACAGGTCTATACACCGTCCATCATCATACATGTCTATGTCTTCGCGGTCCTGCTCCATATCCATCATGTGCATACCCGCTGTCTCATACTGTCATATACTCCCCCTCCGCCCGTTTGCTCTGCATGGCTTCGTGCCACCGGAGGCCCGGTTTGCGCGGACTCGGGGCTGGTCCCATCGAAGACGCACCTGGCAAAGTCCAGCCCCCGAGCTCCCTCCCGCCGGCTCCGTGCATGGCGCTGAGGTCTATCGATGCGGTAGGATAGCCCTCGCCCGATCCGGAGCCCATGGGGCTCTTCGCCCACACCTTCTCCAGCAACCCGAGACACGAGAGGTTGTTGAAAAACCCCGAGTCTCTGGACAGGTCTTTGCATCGTTTTCGGACAAGGTCGCGGTGTCCTGCAAGCACGCATTCCGAGCCCGCGATAAACAGCGGCCACAGCAGGTACGCATCGCACTGCACGGCTAGAATGTGACTCATCGTGCGTTGCACAAGATATTGGATACGAGGATGCGCAGATGGTAGCTCGGGGTAGGCGAGGCGCTCGCTATACAGAATCGCCGCATGCCGGAATGACTCCGAGATTTGGATGACATCCTGCACATGTTGGGGTGCGACTACGGACTGAATCGGCGGAGATGACGGTGGCGAGATGTAGGAGTTGTTGGGCGTGGAGTCAGGAGTGCTCATCTGGCGCTGGGGAAGAAACCGCCAGGACTCGAGCTTCTGGCGAAGCGAGTACCATTCCGTCCAGAACTTCGGTGGCAACGCTGTTCTATCACGGTCACTGGGCGGCGGTGGCAACGGGTTGCCATTCGACGAGTAAAACGCCATCGACGGCGGGACTGTTGTGGAGGGAATATAGATATCAGGTGGTGTAAGAGTGCGTACTTCTTGGTTCTGACTCAGAAGGTTCAATCGGCCGAGCTGCGCCACCATTCTGAAGAGCCCAGCATCACATCCCGCGAGGTTCTCGAGGCCCCATTCGCTATCGGAGACGGCAGTGATATCCAAACAGGCTCCGCGAAGTTGCACCTCGCGGTCATTGGTGGTTGCTGTCATCGTGTCAATCCACGTGAACATGCGAACAAACCACTTCAGCTCGTCCGACATGCAACGGGAGTTGCACAGTCGGATGGCCAGCAGCTTGGTCACCCCGGCGAACTGTGTCTTGAATTGCGCGACCCCAGTATCGCAGCAGTGGAATAAACAAAGAATCAGCAATGTCGCGAGAACAGAGTCCGAAAGCCGCTGGCGCGAGTCGGCCAATTCCCGGTTCAGTTCCTTGACTGCCATGCCGCGGTGAAACTGTTCTTCCTGAGCAGACGCCTCAGGAACCGGGTTTCCCGACCGATCCTGGAGGGTGTCGTCGGTCAAGACCTGGTGAGCCAGAGAGGACAGCCGGGCTGGCAAAGTCCGTTCCGTTGACCTTGTTCCGCCTTCGCGTCGTTGCCGCAGGTTGCAGGTGGCTAGTGTCGCAATGGCCTCCTGCAGGGATACGCTCTCCTGCGCCAAACGCAGAACATATGTCCGGAAAGGGTTCGTCGGGCTATCAAAGGCCACGATCATGGGCGCAATGACCTCCGCGTAATAGCTGATGAGGTATTGAAGTCGCGGTGTGCGTCCCACGGAACGCGCTAGTAACTGCTGAGATAACGACGGCGACTGGAAGGCACCCAGCCACGATCGCGTGTCATCGGAGTACATTTGTTCGATCTGCTCCTCGGACCCGTTCTCTGTTTCCTGCTCCCAAGAATGCCCAGGCCATGGCCACTGCGCCGACGGTACCGGTCTCATCCCAATTTCCACGTCCAGGGTGTTTGAGACGATGGGTGGCATATGATACTGTGGCATCAAATCCGCCCTTCTTGAACCCGGTAGTAAAGGCTCGCATGCCGTCGGGTTCATCGTGGAATGCGTGGTATAGAGCTCGCGTGCGCAGGGTGCGGGTACTGCCGGCCTGGCTTGTGGACCGGGTGTAGCCATAAACGGGGCCCCATTGTCAGAGGACCCGGTCGCTAAAGAAGGCTGCCGTTCTCGGGGAATGCAGTAATTCTCTGCAGTCGATTCCACCGGCTGTCGAGGCTGAGATACTCGTGGTGATCCTGCCGCATGGCGAGGTCTCGATGGGCTTGCGGCTGGCTGGGCCGCCCCAGTCACGGGGAGGGACAGCCCCCGAAGTTTCCCACGACTGGCCACCCCCACCCCCCAGGTTAGGGTGGTCTTGTATCCCGCACAGTCACGGCCGCCTTCCAAGCACTGGGAACAGTAGGGACGCCGCCGGTCGCATGGGGTCCCCTGTCGGGCGCACGTGAAGCAATCGTCCGCCGCTTGACTGACGACCGTCCGCTTGCGTCTTTTCCGGGTCCCGGGGGCGGAGGCCGACGGTGTTTTGCGGACTCGAGCCTTCGAAAGAGGTTCCATGAGGGGATCTGATGAAGGCGATGGCCGGATCATAGGGGACCGACGCCAATCAGCTCAGATGAGCGCTGTGGAGATGACGCGGAGTGCGGGGTCCCATGAGTGATGACTGGTGAGCCGGTGGACAGGGCAGCAGCAGCAGCAGTAGGCAGCAGGTAGCAGGCAGCAGGCAGCAGGCTAGCAGAAGGCAGGGGGCGAGGAAGGACGAAGCGTTCGTTCGGGCGAGTAGGAGAGGTGAACGGCGGGGGGATGGCACCGGGCGCAGGAAGGCAGGCTAGCAGGCAGGGGGAAGGAAGGGTGCTTACGGCGCGGTTGTTTATAATCGAATGGGCTTTGGGGGGAGCGATCCCACGGACTGGAGATGACGATAAGCGACGATCGATGCGGCATCACCCGCCGTTAGGTCAGTTCCGCCAGCAGCGCCGGAGATTAAGGCCAGGTTAACTCCTGCGTGGTGTCAGCAACGGTGAGCAGGCAGGTTAACCAGGCAGTTGGGGTGGAGTGGCGAGGCTTGGCGAGAGCATCTTGGCAAGTTGGCGGGCTCTGAGTTGATGACGGAGGAGAGTCGGCGAAATTGGACCATGGAGAAGGACGGGTTGGAGATGGGACGGATGGAGTGGGATGGAGACACAACCAAGTGCGATGAATGACTGGATGACTGGATGACTGGAGAGACTCGCACCACTGGGAGGGCCGAGGCTAAGACCCAATGCGGCTTAGCGGCCATCCCCCGCCGGCCAGTTCTTTCGGTCGGGTTCTTCACACCTCGACTTTGGTTTACACTTCACCCCAGCAGATCCTCGCCCACAGTTGAACTTTCTCTCGACCGACAACTTGCTTTAGATCCACCGGGAACTCACTTTCCGGTCTACCGGCGTCGAACTTGATAGGTGGACTCGATCTCGGTCTGGTCGATTGGCCTTCTCCGCGGATGGAATACGACCGATACGACGCGCTATACGAAGCCCAGGCCGATGCCCGTGGGACAGAACATAGCGGCTGGGCAATATTGGCGTTGGGGTTCTCCGTGCCAGAAGCGTGGCTGCCATGCGATATTCTGGAGGGAGATCTTCAGCAAGCACCTGATGATGGCCGACTGATGCATGGCTGCGTGGCCCTGCTTCTGCACGGTTATTTATAGTCGCGGGCAACGTAAGTCCCCGTTCTGCCACCGCCTTCTGCAAAAAGCTGGCCAGTCAGTCTCCTCCTATCGCTCGCGCGCTCTGCTGCTTCGATCCCTCGTCCCAGCAAGCCTCCATGGACGCTGGCAACTTGCACGGCTGAAGCAAACCTGGGTTCCGCCCGCCGGTAGACACCCCCCTGATTGTTTACTTTTGGTCGCGTTGAATTGCTTCCCCCAACCGCCACAGCCCCTCCTCCCGACTCGCCCACGCCCACGCCCACGCCCACGCCTCCAGGACCGAACCTTCGACCCCCTTTACCCAGCCCCTCGCTTCCGATATCGCCAGTCATGTTGATGGGTGTTTGACCGCATAAATCATTTTTGACTCCGGTTACTCGATTACCCCTGTCATTCATTCTCGACGGCCCCGCTGCCGTGTCTCCACCACAACAAACAATCGAGCCGGTACCTAGATTTGCCAACCCTCAATAAAAGAGTGCCCTCCCAGCTGCGCAGGCACCAGATCACACCATGCCGATCCTTCGCCCCGGTAGACTGAAAAGCATCCTCTCGGCCACGGGTGCCCTCCTGCTCATCTGCACCGTATATGTGTATTGGACTCCGCCCCCGGCCTCAGTAGTTCCCAGCACTGCCTTCGAGGTCCCTCTCGCAGAACGCCAGAATGCCTTCTGGAAGGCCTTGCACCCGATCCTGCAGGAGCACTCGCCGCGCTGCCCGGCCCCCAAGCGGCAAGCCGATGTGAATGCGATCCACTTCAACGCCACCACGACCGACCCGCGCCCGGACTTGACGATCATCGATGATACAGACCTGTTGGCGATGGAAGAGGCGCATGCCGGCTACCTCGACGGGTGTCGCACTTCGGAACGCCTGCGGCCAGTTCACACCCCGGGCACGCGGGGTATCGTCTCGACGGCGGGGGCCTCCTATTTCCCCGTGTTCCTGTCGTCCCTCCGGATGCTCCGTCGGTTAGGGTCGACGTTGCCAGTGGAGGTTTATATGAAGGACAAGAGTGAATACGAGAAGGAGATCTGCGATGATATCCTCCCTGGCCTAGGGGCACGCTGTCTGGTGCTTTCCGACATCGTGGGCAAGGGGGCGATTGAGCATTACCAACTCAAGATCTTTGCCGTCCTGTTCTCGTCTTTCGAGGAAGTTATTTGGATGGACGCGGACTGCTTCCCGTTGCACAAGCCCGAACTCCTGCTGGAGGCGGAGCCGTTCACGTCCAAGGGGTTGGTCACCTGGCCGGATTTCTGGATCTCATCAGCCTCCCCCCTCTACTTCAACATCTCTCGCCAGGAAATGCCCCCTCTGTCGGAGCACGCATCCTCTGAAGCCGGGATCTTCCTGGTCTCGAAAAAGACCCATCAGCTGACGTTGCTCCTTGCGGCGTACTACAACTTTTATGGTCCGTCGCATTACTTCCGGCTGTTGTCGCAAGGGGCTCCCGGCGAGGGGGACAAGGAAACTTTCCTCCAGGCTGCCACGGCAGTGGGAGAGCCTTACTATGCCGTCAGTGAGCGCGTTCAAGCGGTGGGTCACACGAAGCCGGGCGGGATTGCCGGCTCCGCCATGGTGCAGACCGATCCGACGGAGGACTATGCTCTGACCAGCGCGGGCAAATGGCGCGTGAAGGATCCTTCCGTGGCCAAGCCGCCCCGGGCCTTCTTCATCCACGCCAACTACCCCAAGTTCAACCCGGCCGAGAAGGTGTTCGGGATGAAGTGGGAAACGACCCCCACGCTGCGCCCCGACGGCACGGACGGGCGGGCGTGGCTGGTGGCGGTGGAGACGGTCAAGCGGTTCGGATACGACGTGGAGAAGGCGTACTGGGAGGAGATCAAGAACATCAGCTGCGACGATGCGATCAGCTTCCGGACGTGGGAGCGCAAAGACGAGGTGTGCGACCAGGTGCGCAGCTACTGGGCGAATGTGTTCGCGGAGCCGCACGATGACGACCCCAAATTTTCGGACGAGTGAACGGATTGGGAGCGTATCCGAAGCAATTACGACATGCTGTTTATGAACGAGACGGTTGATTGTCCGCTGTATTATACCTTCTGTTCCTGCTTATACTTTACCATATTTGTATAATAAACATAGACATTCATAAGCATCCGTCGGATATCAACCTGACTTTACTTCTACTAATCTGCTGAACTGAGCTAACCCACTTATTACGGTTTACACTCGACTAATAGCACATGATTAACGTCCTCCCAAACCGGACAACTCACAAAGCTCAAGACAAAATCCAAAAGAAAAACAAAATTGGTATTGAACACTTATAGTACAGCTCCAGGCGTGCTCAGGCAATCATGAACAGATACAGATAATACTTCACTTCACTTTTCCAGTCATCACATCGGCTTATTTCTTGATCCCCTTCTCCCTCAGGCGTTGCTCATCCTCAGCCTGCAGGTCGGCATCGATCTTGGCTCCCTTGGAGGGCTCATGGCCGTGCATCTTCGCCTGTGACGCTGTCAGTTACATCCTCTGATATCCAGCTGCAGAGGAACAGGAACAGGAACATACCGGCTTAGTCGGGTCCTGCTTGCTCATCTCTGCCTCGGGGTTCTTGACGAAGTTGTGGTGGTGGTCGCTTTCAGGCTTGCGTTCTTGGGAGGCGAGCTTGTTGGCGATGGAGCGTTCGTCCTCTATTTATTCCGTAGTGTTAGACCGATAGGAAAGGGTGGAAGGGTGAAAGGTTGGAAACATACTCGAGTCAAGGTTCTTGTGGCTGTGCTTCTGGCCTTCGGTGTAGGGGCTGCGGTCGCTGATGTTGGCGCGGGCCTCGTTGCGCTGGTCGCCGGCCTCGTAGATGGCGCGGTTGCCGACGCTTGATTGTCCGGACATGGTTGTGTGAAATTGGGAAAATTGGAGATTGGGGGAATTGGAGAGATTGGGTTGTTCGTAGGAGAGTAAGTAGTTGTGAATGGTAGAGAGAAGAAGTCTGAGAAGTCTGAATTGAACGACCTTGACCTGAGAAAGAGCCAACTTTATAGAACTTGAATCTTGGTTCGAGATAGTTGTGATGTCATCGGACAGTCGCTGAGATCATAACCGGTGCGGTGGGGGCACACTGATTTCATCCATCCTGTCTTCGTCCGCGAAGGGTCGATGATGTAGCTATGTTCCATTCTTTGCCTGGTGGGGTCGTTGGTGGCCGGTGAAGCAAAACGGACCCTGGTGTTACGGAGGAACAGGAGTAGCAGGAGGAGGAGCAACAGTGTGCCTGGATGGGTCGAGGCGAGGCCATCCCAATTGGGACATGCCCCCATTACATAAACCGATATCGGCTTAAACGCATACCCGCGGCGCTGCAGCATCACACTTGCTCCTCCTCATCCAGGACCAAGTACGGTGTACCATGTCCCGCATCCCCTCTCGTCTGCAGCCTTTGTGCCGTAGCTTCAGCCTGACGAGCAGACCCTCCATCACCAAGACCATCCTCCCCTCCGCGCCCCGAACCACCACCCCAATCCGACCACCATCACCACCACCATCACCCTCACTTACCACCATCACCACCACCACAACCACCACAACCAGAACCCTCACCACCACTACTACTCCCCCACGACACCCCCAAAATGACCACCACCCTCGACCCGCGCTACTCGCAACTCTTCCAAACCCTGGAAGCCCAATTCCGCAACACCACCACCCTCCCGCCCGAAAAATGGTACATCCTCGCGATCTCCACCCTCGTCAGCAACCCGGACCCCGAACGCGCCGACCAACTATACCTCTACCTGATCTCTCAAGCAGCGTACCAAACGCCGTCAGCCCGACAATCCCTCGTGCGACGCCTGCGCGAAGCGCTCTTCAAAAGCGTGATCATCGTCGGCGTGTGCAAGCCCCTCGAGGCGATCTTCGCGATCAACGCGATCGAATCCCCCTCGGACAAAGACTACACCTTCACGCGGGAGAACTGGCAATGCGACGAGGCGAACCACGCGCGCGGCACCGCGTGGTTGGAGAAGCTCTACGCGCGGAATACGTCCAGTACGATGGATCTGTTCGCCTCGCATCGCGATTTCGGCTGGTTGTCGAGGGAGATTACCTACGGGTTGTTCTTGTCGGATAGAGACGTGTTGGATGATTTGGATACGCAGTTGGTGGTCCTGCCGGCGATTATGGGGCAGAATTTGAGGCTGGAGAGTCGGTGGCACATTCGTGGGACGAGACGGTTGGGCGTCGAGAAGGCGGATGTGGAGGGGGTTTGTGAGTGCGTGAGGCTTGTGGCACAGTTTTATGGGAGGGTGTTGGATAAGGTTCCCTCTGTGGAGAGTGTGGAGGGGGAGGTTTGATTGTAGATCTAGTATATCCTGCTGAACAGGATTCCTGCGGATATCAACGACTTTTCTTCTCTGTGTAAGGTTCAACTTGGTGCTGCTTTTTGCTTGCTAAGTGGCCTGGAGTAGTTGACCTGCCTGCGCATAGGTCGTTCAATTACTATGCGTAGGTACTGTCCAAGTCACATAATAAATCTCATTGACCCCTTGGTTTCAAGGCACCATACGCCGTAAATAAGGCCGATACGGAAGATTACTTTGACCGCCTGCCGCTATCAGCTGACACGCGCCTCCCTTTCTACGCGCCCCATCCCCACACCTCACCTTGACATCACTGGTTGAACACCATTCCTGGCCCCGCTATAGAGCTAATGGCTAACAGCAGCTCCCCAGACTACAAAGCGCTCTTCTTGAGAGCAGAGGAAGAGCGACGACATGAAGCAGAGTTAAGAGGACAAGCAGAGGAAAGCCAGCGTCAGGCAGAGGAAAGCCAGCGTCAGGCAGAGAAGGAAAGGGATCAGGGACACGAACAAACTCGACAATCGACTTTTGGTGAACTCATTCGACATTGCCATAACCTGTTCTCGCGACCTTTGAGAACCGAAGATCCGTCTCGCTCTACTACGGGACAGATACCAGCGCCCACTGGGAAATGTTGCCCGCTACAGCTCCTCCCGTGGACTGACTGTGTAATCAGACAGCAAGAAATCTACCGCTCTGTTTGCAATTATTTGGAGCCATCAGGGCAAGATGCCAAGCAGCTCTTCATTCCACGTCTTGTGCTGGAGGGTTTCGGGCAAGAATTGAGGAGACCCATAAGCAGTGAACAAGATTTGGTGATCTATGAACACTTCAGCGTGGAAAATCTTGTTCGTGATATCATTGCAGCGCTCTGCAAGATACCTGCCGCTCGAGATGAGTTCCAGTTGAGTGATGGAGTCAGTTTTGATAATCACGCAAACGCTCTTAATCCTCCTGCAACTGACTTATCGCAACTGAAACAATTATCAACCTCGCGGCCTTCCAGGCCAGATCTATTTTGCATACGCCGTGTCGGTGATAATTCAGAATCTATCCTCATAACAGTTGAGTACAAACCACCTCATAAACTAAGTGTCGAAAATCTTCGCTCCGGATTGCGACCGATGCGGTTCTGGGAAGAGGTGGTGGCGCCCGATTCCATCCCTACGCAAGAGCCCGAGAAACTGAGATATAATGCTGCCCGGCTAACAGGCTCGGCGCTAGTCCAAGAGTTCTATGTGATGATTCAGAAAGGGCTCGAATACTCCTATATAACAAACGGATTAGCGGTAGTGCTGCTGCGAGTCCCTTATGATAACCCGACCACTTTATACTATCACCTCTGCGAACCCAATAAGGAAGTGAATCCCGAGGATGATCAGAGCTTTCAACAGCCAGCAACAAGTATTGCCCGAGTGTTATGCCTCTGCCTGATGAGCTTCCGTTCAAGATTACGTGATCAGAAGTGGCGAAATAATGCGCGGGATCAGCTTCCAGAATGGACGACGAGTTTTGATCACGAACATTCCAGAATCCCAGAGGCAGAATTGCGACAGAACCCTCCAGATGCGCAATATACTCCGTCGGTACATACGAGCCCCGACCGTACCGGTTCGGAGTTTCTGCCATCGTCCCCTGCTGAATCCCCTACAGAGGGACGTCGACCGCCAACTCGGTCTCAGACTCAGTGTGCACCATCGAAACCAAGCCTTCGCAATGACTCTTCAGATTCTGATGAGGAGCCAACGCTCAGGGGGCAGAAGCGTCGCTTCAGTCAAATCACGTCGTCTCCGTCATCCCCATCTGTACGGCGATCGGCGCGTCAGACAGGCTCCGGATATGTTCCAAGCGATCAAAACCAACATCATAAGGCGCAGTTTTGTACTCAGCGGTGTCTACTTGGCCTGCAACAGGGGGGCTTACTAGACGAGTACTGCCCGAATGTAACACTCCACCGGAAGGTGGGAAGCAGCAGTCGGCACCTCATCAACGCGGAGACATTGATTCAACAGATTAAACAGCAGCTGGATAATGATATCGACGATTGTGCACCTATGGGAGGCTGTGGAGCATCTGGGGCGCCGTTTAAGATCACCTGTGCAATATATGGCTATACTGTTGTTGGCAAAGGGACTACATCTTATCTCTGGAACGAGGTGTCGCGCGAGGCAGATATCTATCGTATTCTTTCGCGAATACAGGGTTCGGTGGTTCCGGTGTTTCTCGGCGCGATCGACTTGGCCAAGATCTACTTTTTGCATGGAGCCGGAGAGATTCGACATATGCTACTTATGGCTTGGGCAGGAAAGCCGATCAGCAAAACCGAAGCAACCAGCCCTGATATCTCTAGCTCCATCTCCAAATCGATAAAGGAGATTCGCTCATTGGGAGTTTTACATCAGGATCTTCGGCTGGAGAATTTTCTGTGGAATGATGAGCTACGCCGGGTTCTGATTATTGACTTCCATTGTTCAGTCTTGGACCGTCAACTGATAAACAAGCGGATGAGGCTGCCTGGGAAGATCCCGTCCGGAGCAGATACGCGTAAGCAAACGCGACTCCGTCCAGTATAGAATGGGAAGTCCAAAAGGAGCAAAAGGTAAAGGGAAGAAGACTTTATCCCCGCCAGGCCCAGTGAGTTATATACTATTCCCTGAGAGACAGGAACTACAGGCAGAGAGCCCCAAGGGGATAGGTTTTTAGTTATTATTATTCAAAATGGATTCGGAGTCGCAACGACATCCCCCGAATGGGCCCCATGGACCATCATCCGATTGTAGCAAAGATATTCAACTTCAAGGGCCACAAGGACAATGGACTCGCTTTCGAAAATGTAATTCCCTGTTAAACGGCGCCTTTGGTTTTGCTACTCCCTGCGCTAAGTGGGAGCAGGATTAGTACTACTCTCCAATCACCCTTGTAACAAAGTATCAGAACAATAAGAACTTGCAGAAAAGGTTAAAGTTAAGTAAGTATACAAGAACACAAATATAAATACAGATAGGTTGTAGGAACATAAATCATAACTATCTTTATATATATAAACAGTCCGAATTTACTCAAGCTTAATAATATGACCTGCCCTCTCTTTTTCTTTCCTGATCATCTTTATAAAATGCAGTCATGTGCTCAGGAATATGCTGTCCAGATTTCAAGTGTGTACTGCAGCTGCCGCAAGGTCCTTCTGGTCTCTTATTACTATTTGGTTTCTCAGACATGCCGCGCAGAGAGCGATCAAGAGATGCTCTGTAGATAGCCAAGCATACCAGCACTCGATTGTCGAAAATAACAAATAAAGCTGCCACAGCCGAAAACCGATTGATACTTCCTTTCTCAACATCTAGTCTATCTGAACTCTCATGCATCCTAAATCCTACTGCCCCCCATTCCCCCACGAGTTCAGCACCTGCGCCCGCACCCGATAGAACCATTCCGAAACAACCACATAAGCCCTGGGGACCGTCAACGCCTCGACGTCCACATGTTCGATGAAGAACACGCCCTCGGACGGCTCCTCCACCTCCACATCTACATCACGAACTTCCCCACCCTTCGCCCTGCCCACATACGCCCTGCCCCCCGCCGTCTCGCCCAACTCAAACTCAAACTCCTGATTGCGATACTCCAACCCGAACACCCACCTCCTGCCTTGCCCCGGAGAGACCAACTCGACCTCATACCCCGTCTCCGTCTCCGTCTCCCTCTCCCTCTCCTGGCCCTCCCCCCTCACCGGACGATACAGAATATAGTCCTCCACCTCCGACACCTCGCCGCACACCGCCGAAACCACCCTCTCGCCGTACTTGGTCAAGAACGCGGACGGATACACCACCCCGTCGACGCGGGAGGTGGGCTGCCAGAAGCTCAGCACGTAGGGCCCGGCCATCAGCCGGACGGCCTCCCAATGCGTCATGATGTCCAACCACCCCTTCGCGGACCACCAGCGCTCGTGCCCACCGAGGCCGGTCCACCGGAACGGGACGCCGTTGACTTTCAGATCGACGTCGATCAAGCCGCCGGGGATGGGCTCGACCCAGTGCAACATGGGGGCGTTCTGCGTTGAGGATACCTCGGAGTCAGACGGGAAGAGCCCGCCGTCCGGGTAGCGCGCGGGGGTGGTGCTGTGCAGGGTGACGGCGCCGCTCACGTCGGGGGTGCGGATGTGGATGCGCGCGTGCTGGTGCTGGTGCTGGTGCTGTTGCTGTTGCTTGGCGTCGGCGGTCACAGTGAACACGTAGTAGTGGTCGGCAGAGTGCGACCAGATGCCGACTACTTGGTCGGGGCAGGTGTGCACCGTCGACGTGGAGAGGTAGTCGACCGTCGACCAGGTGGTGCCGTTGTCCCAGACCAGATCCAGCGAGAGCCGCAGGTTGCCTGGCCCCAGGAACGCATACGACGCGTCCCGGTAGATGCCCAGCAGGAGGCCGCTGCGGCCGGACGATGACGTCCCGTCAAATGCCCATTGCTCTCCCGCGGTGGCGTTCAGGCCCGAAGGGAGCTTGGGGGCGTCGAATGGCTCCGAGGGGGAGGTGGAGAAGGGGAGGTGGGAGGTGGGCGTGCGGTCGAACGCGGACAGCTGGCTCACGGTGCAGGTCGAGGGGAGATCGAGGTTCAGTTGTTCGTAGATCGTGGGGAGGTATTCTTCCGGGTTCCTGGCGGGGTTGGTCTGGGCGATGGTGGTTGGGAGAGCGACTTCGTACTCAATCGCAAGGAAGTACGCCAGGAGGAGCACGGGTAGCGTGATGGACAGAAACTCCAATGGGATTCGAGCCATGGCGACTATAGAAATGGGGATCCCTGGTTGAGAGTCAAGGAATGTAGTCGGACCAGGAACGTAGAGTGAAGGAGCCCAGGGAGATGGTGATCTGGGGGTTGCGGGGCTGGGATTAATTAGGGCTTGGAGGGGCCGGTTGACCCGAATCGACGCCGACCGAATCTCCGAATCCGACCCTCCGCAGCGAAGATGAGGCCTTAAAAGTGAATTGAACGGATACCAGGGATACCAGATCTACGACACCAGTCTCCTGACTCCATCACCTTCCTGTCCTGTCCACCAACATGACCGTCCAGCCGTACTCCCTTCCAGCCGGGTTCTCACCCGCGACGGTGTCTCTCCCGCGGCAGCAAACGGTGATCGCCCAAGACGAGACCGGCAAGGCCACAATCTACCACGATGCGCCACTGCCCATCCCCGAACCCCACATGGTGCTGGTCAAGACGGTCGCCGTGTCCATCAATCCCTGCGACTGGAAGATGCCCTCGCGCTTTCCCACCCCGGGAGCCCGCATCGGCTGCGACTTTGCCGGCACCGTGCTCTCGATCGGCCCTGAAGCCGCTCGCATCCGACCAGACCTTCGCCTCGGCGACCGCGTGTGCGGCGGCATTCACGGGTCCAATCCGATCGATCTGCCATCCGGCAGTTTCTCGCAGTATGTGGCTGCTCATGCGGACCTGCTCTTGACACTGCCCAGCGAGATCTCCTTCGCGCGGGGGGCCGTGCTCGGAGGCAGCGTCTTCGCGACTCTGTGGATTGCTCTGTACGAGTCGCTTGGGCTGGAGGGGACCCCGGACAAGCCTCTGCAGGCGAGTGATGATGTGCCCCCCGTGCTGGTCTACGGGGGTAGTACCTCCACCGGAACAGCCGCTCTCCAGATCCTGCGACTGTATGTTCTCGTTCTCGTCCCCGATAACCCCTTCCACACTCACTCCCACTCCTGACAACCGCAACGCATCCAGCTCAGGATACCGCCCCATAGCCACCTGCTCTCCCCACAACAACGACCTCGTGCACGCCGCCGGCGCCGAGCAGACCTTCGACTACCGATCCGAGACGTGCGCCGCCGACATCAAGCGCCACACGCACGGCCGCCTCCGCCACGTCCTCGACATCATCACCGACCTCCAGTCCCAGCTGATCTGCTACGACACCTTCAGTCGCGTGGGCGGCAAGTACACCTGCCTGGAACAGCCCGCCGAGGAACTGCATCTCCGCCGCACCGTTCGCAAGGAGATGATCGTCGGGCTGGCGGCCAGTGGGAAGGAGATTGCCCTGGCCGACGGCTACGAGCGCAGCGCCAACCCGCAGTTGCGCGCCGACAGTGGCCGGTTCTTCCAGACCATCCAGCGACTGGTCGACCAGGGCAAGTTCGTCCCTCACCCCGCCAGGACGGTCGAGGGGGGCTTCGAGGGGATCCTGAAGGGGCTGGAGATCCTGAAGTCCGGCGGGACGTCGGGGGAGAAATTGGTGGTGTTTCTCGAGGGAGGCGATCCCTGACCTTCTTCATTAATTCATCCATCACTATAACAAGATACAAGATACGACATAGTTTTCACGCATCAATGCACTCATTTCCACTTCAAAACTCCATTTACCTATAGAATCCAATCCTCCCACATGACTCCCCTACCGCGTAACATTCAGATGCTGATCCAAAAACCGAAACGTCCTCTGCACCACCAGCCCAATGGCCCCAATCTTGGCCTGCAAGCCGCCGTCCTCCGGCTTCCTGGCGATCCAGATCTCGCGCCGCTCGTCGCCCAGGTGCGCCAGCGCATCAAACACCCGGAGCACATCGCTCTCGGGCTCCAGATACAGCGACTGGGTGGCCCCGGACACCAACACCGGGCACTGGACGCGATCCAGCCGACTGGTCCCATCGTCACGGGCCAGCGTATACTTCATCATATGTCTCAGGGTGTCGGTGGGGGAGTCGACGCCGAAGAACCACATCGCGAGGCCGACCTCCCACCGGGCCTGGAACGACGCGGCCATGGCCATGGCCATCACCCCGTTGACGACCCGCGCGGGCACCCAGCCAGCGTTCCACGCGTCCAGCAGCGCGGGCGAGACGTGGCTGCGTACAAAGTCCCACATGTCGTAGAAGGGGTCGATGGCGACGCAGGCCCCGAGGCGCGGGTCGGCCGCCGCCCGCAAGGCGTAGTACCCGCCCATCGAGGCCCCGACGACCGCCACCCGCGACAGATCCAGCCGCGCGGCGGGATGATGCTGCGCGTACGCCGTCAGGAAGTCGAGCACGCGGCCCACCACCACCTCCCAGTCCGGGCGCATGCGCGTCTGGTCGCGCCGGAGCGGGATCCCCTGGCCGGGGCCCTCGAAGGTCAGCACCGCATACCCCAGTTGCGGTCCGCTGGCCGCATACACGTAGTACAGCTCCTCTTGGATGGAGTCGGCGCCGCCGAGGCTGAGCAGCACCGGCACGGGCGTGGTGCGGTTGCGCGGGAGGTACAGGTATGCGGGGAGGCCGTGGGTTTGGGTTAGGGTTTCGAACGGGATCGTGAGCGGGATGGCTTCGCCGGTGTCGAGCAGCGGTAGGGCCAGGGCGTATGTGTCCACGACCTGTTGCGCAAGCGGCAGGACGCGGGCGTCCGGTGCCCCCGGGCGGTCGTGGAACATGTAGCCGCTGGCGCGGTAATAGTTGGACGCCCGCAGGTAGGCTCGTCGCGCGGACACCGTGTCGCCGGATTGCACGGCCTCGTCCCCCAGGGCTTTCGCTTTGTCCGCTTGCAGGAGCCACGCCCGGTGCCAGCTCTCCGCGTCATCGTTGCGGATCTCGCTGGCGGCGACCAGGCATTCGGCGATTTCGGCTCCCCCGTAGGGCGCCGCGGAGAGGATGCGGATGAATTCGAAGTTGAAGAATTCTGATTTGAAGAATCGATGCATTGTGTGTGTGTGGATGTGTGTTGGATTCAAAGGGAAAAGAAAATACTACTCGTGGGAATGCTGTGTTTCGCTCGTATATCTAGTATATCTAGTATATCTAGTATAGTATGTACTATAGTGAGTGACTGCCGGGCGACATCTCCGACTTCCTTCGGGAGGCGTGGCGAAGAGGCCCGAATCCGAGTCCGACTGCCCTCAGCAATAAAGACTGCGTCTTCATAGTATTGACTCCCAGACCAAGACCTCCCTCCCTCACAGCCAGTCCAGTCCAGTCCAGTCACTCTCCGTCCCAACTATTCTCCAACAAACCGACCATACCATACCATACCATACCATGGCGCTCGATCTCCAGCTCGTCTCCGCAGACAGCCTAGCCCTAAAGCTCCTCCGAGTGACTCCCCTCATCACCACCACCATCCTGTACGCCCCTCCCCTTCCTCTCCTCTTCCAAAAAAACCAACTAACCCCCCTCCCCCCCATCAAAGCCTCTCCAACCGCCTAGCCCAATACTTCGCCCTCTCAACCTTCCTCCCCCCACACACCCCGCCCAAGAAAATCGACCACGTCGGCCCCGCCTTCCAGCACTGGCTGCAGACCGTCGTCCCCCGCGTCTGGACGGGCGTCATCGGCATCGTCCTGCTGACGCGGGTCGTGCTGATTCTGAATCTCTTCGTGCGCCCGGACGACCTCGCGGGCAGTTCCGCCCGCGTCCTGTACGCCGTGGGCCTCGGCCTCTCGTTTGCGCACTTGGCCGTCGCGCCGAAGATGTTGAGGTTCGAGACCCGCATGATGAGTCCTGAGACCGTGCCGCACGTCGCTATGGAGTTGTTGGCTGGGTGGTTGAGGGTTAATAATCGGAGGTTTTGGCTCGTGGATGTCCCGTTTTGGCTTGTTGGGGTGGGGGCGACGGTTGAGGGGTTGAGGGGGTAGATTTTGGGGGGTATTATGGGGGGGAGTTTATGGGGGTTATGGGGGGGTTATAGAGGGGATTTATGGGGGGGATTATAGGGGGTTTGGGGTTGACAGGGGGAAGTGGATGGTGTGAGTGACTGTTGCGGTGCTGGGTGGGAATTGAGAATAGTAAGCCACATTTCGAGCTGTGGGCACAAGAATGATGTTTTTTGGACTTTCGTCATTCTCTGTATGTTTCTGTATGCAAGATTATTTTTGAAAAGATAAACAAGGTAGGCTATTTCCACAACTACAAAGTACGCATACAGTGAATGATGAGTGAGCGCCACTGCGGCAAAAGGTGGACTCCCCCGCCTGGGTGCTCTCTGTAAGAAGGATCTATATAGAATCGGATAGTGAATTTCAAGCAACTTCAATAAACTTCTCATGGTCCTCACACACAGCAAGCAGATACTGGATACAACACTTTCCGGGAAAACAACCCCAACAAATGCATAATCCATCCTCAACCCACAACAGTCTTTGTCTTCCCCCGAACCACGCGACGGTACTGCAACACCGGCCCGGTCTTCGCTCCAGTGACATGATCCCTCAGCCTATACTCCTGCTGGACCTCCCCCCCGGGAACCGCGCGGAAGTCATACCGCCAGACGATGTTGGCCAGGGTCAAGAGGGCCTCCATCTGCGCCAGGCCCTTACCGATACAGCCTCTCGTCCCCAGAGAAAACGGCATGAACGCGCTGCGCACGTCGCGCGGGTCGTCCACCAGCCAGCGATCGGGGTCGAACCGGAACGGCTGCGGGTAGATGGTCGGGTTGTGGTGGGCGGCGTAGATCCCCACGCCGACATCATAGCCCTCGGGCACCACCCGGCCGTCGACCGTCGTGCCCCCGGCCTCGACCTCGCGCCACAGCGCACTCCCCGCGGGCGGAGACATGCGCAGTGCCTCGTCGATGCACGCACGCAGCAGGCGACAGGCGCTCAGTTGGCTTCCCCCGTGGATCTCCTCCGCCGACTGGAAGCTTTGGCGGACTTCCTGGGCGACTCGGTGGTAGATGTCGGTGTTTTGGCTCAGGTAGAACATCGTTGCGGCGAGAGTGGTGGCCGTGGTGTCGGAGCCTGTTGAAAGGAACGAGGTCAGAGAGAGAGAGAGAGAAAGAGAGAGAGAGAAAGAGAGAGAGAGAAAGAGAGAGAGAGAAAGAGAGAGAGAGAAAGAGAGAGAGAGAAAGAGAGAGAGAGAAAGAGAGAGAGAGAAAGAGAGAGAGAGAAAGAGAGAGAGAGAGAGAGAGAGCAATCGCAGGATATATGTGGTGCTGAAACGAAGGCGAGCGACACTCACCCGCAACGATCAGAGTGGCAGCCTCTCCGCTGAGCTCGTTCATGTTCATCGATTCGCCAGTGACAGCGTCCTTGCTCGTCTGGAAGTAGGAAAAGATATCCCGGCCGGCGAGGAGCTTGCTCTTCTGCACTCGTTCCTTGACGGTGCTACCGATAAACCGGACGAAGCGGTTACGGCCGAGGATGGACTGTGCGAAGAGCTTCTTGTCGCTACGGAAGAGGGTGACGATCGGCGCCTGCAGGAGGACACTGACCCGGACGTTGGATTCTTCGATGGCGCGGATCACCGACCGGTAATTCTCCTGGCGGAGGGTGTCGTATGATGCACTGAAGACGAGGGAAGACATGATGTCGAAGGTCAGGTAGTCAACTAGACCGTCCAGCTGTGAGTGAGCGAGTGAGGGCAAAACTTCCAGTCGGGATGAGGGTTGGCTTGACTTACACCACTTGGCCATATCCTGCGGCGCGCTCCATTCGCCATCCGACCCGGCATCTTTGACCATCAGCAAGTCGCAAAGAGTCCGAACCAACTCCTGCACCCGAGGTTCAAAGGACCGAATGGCTGCGTCAGAGAACCCGTGGCTCATGATGCGTCGTCGCTGGGCGTGCTGCTTCTTGTCGCGCATCGTAAGGGTGTTGGCCGTGCGATGGACCAGCGTGTCGTACACTCGCGACTTGCGAACCTTTCCACCATAGCCGTAGATGTCTGCAAGTCTGGTCAGAGCCTGAAAGCCGACGGTGCAGTACTTTCCCACCTGAGACTGCTTTGGCGGTATCAAAAGCCAGCCGATTCGGGGCGTATCGGATGTGGTTGCCTTGTGAGTCAATTAGTGAATGGCATGGCCGGAAGAACAAGACCGGGGCGAGCCCACCATATTTCTGATGGCAGCGCCAGATATCCTCGTGGATGTCACCCTTCCATGCGTGGTATGCAGCATAGAGATTGGTTATTCGGCCGAGCAGCGGTCCAGGGTACTGCGCAAGTGGGTGGAAGACGAGACGATAAATGGCCAAGCCACACAACTATCAGACGAGCAAGTTAGCAAGCCCACGCGAGAAAACAAAGCAAAATAACATACATAGAGACCGAAAAGCGACAAGGCAAGAGTTGCCCCTTTCAACAAGGCCACAGGGGCGTTCAACAACACTCCGATCATGGGATTCATGTTTCTCCAGTCTGCAGTGCCGGGCTGCCTGCCTCGATGGCCGCAGGGCCTGGTCAGCAAGCATTATCTATCGGCGACGAATGCTCCTCAGAGCCCGACTCCGAGGCCGGAGATCCGACTGGGCACTCACGGCTCCGAATGCAGCTGATATATAGAGACTAATACAGTACAAACTAATCATACCACAGCCACGTCCGCTGTGACGACAATCGACGACGACCAGATTTACGCCGCTTCTTATCCGACTTTCTGAGCGCTATGGCTCCCAAAGACTTCTTTCCACCTGCTCCCCTTGACCTTGGTACGTTCCTTTACAGTACACTGCTATGATTTTGGGCCATGCTGACGATCCCCAGACTGGGACAACATCGGCATCAAAGTCCGCGAGGGTATGTTGTCTTCTGGACGAGTAGTTCCATGCAGCCATCTCACAAAGTCTAGTCAATGGACATGTTCAATGTCGCTATAATGTTGCGACTGGATCTTGGAGTGAGCCCGAAGTGGTCAAGGGCATTGACCTGACCATCAGCGGACTCTCTCCTGCTCTCAACTACGGTAGGGTACCTTCGTGGTCGTGTCAATCTGGTGCTAACACTAACATCCGGGGGCATAGGCCAGCAAGCATACGAGGGAATGAAAGGTAAGACTCAGAACCTAACGCAGTCTGTTCAATTGCCCAGCTCATGGATACACACACAGCCTTTCGCGACCCGCAGGGGCAGATCCGCATCTTCCGCCCGGAAGTGCACGCTGCGCGCATGGCCCATTCCTGTGAGGTCGTCTCCATCCCCCCTATTCCCCAGGAGCATTTCACTCGGTCGGTCGCATTGGCCGTGTCGGTCAACGCCGAGTTCGTGCCTCCCTTTGACAGCAGCGCTGCCCTCTACATCCGACCGCTGGTGTTGGGCTCCGGCCCTCAGATCAATCTGGCCCAGCCTGAAGAGTACACATTCTGTGTTTTCGTCCTTCCCGTCACCAGTCTTCTCGGCACCAAGCCCGTGGATGCTTTGATCATGGAGGAGTTTGATCGGACAGCTCCAATGGGCACGGGAAATGCCAAGGTCGGTGGGAACTATGCTCCTGTTCTGCGGTGGGCTGCCAAAGCGCGCGCCAAGGGGTATGGGATTCCGCTGCACCTCGACAGCAAGACGCGCACCGAGATCGATGAGTTCTCGGCGGCGGGCTTCATCGGGGTTAGAAATGATGAGGGACAGACCACCCTGGTGGTCCCGGATAGTTCGTGTATCATCCAGAGCGTCACCAGCGACAGCTGCGTCCAGCTCGCCCGATCGTATGGCTGGTCGGTTGAGGTCCGGCCGGTTCGTATCTCCTACCCCTACCCCTGCACTGGCACATCTACGTACTCACCATCCCATCCCAGATCAAATACACCGAGTTGCCCGAATTCTCGGAAGTCTTGGCTGTAGGAACGGCGGCAGTGCTCGTGCCCATCGGATCAATAACCCGCGACTCGCTCCAGGATCTGATCGTCTATAAGCCCTCGGAGGATGGAGGCTACCCGTGTGCAGACAGACTCTTCAAGTCGATCAAGGAGATTCAGAGGGGGTTGGGCAAGGATGTTTTTGATTGGTGTGTGCCGGTGCATGAGCCAGCTGCGTACTTCCCATCTGTCTCCGACCGAGAAGCCGCCGCACTGGCCTGATCACTTGTGCTATACCCAATGTTTTAACCGTGTGTTCTATGTTATTTTGTCTTGTTTGTGTTCAATCTGTATTTCCTGAGCAGTTTGCGCGGGAGCTATCTAAAGAGAATCGTTGCAAGTACTAAATCTTGATCAGCATATCCCCAGGAGAAGCGCTTCGGGTTGTAACCTAAGCCCTTGTACCGCACGATGTAGATTGAGTGAGATCTGACAGTCCCTTTCGGTGCCCAGCCCTAAGCCGCCCCTCCGATATCCGACTTTGGCTCCGACCTCACCGAGGGCATTTCGGAGAGCAACCCTCCCTCACGATGTCACAGACAACCCTCATCAGTGTATATCTAATGCAGCTGCAGCACCAGTTGCTGGAGACATCAATCAGACCATCTTCGATTCCAATCTTCCATCCTCCGCATCCATCCCAACCATGGCTACCGCAATGACCGCCACCGCAACCCCTGTCCCTACCATGGCATCCCATGCACAAGACACCACCCTCCCTCCACCTCCCAAGGGGGACATCACCACACCCGTCCTCTTTGCGCAGAACTTCCCCAAGCCCAGCACGGGGTACATGTTCATCAAGAACCCTCCCCCGGCGGGGGTTCCGTACACCAACATCCGCGGCGAGCCGGCCATGGTCACGGTCGAGGACCTGCGCGGCAAGGAAGACAGCGTCAGCCTCGACCACGACTCGCTGCAGGTGCTGCAGGGCCTGAGCGACGTGCCGCGCAGCCCGGAGGTCAACTGGGACAGCCCCCCAAGCGTGGAGAAGACCTTCTACCCGGCCGTCGAAGCGGCAGTCAAGTCGGCCATCCCCGGCGCCCACACGGTGCACATCTTCCGGCACGGCATCCGCCACTCGCAGAACTGGCCGGTGCCCTACAACCCCCCGGCCATGATCGCGCATCTGGACCAGACCGGCCCCGCCGCCATCAACCGCGTGCTCCGCCACATGGGCCCCGTCGACGGGCCCCGCCTGCTGCAAGGCCGCTACCGCATCGTGCACTTCTGGACCCCCCTCAACGGGCCCGTCTATACCTGTCCCGTGGCGGTCGCCAGCTCCGCCACGGTCAGGGACGACGATATTCAGATCTTCGTCAGCCATCTGGGCGGCGTCGGCGGCCTGGACATGCCCCTCGGACGCCCGGTCGCCAAGCCCGATCCCTCGGAGCAGTACCGCGAGGACTTTGGCGCCCCGCGCTATGCCGCCGGCCAGCGCTGGTTCTACCTCAGTGGCATCTCCCAGGATGAGGCGCTCTTGATCCAGATCTTTGACTCCAAGGCCTTGCAGAAGGACGGCCCCGTCCGGGGCGGCAGAGCCGTCCACTCCGCCTTCCGCGATCCCCGCACGCCCCAGGGTGCTCCCGACCGTTGGAGTATCGAGGTTTCCTGTCTGGTTTTTAGTGATGAGTGATGGATTCTATGGATTCTGTTTGTGTTTTACGTTCTCGTGCTTTTTTTTTTCTTCTTCTTCTTTTTTTTTTGCGGCTAGTTCCTAATTGAATCTGAATTGTCTATGAATTATCCTACAACCACTGTACACTGGGTCTACTCCGTAACCCTAACTTACCAAGTTCTGCAATCTTAACTGCATTTTAAGTATGAATACCGTAACCCGTAAACTTCCAACCCCAAACCACCAGGCGGATTCATTCATCATGCTTCATCCGCATGCTTCTGCCCGCGATTACCAATCCATCCCACCAATGACAGCCTCCCATCCAGCCTGTTGTGCAGGAAATATGCAAGGAAACGGTCTAGAATTTCGGCGACCTTTCGGACTCGGACTCGGAGTCGGAGATGAGTAAGACCGCTCGAAGCAGAAGAGCGCAAGAGCCCTATTACTATGCCCTACTTCTTTCTCTCTTGGCTGGAAGAGGGAAGGAAGACTAGACTACTGTGGATCTCTGCTCAGCGGATTGACCAGTACCTACCTACCCACCTACCTACCTAACTACCGCCATCATGTCCGCCTCAGACAGGACGAGCGAGAGCGAGATCAGTGACGTTGAGAAAGCCACCACGGCGGAGACCCTGAAGGAAGTGTCTGCCAGCAATGCTGCTGGGTCCAGTGCCCTAACTGGGCTGCCGTTGTATACGGTCCTGGTCGGGCTGGGACTGGCGCTGTTCCTGGGGGCTATGGATATGGCCATGCTTGGTACGGTCAGTTTGAACTTCTTCCTGCTTTGCTTGCCCGCCTACCTGCCTTCTGATGATTAGTGTTCGGCTGGCTAACTCGAGAGTTCTTTTTTTTTATCTGCGATAGGCCGTTCCATCCATCACCTCGACCTTCCACACGACCGCTGATATCGGCTGGTATGGCGCGGCATACCCCCTCACCATGTCCTCCATCCAGCTGCTGGCGGGCAAGATCTACGCCCAGTTCCCGCAGAAGCTGGTGTTCCTGGTGTTTTTCGGCCTGTTCATGCTGGGCTCGCTGCTCTGCGGCGTGGCCACCACGTCGCCCATGTTCATTGTCGGACGGGCGATTGCGGGGGCAGGGGCAGCCGGGGTGCTGTCGGGCACGTTGGCCATCGTGTCTGCCGTGGTGCCGCTGGACAAGCAGTCGCTCATCCTGGGGCTGATGATGTCGCTGGTGGGCACGGCCGTCGTGCTCGGCCCCGTCATCAGCGGCCTCCTGACCGACCACACCACCTGGCGCTGGTGCTTCTACCTGAACCTGCCCTGCGGCGGCGTCACTCTGCTGGCCCTGATCCTCTTCTTCCGGCCGCCCAAGCGGCCCGCCCGCGCCACCCCGCTGTCCCTCGCGCAGCTGATCAAGAAGCTCGATCTGGCCGGCTGTCTGGTCTTCATCCCCGCCGTCGTCATGCTCCTCCTGGCCCTGCAGTGGGGCGGCGACGGCAGCACAGCCCACGCCTGGGACTCGGCCACCATCATCGGCCTGTTCTGCGGCGCCGGCGTCTCCCTCATCCTCTTCCTGGTCTGGGAGCACTACCAGGGCGATGACGCCATGCTCCCGCTCAAGTTCTTCAAGGACCTGACCATCATCGCCAGCTGTCTGTACGGCTTCGCCCTGCTGGGCGGCTACGTCGTCGTCGGATACTACCTGCCCGAGTGGTTCCAGATCATCAAGGGCGCCAATCCCCAGACCAGTGCCGTGATGTTACTCCCCAACGTCATCACCAACTTCATTTCCAAGGCGGTGATTGGAATCATCGGTTCGTTTCACCCCGTCCCTTTCCCTTCCTCATCCCCACACCAGACAGAACCCTATACTAACCCCCCATCCCCCATCCAGTCAACAAAACCGGCTACTTCAACCCCTGGCTCTTCTTCGGCGCAGGTGTCCTAGCCATCGGCTCCGGTCTCGAAACCAACTTCCACCCCTCGACCCCACGCCCCAACTGGATCGGCTACCAGATCCTCCAGGGCGCCGCGCTGGGCATCATCCAAGCCCCCACCCTCGGCGTGCAGCTCGCCCTCGCCAAGCAGAAGCATCTGATCCCCGTCGCTCTCTCGCTGGTCATCTTCTTCCAGTACTTCGGCAGCAGCATCATGCTGAGTATCTCCGAGACGATCTTCCAGAACCTGCTGCGCCCCGCCCTGGTCAGCAAGGCCGGTATGACCGACGCCCAGGTCCAGCAGTATGTCGCGGCGGGTAATTCGGAGGTGAGGAAGTTGACGGATCAAATTGATCCGGACAGGTTGGGCGTCGTGTTGGAAGTGTATAATGATGCAATTGCCGGGGTTATGGTATGTTTTTTGTTTTTTTTTTTTTTTTTGATGGATTGGTTTGTTGGGTGTGGGATAGGGTTGGGAGGATAAGCGCTAATTCTTGGTTGGTAGTGGCTTTCGACGGCGGCGGCCTTGTTTGGGTTCCTCGTGTCTTTTGGGTTCCCCTGGAAGAGTCTGAAGGCGCAGACGGAGGAGAATAACAAGGAGGCGGCTGAGGCGGAGGTAGCTGCGGCGGAGGCTTGAGATGGTGAATATTTATTTTAATGGGAGTGTGAAGGGCTGGGGAGGGGGAAGTGATGGTGAATGGTGAAGCCATATAGGCGATTCTGTGGCATGTGGGGGTGGAGTGAAGGTGAAGGTGGAGCTAGAATGCAGCATGTATGGCGTTTTCTTTTTCGGATGAATTTTATTTAACTAATACTGGAGTGAGCAATAAACTAGAGTGAATGCCCTGACTTTCTGGTTGTAGTGTATATCAGCTCTGTTCTGTTGGTGAGTCATGAACTTAGACCACTGATACTGATGGTGGGAGATTAAACAATTTAAAAGCACAGAGAATATTATCAACAGAATAAGCATAAGTCATAGAGTAAAGACAGTCATGGATCCATCAAGATGAAAGCAGATAGTATGACTATAGCACAAATTGACCATTGCAAGCAGAAACCTGATAGAGCATGTTATTTTCGGTGATCGGACTGCGGCAATGACATGAACCAGAACACAACAAAGTCAGAAGCAGAGTCACGACTACTCCCCTCATCCCACCACCGGGAACAAAGAAAAGAAATAACATGTAGCCCTAGCCCTGCTAGCCTACTTTGTCTAACAGCATGATCAGTGTCCCGGCATCAGCATCAACATCCGCATCACAATATAATACATAGTAATCATAAAAGAAGAAGAAGCAAGCAAGGGCAACCCCATCCCCTCCACCCCGAAACGAACCCTTATGCACACCCTTACAACACAAGAGCTCTTATGTCCTGTGCATCATCCTCGGAACAGCCACCCCCGAGCCGAGGCATTCTTATGAATGAACAAACAAATAAATAAGAAAATGATTGTTCTGTTCTATTCTATTCTCTTCTATCCACTCGTAATCTATCTCCCACCGGCATGGACATTCCCTGCATTAGATCAGCTGCTGCCCCCACACCGACAGACATGCCACCCCCGGTCTGTTGCATCAACCGCACGTGGCGACTGGAGAAGAGATGAGAGACCTAGACTCGGACCCGGACCCGGACCCGGACCCAGGACCCAGTTATATGAAACCGGACGTGAATTAGCAAGGAGCTTGTCTTGACACGATCCTGATGACGATGACCTGCCGTTGTAGTTACTGGTATGGAATAAGCTATTGCTTGTGACAGGCGGCGGTCCGGTCCGGCGTGGAATGGGATGACCCTGGCAGCGTCCGGATCGGCCGCATGCGCTTGAGTTTATAGTTTATAGTTATGTGTATATTTATGAAGTTTTGATTTTTTCTTAAGCGGGATTGTGTTTGCTGGGGGGGAGGGGGGGAAGAGAGGGGAGATATATCATATAGCTATGAAAGGGAAACTGATACAGTAGACATGAGATTGTTTGTTGTTCAGTGTAGCTATTGGCGATAATATATGAGTATTTGTTGAAGCCAACCTGCTGTGTGGTCAGGTTCCACTTTTGAGGTGTTATCCTCTCTTCCTGTACACAGCCTAGCTAAGTAACTAGCATTGTTGATCCTTGGTTCGTTCCTCGGCGCCACGGAGTCAACACAGGAGATGTATGTTATTCATGTGTTACTTTGCTTGGAAGGAAGCAAGCCTTCACAACCGAACTCGACATTTGGATTATATACTCCAAATCTTATATTACACACAAAGCAGTGAGTTGAAAAGTCATTATTTATATCCCACAATCATAAGCTACTTTCACATATATTACTCCGCATAATGCCTCAGATGCTCCTTGATATCTCGCACGATCCGACACAACTCCCTCCCCTTGGCGCCGCGCTGCGATGGATCGCGCCGATCGAGGATTGTGTCCAGCAGCGCGGCGGGGACATGGCCCTCCGCGCGGTCGCGGATGGCGTGCAGCCGCTCTTCGATCTGGTTGAGCATGTGCGTGCTCACCTGCAGCAGGATGCAGATCTGCAGGTCGCGCGTGCTGCTGCCGACCTCGAACCCGCCAACCTGGAGGTTCGGTAGGGTGGGCAGGAAGTTGGACCCCGAGGGGTTGGCGGCCACCGAGTCGCGGATGAACGAGAAGACGCCCTCGTAGAGCTGGATCAGGCTGGTGTACCCGGTCAGGAAGAGGAGGGTGAGGGTGGTGTCGAGTTGAAAGGAGATGGCAGGGGAGGTGCTGGTGCTGGTGCTGGTGTTGGGGTTAGGGTTGGGGGCGGACGTGGAGGAGGTGGAGGAGGAGGAGGAGAGGGAGGCAGAGGAGGAGGAGATGGAGGCGCGGGAAGATGAACGAGAGGCGGAGGCCGAGGAAGGCCCCGAGAGTGGTGGAAGAGAATTGCCTCCCAAGGGCGAGGAAGGGGCATGGGTGCCAGTCTCGTCTGCTGTGCTGGTGGTGGTGGTGGTGGACTCGGTGCATCCCGGTGGGAACAAGGTGCCTTTACATCGCTCCAGCTGCTTGAGGATGTCGAGGAGCTCCTTCGAGCTGTGGAACATCTTTCCGATCACGTAGTTCTGGCCCCCCTGGCGGCCCTTCTCGACCTCCAGATAAGTCGAGCGGGAGGCTTGCGAGAACAGCAGAGTCCCCGCCACTTTGCCCGAGTGGACCAGCCCTACGTCCTGCAGCAGGTTGCGGTTCAACTCGCCCATTCGCGCAATACATTCGTTTTTGATGCTGACGATGTCCATCTCGCGAGGGCGGGACTCGCGCTGGGGCGTCTCGAACCCGTTCAAGCCACGAGAAGACTGCAATGAGGGCTGGAAATGGTTTCCGCCTGTCAGGGAGCCGTGGTAATGGCTCCCCGCCGGCGTCCCCTCGCGGTGATCCGGGCGGGCCTGTGTGAAGGCGTCCATCCATGGGGACCGACCGCTGTCCTCGGCCATGGGACGAAAGTAGTCGAAGAAGTCCGAGCCCCCGGACGGGGAGTGTGGAGTGAGTGCGGCGCTGAAGTCAAAGCCACGACTGGCACTCATATCTGGCAGGTGGTCAATGGAGTCCAGCAACGGTGTCCCGTCTGTATCCAGCACGCCATTCGGATGTAAGGGAGAGGGAGGAGGAAATTGGTCAGGGTTGGACATCTGCCGTGTGCGACCGAGTGGCCGCGAGTCCCATGGGTTTGCCATGCTGGGGGGATGTGAGGGACGACGAGGGTTCTGCGCACCAGTCATATCCAGCAAGCTAGGATCCATGTCTCCTAGATCGTCGGCAGCAGCAGCAGCAGCAGCAGCAGCAGCAGTCACGGAGGGTTGCCCCGCTACCGTGGCCAAATGAGGATCATAGTTGGACTCGGTGTGATGCAGGGATTGAAGAGAGGAAAGTGGTTTCGTCCGATGCGGTTGAGACATGGTTGTCACGCAGCGAACATGCGCCTTGAGGCAGCGACGACAGGAGGAAGTCGTACTCGAGTTGGACACTGGCCGCTCACAGCGCAGTTTCTGGCCCCGACAACGATCGCAGGCAGATCGTCGGGGCTGGTCGGCCACCACGACAGATGGTTCGACCTCATTCATGACAGTCGGATAGTCCGTGGTTAAGTAAGTCATTCCGGCTGGGCTGGAGGATCAGCAGCAATAGTTGCTATGCACCAGTATAATCCACGTGGAGATGCTGGTAGATCTTTATAGACGGACGGCCCTAATTCCCCCTCTCGTGAGAGGATTCTGGTAGGAGGATCGTGTCCTATTCCCACCCCAGTGGAAACTGGCCCCGCGGAGCTGCAGGACCCTACTGGAAATGGATTCGGATTGAGACTACTTTCTCATCGATGTGTCTCAGCCTTTTCGTTCGGGGGTGGTGGATTCCCCAGGCTGAGCGTCGAATGGCGACTATCTTACCAGACCCGGCAATCCTTAGGGCGGTAGCAGCAGAATGAGGAGAGAATGAAACGAGAAGACAGCTCGAAGAGCAAAAAAAAAAAAGAAAAAAGAAAAAAGAAATCAACAAAACGCATCGGCTGACGCGTAATTTCGGAAGGCTAAGCATGCATACTAGACCCTGGAGCCGGACCCAGGTGGAGGAGGGCTAAGGCCCGATCGCAGGTCCCAGATAACACTACGAAGCCCCTCAACCGAAAAAAAGCAAAACTCGCTCTTGGGTTACATTTGATGCGTTCTTGTGCAACTTGGACTTACGCTCTGACTTATCACATTGCTGGAGAGCTATCGTAAGGACAGTTGTTGCTGCGGCCGAGGATTACCAAGCAATGTGATTACCCGGATCAGAAAACGTTGATTTGACAGGGAGACCCCCTGTCGAGGTGTCAAGTGACTGTGATGAAACAGTTAGTTACTTAGTAACATGGATGTGTCAGTTCTTCAAGGGAGGCTGTTAAGGTGTGACTGAGTTTGGTTCGAGTCCACTTTCGTCTCTCCAACCCGACCACTTGGGGCGGAGTTGGTCCATTCAACCGCAGCCCTAGCCCCAACGCCGTCTTCGACCGTCTACCAGAATCGCCGGAACTCGTGGCCATATCTCCCATAATCAATCTGACTGCATGACTTAGCTCCTGTATGATACGGAGTACTCCGTACATCAGTCACATCTGATATACCGGTACTGGGATTCGTCCCAGGGCTTTGCCGTGGCTGCAGTTGGTTGCTGGGCGGACGGCCTGGCCTGAAGAAGGAGATACTGTCTGGAGGAATATAAGCTGAGACTTCGCCAAGATAACCCCGTAAGTACAGCCACACAGCGCTAGTCAGACTCCCTGTCACAGCCTGACCCAGCATTATTCAGGGTACTCCAAAATATCGACTGGTTCGATGCTCTTGACTTTCTCGGTGGACCATCTTGGCGGAATGAAGCACGGAAATTTTCAACCAAGCGCAGCCAAGACGGGAAACCCCCCCCCCCTTTGAATACGAATGACAAAAAAGCGGCACGATGAGAGGGTTGGGAAGGCAAGGCTAAATTAAGGGACGAGCGTTTTGACAAGCGAGCACTAAAGCTCGACGGATTGCAGTTCTTCCCATGCTCGTTGGGTCTGGGAAGCTTCACTAGTGCAGATTAGTGGTCCGGTAGATACGGTAGACTAAGACTCTACTGGGTTAAGCAACTCAACCAACCCAACCAACCAACTAATCTTGTCAGCACTAATAAGATACTAAGCCGGCCGAGATGCTCCGTGGCATCCACTAGCACCCTGCTGCTAAATAATGCCAATGGCCATGGCCCAGACCACTTTTGGCCCCCGAATGCTCGTGCTCCTCCTTGTCCGATAATCTCCAATTCGGATCTCCGACTACGGTACGCAGCCGGTGCCCCGGATTACCCTCTCCGCTCCATCGGACATGTCCAGGATTGTTGGTGTGCACATTCGGCCCCTATTCTCAACCCCAAAGGGGTTTGGGGGGGGGGAAACGAGACGGAGGAGGCTCCGACATGCTCCACTGGGGAACCCGACCACGTAGTTAGTGACCCTATCTGCCTCGGGGAGTGAAGAGAAGGAATGATCCGACAATCTATCCTATTTGAGCCTCGATCCTGCCCACAGCCTCAACCCCCGAGCGTTAAGAATCACGACCACGGCCGTCTTGCGTCCTTCCTCTTCTCCGCAGATCAGCAGCGACCATGGCCAACAATCAGGGTTCCATCGCCAAGGACGTCAGCCTGGCCAACCCCCCTTCGGACAGTATCTCGCAACTGAGCTGGTCGCCCGTCGCCAACCACCTGGCGGTGTCGTCGTGGGACCAGACGGTGCGCATCTACGACGTTTCGCAGTCGGTGACGGGAGAGGGCAAAGCACTGTTCAACCTCGCAGCGCCAGTCCTGGGCTGCGCCTTCTCGCCCGACGGTGCGAAGGTGTTGGGGGGAGCGGCCGACGGGTCCGCGCGACTGATGGACCTGGCGGCGGGCAAAGAGGCGCAGCAGGTCGCGGCCCATGATGCCCCCGTTCGCTGCGTCCGCTTCTGTGGGAATATCGCCGTCACCGGCTCGTGGGATCAAACGGTCAAGTATTGGGATCTGCGCCAGGACCGACCCCTGGCGACCCTCCAGTGCCAGGAGCGCGTCTACGCCATGGATCTCTGCCAGAACCTGCTCGTCGTGGCCACGGCCGACCGCCACGTGCATCTCGTGCAGCTGAGCAACCCGGGCCAGATCTACCAGACGGTGACCAGCCCCCTGAAGCATCAGACGCGCACCGTCACCTGCATCCCAGATGCGTCGGGGTTTGCGATCGGGAGCACCGAGGGTCGCACCGGGTTTCACTACGTCGACGAGAGCAAGTCCAGGTGGGCTGTCCTGTGCAGGTTTTACAACGAAAGGAAACAGTCACTCTAACAATCGTGGTTGCAGTCAAAACTTCACCTTCCGCTGTCATCGCGACCTGGCTGCCGGGAAAACCGCGCAGAACGTCTACGCGGTGAATGACATCTCCTTCCATCCCAAGTACTACACCTTCAGCACCGCCGGGGCGGACGGCACCTTTGCCTTCTGGGACAAGGACGCCCACCACCGTCTAAAGCCATTCCCCACCGTCGGGGGCCCCATCACCTCCACGGGCTTCAACCACGACGGTAGTATCTTCGCCTACGCCGTGAGCTACGACTGGAGCAAGGGCTTCCGCTACAACACCCCCGAGCATCCCACGCGCGTGGGGCTTCACCCCGTCGACGACGCCGAATGCAGGCCCAAGGGTAAGAACCCCGTCAAACGATAAGCGTAAATGTGCGAAGAACAGAAAAAAAAGAAGAAGAAGAAGAAATATTGCCCAGATTGGGGTCTCAATGCTCAAATTCACTACATACAACAACAACAACAACAACAACATGCTCACATCTGCAAAACCTTGGCCACCACCTCATCCGCACTCTCATTCTTCACCCCCAACAGGGGGGAATCCGACGCCTCCCACGAAGGAGCCATGACACATCGGGCCTGTCCTTCGTCGTACATCTGCGCGACCACCAACTCCAACACCCAGCCGCCCATGCCCGCCTGGAACTTGCGCTGTCCGCTCTCGATCAGAGTCTGCGCGGAGGCGCGCTGCACCGGCCATTGTCGGCCCGTGACGCGCTGGAAGGCCTCCAGCAGCTCGGTTTGGTTGGTGATGAGCGACAGCACCTTCACGAACCGGTTCGCCGTCTCGTCCGGGTGCTGCAGGACGCCGACGACCGACTGCCCGATGCCTGCCAGGGTGGTGGCGGTGAATTTCTCCGTGCCAGAGTCGTAGATGAGGGCTGAACACTGGGCGATGTCGAAGCCCATCAGAGGGAATCGCTTCATTGCCTACATACACCAAAAAAAGTGAACCACGAGTCAGCACAAGTTCCCCTCCTCTCATACACATCACACACAAACACAAAAAAAAAAAAAAGAAAAAAACAGACAAGCCTTACCCAATCAATCGGATTCCCCGAGGTGATACCAGTGAACGTAAAGTTGGGATTCGCCTCGGCCTTCGCTCTGGCCAGTTCCCACCCGGCGCGCCGATGAGCGTGAATGGCGCGGAATTCCGGCAGGTTGCGGAAATCCGGGCCCCAGCCGAAGTCGTCGACGATGAATCGCTTGACGCCCGCGGCTTCGGCGGCCTCGATCATGGTGACCTGCGCGCCGATGCCGCCGGGGCCGACCACGCAGATGGCGGCATCCTGGCCGGCCAGGGCAGTGGTCAGGTTCTCGAGGGTGTAGCTGGTGCGGATGACGGGCAGGCCGGCGGGGAAAGTCGAGGAGGACTCGGTGCGGGTGATGATGGTGATGTTGAAGCCGGCGCGTTGGAGGGCGGCGGTGATGGGGGTTCCAAAGTTGCCCGATGCCCGTGCGGGGGTCAGTTTCAAGGGAGGGGGGGGGGGGGGGGGGAATCTCATAGAGGGGTAGTAGACATTGGACATACCCCGAAGATGGCCACTTTCTGGATAGTGGTGGTCATGGTTGTATTTTCTTCGTCGATATTATGTTATGTTATGTGATGTGTTGTGTTGTGTTGTTGGGATTGGGATTGGGATTGATGGCGGGTGGTTTATTATTAATTCATTCTCTGAGGGGAACGAACGGAAGAGAGGAAAACAATCGAGGAGAGATTGTATTATTAGCGGGGGTGGTGTTGCAACCTGAGGCAGGTAATAATTCCCATGGATAGAACGTGAAAGAGCATCAACATTAGTAATGCAATTTGAGTCAGAACAAAGAGATTCCTTGTTGCTTACCTTACGAGGCGCTGCTAAGGCTGCGAAGACGGGGCTTCTCGGCCGACGTTGGGGGTTGTGTGATAGGTGCGTGCAGCGTGCACGGCTCGCATCCAACCTTTGGGCGGCGGGCGCGGATGGGCCCATTCTAGGCAAAGAGCTAGAAGCAGTTAGACTAGAGCACCAGCGCTATCTAGATCTGATCGAGCTTAGTTTCTGGGTTGTGGGGGAGATGCGCTAGTTTTTTTTTTTTGACTTTTGTCTGGATCAGACGGCGTCCTTTTTAGGCTCGGGACGAGTCCGTAAGAATAGGGTACGAGACTAGGAGTCTAGGAGTCCCCATTTACATTTATTATTATTATTATTATTATTTTTTTTTACCCTTTTGCGTATGCTGTGCGATCCTAGGATGACTCTTTTTTTTTTTCTTTTCTTTTTTCTTTTTTCTTTCGCCTTGTTCCCCCACAGGTGAGGCTCAGGCGAGTATAATCCCTCAATTGGGCCCTGCAGTAAATACTGTTCCCACCCGTCTTGATTCCCTTTAGCCTCATGCGGGAAACGGACGACGTGTTTGCATGATCCTTCGCCTTCGTTTGCAGGTCTTGCAGGTAGGTATTCACCTAATAGATGCCAAGCGATTGGTCATGATGTGCTGATTGATAGTTAATGATAACTAACTACTCTCTGACGAGTCCGAATCCGAATTCGGGGGATAAGCCTCACCTCCGACCCGACCGGCCCCCCCGAGCGAAACTACAGTGAATACAGACCAGATCGGAGGACCTGTATCAATCCTCACCCAGTCTTTATCTGACTGACATCAGACCAGATGGAAGTCCCCCACGATGGCCTGCGGAGAAGAGAGGATTGTCGCATGGATTAGGTGAACGCGTTCGATCGTCTCTCTGAACCCGACATGTTCTCCACCATCACCACCACCACCACCACCATGCGGGCTTGGACATACACGCAATCCGGCCTCCCATCGCAAACCCTCGTCCTCGACGATGAGGCCCCCGCGCCCTCACCGGCCGACCTCGGGCCCGACGAGCTCCTCATCGCCGTCAACTACGTGGCCCTGAACTCGGGCTTCACGACCCTGATGCGCTCTCTCCCCGCGCAGCCCTACTCCCTGCCGCACATCTACAACCGCCAGAAGCGCCTGGGCGTCCCCGAGTTCGAATTCTCCGGGCGCATCTTGGCCGTCGGCTCCGCCATCCCCTCCACGAGACCTGACCTCCTCCCCTCCACGCTCGTCCTGGGCTGCTGTGCTGCTAAACGCGTCTTCGTGCAGGGTCAAGGCGCGCTGGCGGATCGGCTCATTGCCCCGGCCGCTCAAGTGATCCCCTTGCCGCCTCCTTATACTATCCCCACCAGCCCCACCACCCAAGATGACGAAACCCTAACACCAGTACCAGCACCACCAGCACGAGCATCGATATCCCTCCTCGAAGCCTCCGGCCTCAGCGCGTGCGGCTGCACCGCCATCCAAGTCCTCGACCTCACCAAGCTAGTCGCAGGCGACACGCTCTTCGTCAACGGCGGCAGCACCAGCGTAGGCATGCTGATCATCCAAGTGGCGCGACACGTCCTAGGAGAGACCGGCACGATCGTCGCATCCGGCACCGACGCCTCCCTGATCCGGTCAGTCGGCGCTGACCAAGTCATCGACTACACGGCCCAGCACCCGCTGCACGAGTACCTGCGCGCGCACCACGCGGACCGCCCCTTCGACGCCATCATCGACTGCGTCGGCGTCACCGACCTGTATACCCACTGCGAACCGTACCTTGCGCCCGGCAAACTGTTTGTCAATCTGGGCGCCATGACCGCCAAACCTACCCTTTGGGGCTTGGTGGGGTTTGTCTGGAATCAGCATCTGCTGCCGTTGTGGCCGGTTCGGTTGGGGGGGGTGGATAGGTCTTATCGGTTTTATAGTGCGAGGCCGGATCGCGCGACCTTGGGGAGGGTTCTGCGGTTGGTGCAGGGCGGGGAGGTGAGGTTGGTGGTTGATTCCGTGTGGGAGATGGGGGATGTTAGGATGGTATGTTTTTTTTCTTCTTTTCTTTTCTTTTCTTTTTTTTTTTTTTGTTGGTTTTGTACTTGCTGGTGGGTGTTTGAGTTGTGGTTGTGGTTGGGGTTGTGGTTGTGGTTGGGGTTGTGGTTGTGGTTGTGGTTGTGGTTGTGGTTAACTGGGTTCTGGCTTAGGCTTACGAGCGCATGGAGAGTAAGAGGGCAAAGGGGAAGGTTATCATTCGGGTGCAGGAGGAGTGAGTGAGTGAGTGAGTGAGTGATTTGGTTTTGATTGCGCTGCTGTGGTCGCGGTGGTTGGTGTCTGTGGTAGGGTGGCGAGTGTGGTTGGGATAACTATCTGTGCAATGTTATATTATTGGGAGTTGGTTGTATGCGGCGAGTGAATCGAGATGATCCGATGGGGTTAAAGACTACCTGTCTCTTGTAAGCATAAAGAAGTAATAATAGTCAGGCAGATCGTCGATGGAAATGTATATAACTGAATGCCCACACTGTCAGACTACAGGGGGCAATAACTGGGATTGAATTGGTTTGAAGTGATCATACAGAAGTTGATTTATATATTTATATATATATCTTGAATCCCCAGTATAGCTTGCTTGATCCAACGATCCATCCACTTATTTCTAATAAACAGCTCGATATTAGCAGAGAATATAAAGCCCGAGAATAAGATACTCTGACTCCCCGCTCTAGATTAGAGGGCATACTCGTTCGCAAGGTGGGGATGACAAAACATCGAGCGCTTGTATCTTGACTATACTATCCACATCGCATCTCCCAATCACTCTCGGCGTGGATTATCCGAGTACGCAACAGTGAATATAACACTATCTAGTTATCCATGCAAAAGAACCGGACCCGAGGAACGGGCAATTTCCAGAATCCCTCGAACCGCAACTCGCGTTCCCAGTCCAGCTGCTCCGCATTGACCAACTCCCAGTCAAACTTCCACGCCAACTTGGCCAGGCTGATTCGCATCTCCATGTACGCCAGATTGACGCCCAGGCAGCCTCGCGGGCCCAGCGAGAACGGCTTCGACGCGGCAAGGTGGTCGTGCTGGAACCGGGCGTTCCAGAGCCCATGCGTGCCCGGAAGCCAGCGCTCCGGGTGAAAGCCCCTTGCGTCGTGGAAATAATCCTCGCGGTGGGCGGTGGTCCATGAGGAGGTGGAGACTACCGTCTGTCATTTTTTAATTTTGATTTTTCTTTTCGTTAGTACATGTATACGTTGACTCGAACAGATGGATAGATAGATAGACGCTGCTCGACTCACCCCCTTGGGAATCAACTGTCCCTCCACCATGGCCCCCGGCGATATCCGGGGCAGACCGAAAGAGGTCGGCGGACAGATTCTCAGCCCCTCTTCGATCACCGCGTTCAGGTACGGCATCCCCTGGAGTTTCTCGCTGGTCATGTCGGAAGACTCGTCGAACGTCTCCCGGAGTTCCTGCTGCAGATGCCAGAGCTTGTCCTGGTGGGCCGCGAGGTAGTAGATCAGGGTGGTCAGGGCCGTGGCGGTGGTGTCAGACCCGGCGATGACGAGCACGTTCGCCTGCGCGAGGAGCCATTCCTCCGATTGCGATCGGGACTTGTCCGCCAGCAGCCGCGCGAAGAAGTCCTCGCGGCTGATGTTGTCCTGTCGCGCGACGCGGGCGCGGACGAGGTCGCGCGAGTATTTGAGGAAGAGGTCGAATTTCTTCTTGATGCCGGTCGGTAAGGAGAACAGGATGAACGGCCACAGGAGGGGAAGACGCCGGCCAATCTCGAACAGCGTGACGAGGATTCCGGCGTCGTGGATGGTGTCGATCCAGAAGTGGGATTTGGCTATAGGGTTTATGAATTAGCAAAGCATGCAAGCGAGCAATCAGTCTACCGTCAACGCAAAAAAGGCCAGAACTTGCCAGATTCCACAGCGCCAAACGACTCGGCGAATGCAAGTTCGCCGATGATATCGAAACTCAGGAAGTTGAACCACTGTCGTTCGTTGGGTCAGAGAGCTATCTTATAATAATCGTTCAATGGTCTATTGCAGGGGGGCTATCGTTACTTCTCGCATGTTAAGTCCCTCTTGGGTCCCCAGCTTCTTCACCTGGGCAAGGAACAGATCACTGTACTGGTGAATGATGGACTCCTGGGCCTTCAAAGCCCGGGCACTGAACCCATGGGCCAGCAACTTTCGAGTGTCTCGATGCTTTTCCGGGTTGCGCTCCGCGACAATTCCCGGCTCCGGCTGGTAATGCTCATAGAAAGTGCCTTTGATGAATGGCTTGTGGTCCTTGGTGGTGTGTCCGTATATGTCTAGGATTGTCAGCCACATATTTGTGATGAGGAAGCGCGCAAAACGGACCATTAAAGCTCTGGGCAGTGTTGAAGCTGAGTTCGTTGGGCGCGATGCGAACAACCTCGCCTGTTATTCTCCGTCAGTGCTGAATATGCTGGATATGCTGAAAGCGAAGGATAATATATCACTCACCGTACTGTCTATGCGCTTCTTCAATTGCAAATGGATATCTTCCGCCCATCCTGGTGCCGTCAGCATTGCGATCCCTGCATTTTCTAGGGTTTCCGACGGAGTACTGACCAGTGACGGGCATACCACAAATGGGTAATGGCTGCCAGCTTCGGGCCTGGATAGCTCGACAACGGATGAAACCATACCCTGTAAATCGAGCGAACGATGGCATATCCGAGGTAAAGCTAGGCAAGAGTGAGTTTTTTCGATCTTCTTGGCCCGGCGGGTATCCTTACCACAGCAAGGTGCCAGGTGATTCTGGTCCAGGACGCTTTTGGCAGCGCTACCAGGTAAGCGACCGTGGTTTCGAGGATTTTAGCCATGATGGGTCTGGGTATTCTCGTTACTCCGTTGTCACCAGGAAACAGTCAATGATGAGTAGTTTTTTTCTTCCTTTCTGGTGGTCAGATCGGACCCAACGTTCGGGGTCGGGCTCCCTTCGGACGGCCATTCGGAGAGGCCCTCCCCCCTCCCCACTCCCTCCGCATCTCGCCCCGGCCCTAAATAGAGTCCTTCTCGCAAGACACGATGTCAGGTTTGATCACCAGTCCTCTCACCACGACCACCCACGACAGACAAGCATCACCGCCAACATGGTGAGTCCCGCTGTCTTGGCCACCGCGGCCGTGACCGTGGTTTTCCTGCTCGCTCAACGCTACTTCTCGTTGCCCGTCCTGCCCAACGAGCCCTTGCTCATCCCACACTGGATGCCCTTCTTCGGCCATGCCTTCCGTTTCGCTCGCAGCAAGCGATCCTTTTTCCGCTGGGCTAAGTGCGCATTCCCCGGGTGAATCCCACAAGTCCACTTGAACAATATGCTAATGGAAGTCAGCGCGAAAACGGGCGGACAACCCTTCAGCGTCCCCATGGGAGGCCGTCGCCACTACATCTTCAGCGACCCCGCCGACATTGCCGGTATCCACAAGAATGGCAAGACCCTGAGTATTCGCGGGTTCGTTCGGTTCATTTACATCTCCATCTGGGGCTTCAGGCCGGCCGATGCCGACGCCATGTGGGAGATCAAGCCCGAGTGGCACCGCATGGATCTCGAGTGGCTGCTGTCGGACAAAAACGACCAGATCGCGGTGCACTACTTGCATCGCATTGAGGAGCAGCTCCGTGTCCTGGATGCAGAGGTCGAGGGGGCTCCGGACAAAGCCATTGTGCGGCCGGGTCTCAAGACGGTGGTTGATGTGCAGGGTAAGGCGACGTGCCAGGTCTTGTATGGCGCGACCACTCTCGAGAAGCACCCCGAGCTGCTGGACGATCTCACCACCATGGTCCGCGATGGCTTCTGGGGCTTGCTGTTCCGCGCGCCTCGGTTCCTCTTCCGGAATGCCTACGAAGCCCGCGATCGCATTATCAACACCTACGCTGATCTGGTCGAGAATATCGAGACCCGCAAGGATGTTTCCCAATACCTGTACGAGCGGACGGTGTACCTCACGCAACAGGGAATCAACCCTCAAGCTCAAGGTGCGGATATGTTGCGCACGATGTTTGCGTAAGTGCTTCTTCCTCCCTCCCTCCCTCCCTCTGATTTCCCAAATCGCTGAAATTCACCGTCCCAGTTCCCTCCTCAACTCCATGCCCACGGGATACCTGGCCCTGCTCCACATTCTCGCCGAACCCGGTCTTGCCGACGAGGTGCGCGAGGAGCTCCTTGCCTGCGGCTATCTCGAGCGGTCGCCCGAGGAGATGCTCGAGATCCTGCCCGCAAAGATGCCTCTCCTCCGGTCCATCTGGCACGAGACGCTGCGCATGCACAACAACTCCCTGACGGTGCGCGAGGTCACGGCCGACACCAAGTTCACGGGCAAGAACACGTGGCAGGTCCAGAAGGGCGGCGTCATCAATATCCCCTGCGGTCTGATGCACTTCAACGAGGCGCTGCACCCGGACCCGGACTCGTTCCATGCGCGTCGCTTCATGGACAAGGACCTCGGTGGTGAGGGCGAGAGTCACGCTCGCACCACCAAGCCCTTTGGCGGTGGCTCAACCCACTGCCCCGGCCGCGTCTTTGCGGAGAAGCAGATGATCGGCCTGGTCGCGGCTTTGCTGATGCGCTACGATATGCAAATTGTCAATGCCGATTGGAAGATGCCCCTGGTCTCGGAGTTTGATGATATCACGAAGCAGCCCACTGTGTGGGTCAGGATCTCGAGGAGGGTTTGATCCTGTCGGTGCATGCTTTTGCTTTTGTGTTGTATGCGGGAATTCGTCGGTCGTGCATAGCTAGTTACTAGTAGCGAAGAAGCTTTATGAATGGATTCTAACGCCATTATGGCAACTTTTATTTTCACTTCTGTTTGGCTGTTGATGGGGTTTCCAGGTGGTGGTGTAGTGGTAATGAACCCTGGGGAGATTCTTCGAAGACGTATACTTGGCGGAGACGAAGCCAGAAAGTAGTCTCTTCTTCTCCTATTAGAGCAGAACGTTGTTCTTATTTATTGTTTGTCACAGTCGAAACCGTAGTCCTTTCTCCTTTTCTTCCTAAGAGTCTTGAGCTGGACATCGATGTAAGATTATTGAAGTCCACGGATGCACATGGGCAAGTCATCCGGAGGACCGTAATGATCTCTCCTGCTGCAAGATTTAGCAGCATAGGTAGGAGTATAGGCCATAGATAGGGGCGTGGGGCAATGCAATGGCAATCTCATCTCATTGCTCTCAGATCCAGTCCCTCTCCCTCTCATTGAGATCATCTGATCATTTGCCAGACGTGGTTGAATCCCGCATCCACCTGCTTCCAGCCTTGACCCTTGCATGGAGCCCTAGAGCTCCACCAGGCTCAGCAAGGCTTGGAAGGCCCCCAACCCCCTAGTCCTACAATAAGAAGTGGGCCCCTGCCACGGGTTTCGGGCCAGTCAGCCGGTCGGATTCGGAGTCGGTCCCTCGTATCGACTCCAGTGGCCTCGAGTTTCGCCAATGAGATCGAGTTGGCAAGTGTTGATCGCGAGGAGCAGGGTGGTTCGCGTGGTGTTTGGTGCTTGGTGTCTGTGAGGTCGGAGATGTGGTTTTCAAGTAGGTGGAGCTGGAGAAGGAAAGAGAATAGATTGATTAGTGCCGGCTGGCATATGCAACTGCTTAATAACTAATCACTAACTAGTTAGTTATAGTTATGTCCCCTCTTTTTCTCTGGATGCTCACAGCAGATGTTATGAGCGTATGGGGTCAAACTAGTCATATTTTGATGTGCAATCTGGTAATTGGGATTCTATCTCAATGTGAGAGAGTTCTATGCGATAGGGAATATAATAGGGCTGGGAGATGATACTGGTAGCTACTATATGCATGTTGGTGCGCTGTATCTGACTAGAGATATATATCTTGCAAATCAGTGCATTTTCACACCGCGTACACAGCACATTTGTAACAACATCAATTACGCCAAATATAGGCAATTTAATCCCTGTATAGATCTAGTACTCGAGTAAAAACCTACATCTTGTCTTGCATTGCTTGATCTGAGCGTTTAGTAGAGGACGTAGACGCAGGACCGAGGAATATACACTTGGTTGTGGCCTTGCGGGTAAGGCAGCATTTACGGCAGCCCAGACCCACGTGTGTGTCTCTTGTGTCTCCCCTTCAGAAAAACATTCAACATCTCTCTACCTCTACCATCTCCACTCCTCCCTACTCCCTACTCACCATCGCTGCTTCAACTCAGAGACGCGACCCCGATATCTTTCCCTCAATATTACGCTGCTTTGGGAAATCCAACATGGATCTCGCCCTGAGCCACCTGCCTCCTATCAGTATTAGCTGCGGATATGCAATCCGTAGCCTCCGAATGCCACCACCGATAGAAAGATCGGCTCCGAAAGAGGCCCTCCGATCGCTCCCCGGCAAACACCAGGCGAAGGAAGTCAACAAAAGCAGTGCCACAGACCCTCCCCCCCCCCATCATGAATCTCAAGTCAGAATCTATCTATCCAACTTAACATCAGTGGTGGTGCCGTGTCCATTATCTCTCTCATTACCTCACTCGGATACCCATTGCCTCACTCATTCTTAACTATTCCCCGAAGATGGCACCCCACCAGACACCACAGGAACCCATTGCCATCGTCGGCAGTGGATGTCGATTCCCAGGCGAAAGCAGCTCACCATCAAAGCTCTGGGAACTGCTGAAAGCCCCTCGCGATGTGCAGACCGAAATCCCTCCTACCCGATTTAATCCTCATGCTTTCTATCATCCCGACAACCTGCACCATGGCACCAGCAATGTTCGCCATTCCTACCTGCTTACCGAGGATCATCGCCACTTCGATGCTCAGTTCTTTGGTATCAAGCCCGCGGAGGCTCACTGTATCGACCCGCAGCAGCGCCTGCTCATGGAGACCGTCTATGAATCTCTAGAATCAGCCGGTTTGCGATTGGAAGATCTGCGTGGCTCCGAGACAGCTGTCTATGTGGGACTGATGTGCGGCGATTATGCCGATATCGTGGTGCGCGATCCAGAGTCCTTCCCCATGTATCTGTCCACCGGAACCGCCCGGAGTATCATGTCCAACCGTGTTTCCTACTTCTTCGATTGGCATGGTCCCTCGATGACTATCGACACCGCGTGCTCTTCCAGTCTGGTGGCTGTTCACGAGGCGGTGCAGACCCTTCGTGCTGGCCGTTCTCGTGTGGCTGTGGCGGCTGGATCAAATTTGTGTCTGGGTCCCGAGCCCTATATCGCCGAAAGTAAGCTGCAGATGCTGTCGCCCACCGGTCGCAGTCGCATGTGGGATAGCCAAGCAGACGGATACGCTCGTGGTGATGGTGTTGCAGCGGTAGTCCTCAAGACCTTGAGCGCTGCCTTGGCCGATGGCGACCACATCGAATGTTTGGTCCGCGAGACGGGCGTGAACCAAGACGGACGCACCCGAGGTATCACCATGCCTAGCTCTGAGGCCCAAACTCGCCTGATTCAAGACACCTACGCCCGCGCGGGCCTCGACCCCCTGAAGCCGGAGGAGCGTTGCCAATATTTCGAAGCCCATGGTAAGCCAGTCCCTACCCCCATGCCTAAAACGCCCTTTGCTGACAGAAGAAGGAACCGGTACCCCGACTGGAGATCCTCTGGAGGCTGCTGCCATCCGAGAGGCTTTCTTTCCTGGCGATAACAACCAGGATCGTGGAAGTCTCTTCGTTGGCTCCATTAAAACCGTAGTCGGTCATACAGAAGGAACGGCTGGGTTGGCGGGTGTCCTCAAGGCTTCGCTGGCTCTGCGCAACGGCACAATCCCTCCCAATCTGCTGTTCAACCAACTCAACCCAAAAATCCAACCATTCTACACGAATTTGGAGATCGCTACTGCCGCCAAACCGTGGCCTGTGCTCCCCGCCGGCGTTCCTCGTCGTGCCAGTATCAACAGCTTTGGCTTTGGAGGTACTAACGCCCATGCGATCATCGAGGCCTATGAGCCTGCAATCACTGCTCCCTCTAAATCGAACGAGACCGACATTGCATTCACACCATTTGTCTTCTCCGCAGCGTCTGAGAATGCTCTCCGACGCATGTTGGAGTCCTACGCCCAGTACCTGAGCAAGACCCCCACCATCAAGGCCCGCGATTTGGGCTGGACCTTACAAGCTCGCCGTTCACGATTCCCCTTCTCGACCGTCATCTCAGGCGCAACGACCGATCGACTCCGGTCCAACCTTCAGACGCGATTGAATGGCACTGATGCCAAGCAACAACTGACGATCGTGCAGCAAGGGTCGCGACCAGAGAATCCTTGTATTCTGGGCGTCTTCACGGGCCAAGGAGCACAATGGGCAACCATGGGTCGGGCCTTGTACCAGTCGCCTCAGGTGCGCCAGATCATCCAGGAGTTGGACGCCTCTCTGCAGGCGCTCCCTGTTGGCGACCGGCCTGGCTGGACTTTGGCCTCCGAGCTCACAGCCGACGCATCCGTATCTCGCATCAAGACGGCGGAAATCTCGCAACCCATGTGCACGGCGGTACAAGTGGTCTTGGTTCAGCTGCTGCAAAGCGCCGGTGTTGTCTTTGATGCTGTTGTTGGACACTCGTCGGGCGAAATCGCTGCTGCGTATACTGCGGGATTCCTGTCTGCCACGGACGCGATTCGCATTGCTTACTACCGTGGATTGTGCGCACAGCTGGCTCAGGGTCCTCGGGGCCAGAAGGGTGCAATGATGGCCGTGGGTACAGGAATGGAGGATGCACAGGAGCTCTGCGCTGAGCCAGAGTTCCGCGGTCGCATGTCTGTCGCGGCTGTCAACTCGTCGGCCAGTGTCACTCTTTCTGGTGATGCTGACGCCATCGAGCAAGCCAAGGAGATTCTCGATGAAGAGAAGAAGTTCGCTCGTGTGTTGGTGGTCGACAAGGCCTACCATTCTCACCACATGCAGGCTTGCTCGGAACGTTACCTCTCCTGTCTGGACAAGGCACGCGTCGTTGTCTCAGCGCCGACTGACACCAAATGCGTCTGGTATTCTAGCGTCCGCGAGGGTCCAGTCACAGAGGCTGACTTGGCGGATCTCACGGGTCCCTACTGGAATGACAACATGGTCAACCCTGTCCTGTTTGCACAGGCCGTCGAGTCAGCCCTCACTGCCCGAGGCCCATTCAACATGGCCGTGGAAGTTGGTCCCCATCCAGCTCTCCGGGGTCCGGCACAGCAGACAATTCAGGACCTCCTTGACACTTCCTTGCCGTACACCCCCACTTTGCAACGTGGTATGAATGATGTGGAGGCAATGGCAGAGTGTCTGGGCTTGCTGTGGCAGGGACTTGCCCCCGGATCCGTGGATCTCTCGAGTTACGACGCATTTCTGTCACAGGGGGCTGTCTCTCGTGTCATCAAAGATCTTCCTGGATATGGCTGGGATCATGACCGTGTGTTTTGGTACGAATCACGCGTGTCTCGCGCGACTCGTCAACGGACCGCAGCCAGCCATCCAATTCTCGGAACCCGCTGTCCCGATGGCGTTGAACAGGAATTCCGCTGGCGCAACTTCCTCAGCCTGAAGGAACTACCCTGGCTGACGGGCCATCGCATTCAAGGCCAGATCATCTTCCCCGGTGCTGGGTATATCTCAGCAGCCGTGGATGCTGCTCGCGCCATGTCCCGCAATGAGTCAATTCAGTTGGTGGAGCTGCAGGAGCTACTGATTCGCCAGGCTATTGTCTTCGAGGATGAAAATGCCTCGGTGGAAACCCTAGTCTCCATCACCGACGTGACGCACCACTCCAAGGACATGGTCCGTGCCCAGTTTTCTTTCTACTCCGCCGTGGGTAAGGAGTCGACGCAGATGACCTTGAACGCATCGGGTCGCCTTGTCATCACTTATGGTCCGGCCAGGAAGGATGCACTTCCAATGCAGCGTCCTTCTCTCGTGGATATGGTCGATGTGCCTAGTGAGCGATTCTACAACTCATTGGATCCCTTGGGGTACAGCTATACCGGGCGTTTCCGAGCTTTGAAGTCGATGCAGCGTAAGCTGGGTATTGCTACTGGTCTAGTGACGCGACAGGAGGCGGCCGACTTGGCGACTGTTACGCTGGATCCCGCGATGCTGGATGCTGCCATCCAGGCTGTGTTACTCGCAAAGAGCTTCCCCGGTGATGGTGAACTTTGGTGCTCGCAAGTGCCTAAGGTGATTCATCGCATTGCGGTCAACCTTACCCTATGCGCTCCGTCTGGCAACGGGGAAGAGTCTACCTTTCCTTTAGACGCAGTCCTCACCATGATGAAGGCGTCCGACACTCAAGGTGATGTTGATGTTTACTCTGCTGACGGACAGTACACTATGACCCGTATGGAGGGTATCCATGCGGTTCCCTTGGAAGCCGCCAATGCAGACCGGGATCGACCCTTCTTTAGCGGTGTTGTCTGGGGACCAGCCGCCCCGGATTCGCAGACAGTCAACTTCGACGCTACTGCTACGCCCGAGGAGTATGAATTGGCCTATGTTCTCGAGCGGGTGTCGGCGTTTTACCTGCGGAAAATTCATCTCGCCTTCCCCATGGATCATTCTGCGCGGCATGAAGGGTCTTATGTGGGGCTGCTCAACTATGCAACTCATGTAACCCAGCAGGTGGCCAGTGGTCATCATCGGTACACCCAACCCCACTGGGCCCGGGATACAGCGGCCCTTATCAAGTCTGAAAGCCAGCGGTTCGTATTTCACATATCTAGGTTTCGAGCCATCAAGTCGAACTTGCTAATGGATGCGCAACAGGTTTCCCAACAACGTTGACTTAGCAGTCATGCACATCATTGGCGAACATATGGTCGAAGTGATCAGCACTCGAGCCACCATCCTCGAATACCTGACCAAGGATAATCTGCTCAGTCGGTACTACGAGCAAGCAATGGGTATTGGCCATTTCAGTGACTACCTTGCCAGTGTGGTTGAGCAAATTGTTCATCGGTACCCACACATGAAGGTTCTGGAGATTGGTAGGTACTTCACCTTTGATCCTACAACAGGCACTAACACTGTTCTATCTGTACAGGTGCTGGTACTGGTATGGCCACCAAGAAGGTGATCCAACGGGTCGGACACAGTTTCGGCAGTTATACCTTTACCGACATTTCGAGTGGCTTCTTCGAGAATGCCCGTGAGATTTTCGCCAGCCATCAGGACCAAATGGTGTACAAGGTCCTGGATGCGGAAAAGGACCCTGTGGCTCAAGGGTTCGGGGAGCAGTCATACGATCTCATTATCGCCTCTTTCGTGCTTCATGCTACCAGCCACCTAGAGACGACTCTGCGCAACCTCCGTCGTCTTCTGAAGCCTGGTGGCTATGTGGTAATGCTTGAGGTCACCAACCTGGAGCAAAGTCGCCTTGGTTACATTTTCGGTTCCCTGCCTGGCTGGTGGTTGGGTGCCAATGATGGCCGTGTTCTGTCTCCCTGCGTTCCTACCGAAGAATGGGATCGGCTGCTCAAGCTGACGGGCTTTTCTGGCGTTGATACTGTCACCTCTGACGCTGATGCCCTTCCCTATCCTGCTTCTGCGATTGTTTCACAAGCTGTCGATGAAACGGTCGACTTCCTTCGCAACCCCCTTGCCACCTCTAGCGATCTTGTGAATCGTGCCACCCCGGTTGTACTTATCGGTGGTACCTCCAGCTCCGTACGCGTGCTTCGAGATCTCGTGAAACAACACCTCGACACCCGGTTCGATCAGGTACATGCTGTTGATCGCTTTTCCGACTTGGTGGCAATATCGCCTGCCCTATCCAACGGCCCTCTTACGCTGAACTTGTCGGACTTGGACGAACCAGTGTTCCAGAACATAACAGCAGATTCCCTTGCTGCATTGAAGCTGCTATACGAGCGCTCGAACTACGTTCTTTGGGTTACTGAAGACGCGCGTGCTGGCAACCCGCATCAGAATCAGAGTTTGGGCTTTGGTCGTTCAATGATGGTTGAGATGCCCCATGTGCAATCTCAGTTTTTGGATCTCGACCGAATCACGGAGACATCTAGTGTTGCCTCCAGGATTGTGGATGCCGCTCTGCGCTTCGTTGGTGTGAATATGCCGGATCGTGGTGGAGAAGTTGCAAGTGCCGGTCTCCTGTGGTCTACAGAGCCCGAAATTGCAGTTGTCCGTGGACAGGAACTATTGCCCCGAATCAAACTTAACCGGTCTCAAAATCTGCGATACAATGCGTCCCGTCGTGCAATTGCTGAAGATGTTGACATGGACCAGAAGTCTGTCCAGCTCGTGCGTAACGGGAACACATACGCGTTGGAGCAGGGGTCTACGTCTGGATTCGGGAAACAGACACCAGGATACACCAGGATCCGTGTCGAGGTATCCTCTCTCAGGACGCTGCGCCTTCGGAGGGGAAATGACTTGTATCTTGTCGCTGGTACCGTGCTGGCGACAGGAGAGAAGGTTATTGGCTTCGCCGATAAGAATAGCTCAATTGTGGACATTCCTCCCAGTTGGATGATGCATCGTCCAGATACATCCCCGACTGCTCTTATCTTGTCCATCCTCTGTCGCCTGGTCAGTCGCGCTATTCTCTCCTCCATTGCTCCAGGCGGAGTCTTGGTGGTGGCAGAGCCGGATGATTTGCTTGCACCCGTCTTGGAATGGCAGGCGTCCCAGCAAAAGATCCGGGTTGTATTTGCCACGACTCGGGAAGATGCACCCCAGCGTCCGAACTGGGTTGTCCTCCATTCTCAGGTCCATGTTCGTTCCTTGCCCAAGCTTGCGCCCACCGAACCAGTTACCATCCTGGACCTCTCAACAGGCGAGGAACCCAGTGCGCTGGCTCTCAAGTTGCGCGCCTCGTTACATCCAGCCTCGGCCTTTGAACGACTGACTTCCTGGTTCAGTGATCATGCCCAGCACGGCGAGGTTCACATTCCAGCCGAAGCAATGTTGACCATGTCTAGACCTCCTATGAGCCCCCCGGCTTCCGACAGGGTCATCGCAAGCCACTCTTTCCCTGTCACGGATGTTTCTCAGATCTCCGCAGCGCGATTTCCGTTGACCGCAGTGGACTGGCAGTCGACCTCGCACATTCCTGCCTTGATTCGACCTGTTGATCACTACCCTATGCTGAAGGCTAACAGGACATACTGGCTAGTCGGACTCACGGGATCTTTAGGATTGTCTCTCTGTGCATGGATGATCCAGCAAGGAGCGCGGAATGTGGTTTTGACTAGTCGAAACCCGAAGATTGACCCGATTATTCTTCAAGAACTGAGATCATCTGGTGCACGCGTGGAGATCTACGCCGGGTAAGCTGTCCCAATTCCCAAGTCCTAAAAGTGGAAGCTGACACTGCCGCAGTGACGTGACAAACCGGGAGAGTCTACGTGGTGTATACGATCGCATCTGCCAGACTCTCCCTCCTGTAGCGGGTGTAGCCCAAGGCGCTATGGTCCTCATAGACACGATGATCAAGGACATGGAGATTGACGCCATGCAGAGAGTTCTGCAGCCTAAGGTTGTGGGCAGTATCAACCTGGATGAACTCTTCTCGGCTGAGCGCCCTCTCGACTTCTTCATCTTTTTCTCCTCCGCGACCTGTGTCACTGGAAATATCGGGCAATCGAACTACGCTGCAGCGAACATGTTCATGACCGGTTTGGCGGCCAACCGTAAACGCCGTGGCCTGGCGGGATCGGTCATGAACATCGGTGCCATTATGGGTGTCGGATACGTCACCCGTGAGACCAGCGAAGCCCTCCAGCGCAATCTGCTGAAGAGTGGCCACGTTTGGATGTCCGAACAAGACTTCCATACCATCTTTGCCGAGGCCATCTTGGCAGGTACACCTGGCTCCGACGTAAATGTCGAGATCACCTGTGGTTTGAGAATCACCAACGCTTCCGAGGAACAGCGGCCTCTCTGGTCTTTTAACCCGCGCTTCCAGCATCTAGTCGTCATGGAAGACCGGGTGGAAGAGACAGATGGACAGGACAAGAAGGGAATGTCTCTCAAATTACAGCTGCGCGAGGCTCGTACGGCAGACGAGATCTACGAGGCCGTGAAAGGTAAGCAACGTTTCAGTGGTCTCAAATCGTATATGCTAACTAAGGATGCCACCAGAATGTTTCATTGCCAAATTGCAGATCATGCTCGGACTGGACGATGCAGCGACCAACTCGATCACATCCAAGGCAGCTGATGAGTTGGGAATTGACTCGTTGAACACCGTCGACATTCGTTCCTGGTTTCTCAAGGAGATGAAGGTCGACATCCCCGTCCTGCGCATTCTGGGTGGTGCTACCATTGGAGAGCTCATTAAGTTTGCCTTGGAGAAGCTGCCATCCGAAATGACTCCCAGTCTGGGTTTGGCTCCTACTGCTGGCGCTGCTTCAAAGGCTGCATCTCAACCCAAACCCAAGCCCAAGCAGAAGTTGCTTGTCGAGCGACGAAACGTTCCTAGTCTTGAGAAAAAGATTGTCCGCCCTGCTGGGTTTCGCACGAGCTCCAGTGCGACCAGCACCTCAAAGTCGGTTTCGCCCGCACGCTCGGCGGATGCATCCTCCTCACAGACTAGCGAGGCGACCAGCCCTTCAGTTCACATGGAGGAAGTGCCGAAGCCTCTCAAATCTCTTGCTCCTCTTCCCAAGGCTGATGTCGTCAGCACGACTGCTCTCTCGGTCCGCAAGGAACCACTCTCTTTCGGACAGTCCCGCTTCTGGTTTTTGAAGCTCTACCTGGAAGACCAGACTACCTTCAACATCACCTGTCTCATGCGGATGACGGGACCTTTATCTGTCGATTCTCTGTCTCGCGCTGTCACTGCCGTCGGACAGCGTCATGAAGCCCTCAGAACATGTTTTACCGTCGAAGACGGACAGTCTCCTGTGCAGACAATTCTTCCCGAGTCAACGCTCAGGTTGGAGCGCCAGGAGTACCGGATCATGGCCGATGTCAATGCAGCGACGAAGAAGTTGACCCAGCATGTGTACGACCTCGAATCTGGCAAGCTCATGCGAGTCATTTTGCTCTCCTCCGCGTCTGACAGCTCCGTCCACTATGTTCTCATTGGTTACCATCACATCAACATGGACGGAGTCAGCCTGGAAGTCTTCCTTGCCGACCTCGAAAAAGCCTATCGGGGTCAAGCCCTCAGCTCTGACCTTCTGCAGTACCCTGACTATGCCGCCAAACAACGCCAGGAACGCAACCAAGGGGCGTGGCAAGAGGACCTGACCTTCTGGAAAAATGAGATAACTGACAGCAATCTGGAGTTTCCCCTTCTGCCTCTGGCCTCTGTTGCCATTCGCAAACCTCTTACTCGGTACAGTCATCACCGCGTCGAGCAGCGCTTGGATGCTGGGCTTGGTGCTCAGGTCCGCCAGCTGTGTCAGTCTATCAAGACGACTCCTTCGCACTTCTACCTCGCTACGTTTACCGCTCTGCTCGCCCGCCTCGCTCAGACCCGTGAGGTCTGGGTGGGCATGGCGGACGCGAACCGCATCCAGGCCGAAACTGCTGACAGTATCGGCAACTATCTGAACCTTCTGGCTCTTCGCATGCAATACGATCCCGAGCAACCGTTCGCAGCCAGTGTGCAGGCGGCACGCAAGACGTTCTACGGAGCACTTGCGCATTCGCGCGTTCCCTTTGATGTTGTGCTCTCTGAGCTGCAGGTGCCTCGGTCGTCCACCCACAGTCCGCTATTCCAGGTCTTCATGGACTACCGTCAGGATGTCCGAGAGAAACGCATGTTTGGGGACTGCCAGTTTGAGGGTGTCGAATATGAGATGGGTCGGACCGCATATGACATTGCTCTCGATGTGGTGGATACCGCAGACGATGGGCCTCTGATCATCATGGGCCTGCAAGAGTCGCTCTACAGTCCTGATGCCGCCCAGACGCTGCTCAATAGCTTCTTGGCTATGGTCCGTGCATTTGCCCAAGACTCCAAGCAACCTGGAGGTCATGTCTCCTTGTTCGGCGCGTCGGATATTGAAAAGGCCCTGGCTTTAGGCAATGGTAAGTATCCCATTCATTATATGGAATAAGCGCACAGTTCATTAATTTCCTTGTCTCAGGTTCTCTTGTCCCGTCTCAGTGGCCGGCGACGCTTTCCCACCGCATTGATGAGATGGCGAAGCAATATCCTGAGAAGCTGGCATTGAATGACGGCGATAAGCTGCGACTTACGTTCCAGGAGATGAGCCAGCGAGCTGACTCGATCGCGTCTGCTTTGCTGAGTGCCAATGTCAGCCGCCAGCAGCGCGTGGCCGTCTTCCAACACCCATCCAGTGACTGGATTTGTTCAATGCTGGCTATTCTCCGGGTTGGTGCAACATATGTTCCTCTTGACCTGCGCCTGGAGCTGGCTCGGCTGCGTTCGATTGTCCAGGACTGCGAGCCGACTGTTCTCCTAGTCGATAGCCACACCCAATCCCAGGTATCGGATTTCATGCGTACTCGTCCCGCACTGACCATCAATATTGGAGACCTGCCACGCGTGGCTCCCTTCCCAGTCATGAACCGTGCTGCGGCCGAAGACGAGGCGGTCATTCTATACACCAGTGGCTCCACAGGAAATCCTAAGGGCATTCCGCTGACCCATGAGAACCTTCGGGTCAATATTGAAGGCAACCAGGCCGAGTTCCAATTTGGCCCGAATGACTCTCTTTTGCAGCAGATTGCCTTCAGCTTTGACTTTTCCGTCTGGCAGATCTTTATGGCACTAGCCAACGGTGCCTCTCTTTTCATCGCTCCTGCCACCCACCGCGGAGACCCCGTCGCTCTCATGGATCTTGTCGTTCGCGAGGGCATCACCATCACTGGCGCGACCCCTTCTGAGTATCGCAGCTGGTTCCAACATGGCGATCTGGCCCGCCTCAAGACATCGCAGTGGACAACCGCCGTGAGTGCCGGAGAGGCCATGACCACCAACATGATTCGTGATTTCCAAGAACTTAACAAATCTGATTTGAGACTTGTGAACGGATACGGACCCACCGAAGCCAGCATGTCGTCGAACAAGCTTGTTGTGCCTTATCTTACCAACAAGGATCATCCTGAGGAGTGGATGGAGAAGGGAGCTGTAGTAGCAGGCTACACGGCTCCTAATTACTCCATCTACATTGTCGATGAAGCCATGAACCTTCTTTCAGTTGGCCTCCCAGGTCAGATCCTGATCGGTGGCCCGGGTATTGCATCGGGTTACCTCAACAACAAAGAGCTCTCCCGCACCAGATTCATCGATGATAAGTATGCTAGTCCTGAGCAGCGAGCCTCCGGATGGCGATGGGCGCACCTGACAGGTGACCGAGGACGTCTTGGTGCTGATGGACGCCTGCGTGTCGAAGGCCGCATTGAGGGTGATACTCAGGTCAAGCTGCGCGGTTACCGCATTGACCTGCAGGACGTTGAAGCCGCCATCTCGAACGCGTCACCCGGTGTTTTCAAGGACCTGGTCGTCTCGCTCCATCAAGCGACTCAAGCTCTCGTCGCACATGTTGTGTTCAGCCAAGATTACCCGGACCACAAACGCTCTCAGGCGCTCGAGATCAAGTCTCTCGAGCTCCCGCGGTACATGTGGCCTGCTCGAGTGGTTTCAATCGATCAGATGCCCGTCACCGTTCATGGAAAGCTCGACCGCAAGGTCCTACAGACCATGGACCTCCCCCCCATCGAGCCAATCAAGCAGACTTCGACTGCCCATCTCACCGAGACACAGGCTCAATTAGTCAAGCTGTGGGAGGAGGTCATCTCGAAGGACATTCTGGCCGCTCATCACATTGTTGCTGAGTCTGACTTCTTCGCTGTTGGCGGTACCTCGATGCTTCTGGTGGAACTACAGCGACACATCAAGAGCCAGTTCAAGAAGGAGATAGCACTTCCAGAGTTGTTCTCGGCGAACACGGTGCAGAAGATGGCTCTTCTTATCCAGCCGCCAGAAGAGGCTGCCACCACTCCCGCTGCTGCCGTGGACGTCGCTCCGCCCTCCTCTCCAACTCCTTCAACCCCGACTACGATTGACTGGAACGAGGAAATTCAACTCCCCTGTACCCTTCGCGAGCAGATCAGCAGCGGCACGCCAGTGCCCGTGCCCGTGAAGAGCTCTGGTCTACGCATCGTTCTAACCGGTGCCACGGGCTTCATCGGCCGGGCTCTCCTGCAACAGCTGACTGCCAACCCCGCCATCAGCACCATCCACTGCATCGCCGTGCGCAACCCATCCGCCATTCCTGCCCACGACAAGATCCTCGTTCACGCCGGCGACTTGACTCACGCCTCCCTGGGTCTCGCCCCGGGCGAAGCGCAAGCCATCTTCCGGGAAGCCGACGCCGTCATCCACAACGGCGCGGACGTCAGCTTCATGAAGTCGTACCACTCCCTCCGGCGCACCAACGTCGAATCCACCATCGCTCTGATCCAGAACTCCCTCTCCCGCCACATCCCCTTCCACTACATCTCGTCCAGCGGGATCGCCAACCTCGCCGGCACCACCACCTTCGCCGAGGTGTCGACCGCCAGCTTCACCCCACCACCCGACGCAACCCAGGGCTATCTCGCCACCAAATGGGCGTCCGAGCGGCTGCTGGAGGAGGCGCACCGCCGGTTCGCTCTACCCGTCTACATCCACCGGCCCTCCAGCGTGACGGGGAGTAACGCTCCGCCCCTGGATCTGATGGACAATCTCATGGCCTACGCGCGTCGTCTCAACGCCGTGCCCATGCCCGAGCGCTCGTCCTGGAAGGGATACCTGGATTTCGTCCCCGTGGAGCAAGTGGTGCGTGACGTCGCGGGAGACGTCCTCTCCGCTGCCGGAACGATCCCCTCGGCGCGGGCCACCAAGGTGCACTACATCCATCACCTTGGCCGTCAGGTCTCTTTGGCTGGCGTGCAGACGTATCTCGAACGGGAGACCGGTGCCGTGTACCGTGCGCTGAAGATGGGCGAGTGGTTGGACGAAGCTACACAGGTGGGAATGGACCCGTTGCTACGCACATATCTGGAGAGTATGGATAAGGAGGATGTCAAGGTCGTGTTTCCCCGATTGGTGGCTAGGAAGAGGCCCGCACCAGTGACTGCGGGTGTGACGAAGGGAGTGAAACCTGGGGAATCCTGGTTGGAAAAGGGCAAGACGCTGTTGTTTTCTTGGTGATTTGTTGGTTCTCCCATCTTCTTGCTCTTTGTACCTTACCTTGTTTAGTTGGAATAATGTACTTATATAATCATTCGTCTGGTCTTGTCTTGTCTATATCCTATCATGTCATCCATCATTGTTTGTAAAATCAAAGCTCGAATCGAGTCCAGTAAGACCAGCTACACAATGCCTGGTGAATGAATAGCACTCCCTCCCTGCTGTCGTAATAGAATCCGTAGTCTGTTACCTGTATAGCCTATCTCGGATTCAATAGAGTCCCCCCCCCCCCCGACCCCACCATCTACAGACCCTCGAGTCGGTCATCTCGTGCCGCTAGACTGTGATACAACCACCACATTGGTAGCCAAAAGCGCCAGGGCCCGCCGACCTCCGAACCGTCTCCGATTTCCATCGGGGCTTCGTTCAGTCCCGGATACGAGTGCAGCACGCAGTACAGTGCCTGGCCTGGCTGGCTCCTCAATCCCTCAATCCAATCCCTCGCACTGCTCGATGAGATGAGCTCGTTGTTACGCCTGCGTCTATGCTGTGGGAATTCCATCCAAAGCAGAAGATCTGCAAGAGAGAGGGGAAGGGGGGGAAGGGGGGGGGAGTCATGAACTACACTATCACGCCAGTAGATCGCGCCTCCGATATAGAACTAGTAAGTAGTCCGCGCCGAAACCGCGCATCGCGTGGACTGTCTGTCAGATCACGCACCACTCGATCCCGATCCCCATCCACTTGAGCAAGGCAGGTATGCTAGGATGCACATGGCGAGGCTGGGTCTGGGTCTTTCTCTCAAGTCTCTATCATCGGTATCGGTAGGACCATTAGGGCTGAGGCTGAGATGAGGGCCCTCTCCCCACTTCCTCCCCCCTCCCCCCCGCCCCCCCCCCCTCTCCGACCCCGACCCGAAAGCATTCGGCGGGCTGTCCGAATGAAAATCGGACATCGCCGGACTGGATCCTGTCTGTGCATCGTCAGATATCATACTTCTCATCGGTTAAGTTGATTCGTGCACAGGTATATGTATATATGTATATACTGGGATACCATGGAAGTGACCGTCCTTGGTTATAACAGATTCAGCCAGCAGATTTCACTACGAAGCAGGAATCGTCACTCACCTACTATACTTCCTTGACACGCAAAACACAACATTTTTAGATATAACGACCCGACTGACCTTCCCTTCCGCTCCACCTCAGCTCGCTCTATACCCCAAGATTTCTCACTTCGCACCTATTGTCGATTGGAACTACAACACACAACACAACACAACATCTCTACACAATGATCGCCCCAGTGACTCCAAGCGACACGGACGCCTCTGAGCGCGGCGGCGACCTAGGCGTCATGCCCATCGCCATCATCGGCATGGCCTGCCGGTTCCCCGGCGATGCGTCCAGCCCGGAGAAGCTCTGGGACCTCTGCGCCAAGGGAAAGAGCGCCTGGTCGCCCATTCCGGAGAGTCGGTTCCACGCCGAGAGCTGGTATCATCCGGATAAGGGACATCTTGGGACGGTATGTTCGACTGATTCTGCTTCCGAAGAGGTCTGTCTGTCTGACTTGAGAATGTTCGATATGGTAGTCATACGTGAAAGGCGCACATTTCCTCACGGAGGATATCTCTCGATTCGATGCCGCTTTCTTCAACTTCACGGCCGAATCGGCCAGCGTAGGCTTTTCCCGATTGTCTTCAGCTGGAAGAAGAAGGCTCAGACTGACGTGATTCGCAGACAATGGACCCCGAAGTGCGCATGCAACTAGAGACCGTCTACGAAGCCCTGGAGAGCGCTGGGCTGCCGCTGGATCAAGTGGCGGGGTCGCGCACGGGGGTGTACGCGGGCACCTGCTTCCGAGACAACCACGACAGTTTGATGCGCGACCCGGACACGCTGGCGCGGTTCTTCCTGACAGGCAACGGGGCGGCGATGATCGCCAACCGCATCTCACACTTCTTCGATCTGCGCGGCCCCAGCCTGATGGTCGACACGGGGTGTTCGACGACGCTGACCCTGCTGCACCTGGCGTGTCAGAGCGTGCGGGCGGGCGAGTCGGAGATGGCCATCGTGGGCGGGTCCAACGTCCTGCTCAACCCGGACATGTTCATCGCCGGGTCGAATCTGAGTTTGTTGTCGGAGGCCGGCCGGTGTTATGCGTTTGATTCGCGCGCCGCCGGGTATGGGCGCGGCGACGGCATCGCCAGCATCGTCATCAAGCCCCTGGCGGCGGCACTGCGCGACGGGGACCCAATCCGCGCGGTCATCCGCAACTCGGCGGCAAACCAGGACGGAAAGACGGCCACGCTCACCTCGCCGAGCCAGGCCGCGCAGGAGGAGCTGATGCGCGAGTGCTACCACATGGCGGGCCTCGATCCACGCGACACGAGCTACGTCGAGGCCCATGGCACGGGGACGCAGGCGGGCGACACGATCGAAGCCCACGCCATCGGCCACGTCTTCGGTGCGGGGCGGAGTAGCGACCGCCCGCTGGTGATCGGCTCTGTGAAGACGAATATCGGCCACACGGAGGCGGCCAGCGGACTGGCCGGCGTGATCAAGGTGGTCATGGCGATGGAGAAGCAGGCGATCCCCCCACATCTGAACTTCGAGTCTCCAAATGAGAAGATCTCGCTGGAGGCGTTGAACCTGAAGATCCCCCTCAATCTGCAGGAATGGCCATCCCCGCTGCTGCAGCGCGCGTCGATCAACAATTTCGGGTACGGCGGTGCGAATGCCCACGTCATCGTGGAAAGCCCGCAGACTGTATTGCTGCCGAACACGCCCTCTGCCTCGGAGATGGGGAATGCCCCTAACCCTAAGAAGCGGTCTCGCGTGTTCGTGCTCAGTGCCAAGGATCCCGCCGCGGCCCGCCGCATGGGGGAGACGCTGTGCGACTACGTCGCCACCACCCTGGAGAGCAGCAGTCAGAACCAGGAACAGTTCCTCGACCAGCTGTCCTTCACCCTCGGACAGCGACGCACCCGCTTCCCATGGACTACGGCTTGGAGTGGCTCGTCGCTCGCCGATGTACATGCCACGCTCGACTCCGCCCGGCCGACCGCTCAACGCAGCACACGTGCGCCACGCGTGGGCATGGTCTTCACCGGTCAGGGCGCGCAGTGGTTCGCCATGGGTCGCGAGCTATTCGGCGCTTATCCGGTTTTCCGTGACACGATGCATGAGATCGATGCCTGCCTCAAGAACATGGGCGCCACCTGGTCCGCGGTCGAGGAGCTGCAGCGGGACGCCAAGGAGAGCCGCATCAATCAGGTCACATTCAGTCTTCCGCTGAGTGTGGCCATCCAACTGGCGCTGGTGGACTTGTTGCGTTCCTGGGGAATCCGTCCCGCAGGAGTGACCGGCCATTCCAGTGGCGAGGTTGGTGCGGCCTATGCCGCCGGTGCCATCACCCTGGCGGGCGCGATGGCAATCGTCTACACCCGTGGCGATCTGACAAGCCAGTTCCAGAAACTCCTGGATCGCCGCGGCGGCATGGTCGCCGTGGGTCTGGGACGCGAGGAGGCCGAGAAGGCGCTGGCGGAGGTCCAGTCCGGCACGGCGGTCATCGCCTGTGTCAACAGCCCGTCCAGTGTGACGATCTCCGGCGACGAATGCGCCGTGGAGGAAGTCGAGGCCCTGCTCACGGCCCGCGGGGTCTTTGCGCGCCGTCTACGGGTCGAGGCAGCTTATCATTCGCACCACATGTTGCCGCTGGCTGAGGCCTATCGGGTGCTGCTGTCGCGCTTCCTCGAGCCCAGTCCCGAGTTCGACTCCACGGTTGTCTACTCGTCCCCGACCACGGGGGACCGGATGACGTCCGCAGTGGATATTGCTGATCCCGATCACTGGGTGCGCAACATGGTGCAGCCAGTCGAGTTCCTGAGCTCCCTGCGGAACCTGTGCAGTGGTGGTGCCGGCACCGCGGTCGACATGCTCGTGGAAGTCGGGCCCCACGGCGCTCTCGCCGGGCCCATCCGGCAGACGTTGGCGCTGCCGGAGCTGAAAGACGCGGGAATCCCCTACGCCTCGTGTCTCTCGCGCGGCCAGGACGCGGTCCAGACCATGCATCAGCTCGTCTGCACTCTCCTGCAGGCCGGCTACCCGGTCGACCTCGAGGCCGTGAATTTCCCCTACGGCCGTAGCGACGTGCCGGTCCTGACCAACCTGCCCCCCTACCCCTGGAACCACGAGACATCGTACTGGGCCGAGCCCCGTCGCAACCAAGAACTGCGCGGCCGAACCGTCGCGCCTCACGATCTCCTCGGCGTCCCGGCCGCGGGCTCGACCCCGACCACGCCAACCTGGAGACATGTGGTGCGGCCCCGCGACATCCCATGGGTGCGCGACCACATCGTGCAGGGGGCGATCGTCTACCCGGGAGCAGGATACGTCAGCATGGTCGTCGAAGCGCTGCGACAGCTGCAAACACCCGATCAGCCCAGCCACGGCTACCACCTGCAAGAGATCCGGATCCGCAACCCGTTGATCCTGGAAGACACGGCGGAAGGAGTCGAGGTGCAGTTGTCGCTGCGTCCGTGTGGGGATCGCGTCCGCCACGCTCAGGGGTGGTATGAGTTCCTGATCCAGTCCGTTAACCAGACCGGTGATTCATGGACCCTGCACTGCGAGGGTCTCTGCTGCACGCCGTCTCCCGCCCAGGGCACGGGCTGGGCTGGCCCGCCTGCCCCGATCAGTGCGCCATCCTCCACCGTGCCAGCCAGTGCGTGGCGCACCCTCAACCCCGCGGATACGTACAAGACGCTGCATGAGGTCGGCGTGTGCCACGGTCCGATCTTCCAGAACCTGGTGTCCGCGCAATCCGCGCCGGGACACTCGCAGTCCGTGTTCCACGTCGCCGACTCGGCCGCCACCATGCCACAGGGATACCAGCAGTCCCACGTCATCCATCCCACCACGCTGGACACGGTGTTCCAAGCCGTCTACCACAATCTTCCAGCCGGGGGCACGCAGCAGCGATCCGCCATGATCCCGACGTCTATCCAGGACCTGTACATCTCGGCAAACCTGATTGCCTCCCCCGGTCACCAGTTCTGCGCCGATTCGACCCTGATAAAGCTCAGCGGACAAGGGTTCGAGTCCTCGGTCCGTGTCATCAACAACGCAGGCGCCGACGGGTCGGAAGAGCCAGCAGCACCGGTCCTCACCCTAGACGGGCTCTTCTGCCAGTCCCTGGGTTCCAGTGCCGCCGTGTTGACGCCCGACGACAAACTCTGCTATACCTCTGTGTGGGCGCCGGATTTCGATTTCCTGCAGCCCGAGCACCTTCCCAGAAAGGCCGAGGTGGCCCAGCAGCCCAGTCTCTCCCAGCTGCAAGCCGCCGCCGTGGTATTCATTGTCGATGCCCTGCAGGAGTTTGAGAACGAGCAGGTGGTGGCACCGGAGCACCAGGGCTTCTGGGATTGGATGAAGGGCGTGGCGGATCAGGCCCGCCGGACGCTGGACATCCCCGGGGTGACGCCGCAGTATGTGGCTGCGTTGACGCAGGACCTGAAGCAGGGCGTCGACGGGAGACTGCTGTGTCGATTTGGGGAGCGGCTCCCTGATATTGTGTCGGGACTGGTCCCGGCCAAGGAGATCCTGCGGGGCTTCATGGTGGAGAACCAGGCTGAATGGTCCTCCGTTCCCGAGTATCTCGAGCCGTTGCTGACTTCACTGATGGAGCTCCACGGTCATAAGCGTCCTCGGGCTGCAGTCCTCGAGATCGGCACGGGCAATGTGGCTAGTACGCGGATTTTTGCGAAGGCGTTGACGCGCGACGATGCGAAGCTTTTTGCGCGCTACGAGGTGACTGCACCCAGCGCAGAGCTGGTGGAAGATGCGAACAAGGCACTCCGGGACGACACAGGGGCTGAGTGCAAGGTTCTGGATTTGGATACGCCGGCTGGAGACCAGGGATTTACTCGCGGAAGTTACGATCTGCTGATTCTGTCTGCATCGGCCTTGTTGGCTGCGGAGGATGTGGTCCAGACCCTTAGCTCGCTGCATGCTCTCCTTGCTCCGGGTGGAAAATGTATCCTGTGGGGCCCCACCCTGGGTGATAGTGCTCTGCAGACTATTGTTCGACTCCTCCCAGGATGGAGTGGAGTTATTGATGCCACTCCCACGTGGCAGGGGCTCCTGGCGCAGGCCGGTTTCGAGTCGAGCAACTTCCAGCTCAAGGAAGGCCTTAACAGCAGCGGCTACCAAGGAGAGGTGGTTATGGCGACCGCCAAAGCGGATACGACAACTGATTCTGCAGCCGAGGTTATCCTCGTTTCTGCTACGAGCCCTCCGGAAGACTGGCAGCAAACACTCCAGCACTCGCTTCCTGCTGATGTTGTATCAGGGATTTCCGTGGTCTCGTCGCTCGAGGACGTCGATGCTGAGGGCAAGGTGTGTTTGATCCTAGATGAGGTTGTTCAGCCGATCCTCGAAAATCCCTCCGCGGAGGAATTCCACGACCTGCAACGTGTGCTCGGCAGCTGTCGGGCTACCGTGTGGGTGTCACGCGGTGCTCAGGGCAATGCTGAAGATCCTCGTGGCAGTCTGCACCAGGGTCTTCTGCGCACCTTGCGCTGCGAGAATACTCTCCGTCAGTACGTCTCGGTGGACTTGGACCCGAATGCGCCCATCTGGTCTCCTTCGTCGGCGACCAATATCGCGCAGATCCTCTGCAACACGCTCACTACATCGTCCTCTTATCTGCCCGAGACCGAGTACGCGGTCCGCGATTCGGTGGTTCAGATCTCGCGAGTCTACGGAGACGGGCAGGAAGCCCAGCTGGTGGGTACCACGAAGCCTCAGACCCCGGAGCTGCGACCCTGGTCTACTCCTGGGCAGAACATCCGTCTTGGAGTAGCCACCCCGGGACTGCTAAACAGTCTTGTCTTCACGGAGGATCCGACGGTAGAAGAGATCCTCCCGGACGATTGGGTGGAGATCGAGCCACGGGCATTTGGACTCAACTTTCGCGACATCATGGTGGCGCTGGGTCAGCTCGATGAGACGCGGATGGGTTTTGAATGCAGTGGAGTGATTACGCGCGCCGGACCGTCCGCCCAAGCGGCGGGCTTCACCCCGGGACAGGGGGTGTATGCGTTCATCATTGGCTACTTCGCGACCAAGGTGCGCATCCCCTTCACCAGCGTGGCCCCGATCCCCGCGGACATGGACTTCGCCACGGCCGCCTCCATCCCGCTGGTCTTCATCACGGCGTACCATGCCCTGGTCGACCTGGCACGTCTCCAGCGCGACGAAACGGTGCTCATCCACTCGGGCACGGGCGGTGTCGGACAGGCGGCCATCATGCTGGCGCAGTCGATCGGGGCGGACATCTTCGTCACGGTCGGCTCGGAGGACAAACGCGACTTCTTGATGCAACAGTACGGGATCCCCTCCTCGCGGATCTTCAGTAGCCGCAATCCGTCCTTTGCTCGTCACATCATGTCGGCGACGGACGGCAAGGGAGTGGACGTGGTCCTCAACTCCCTGGCGGGACCACTGTTGCGCGAGACGTGGCGCTGCATTGGAATGTTCGGTCGGTTCATCGAGATCGGCAAGCGAGACATTGAGCAGAACAGTATGGTGGAGATGGGGCCGTTTGTGCGGAGTACGCTCTTCGCGTCGCTGGATCTGATCACACTCGGGGAGCAGCGAGGCAAGGAGGTCCGACGCATCTTCGGGGCGATCAATGAATTGCTGGCCAAAGGACAGATCCGACCAGTGGGACCGATCACCCGATTTGGGATGGGAGAAGTTGAGAAGGCATTCCGTACGATGCAGACGGGGAAGCATATGGGGAAGATTGTTTTGGAGCCCCGCCGCGGAGATCAAGTCAAGGTCCTCACCGCCGGGCCCCGACCGGCAGAACTGTCACCTGACGAGACCTACCTCCTCGTGGGCGGTGTGGGCGGCATCGGCAAGTCTCTCTGCCAATTGCTCGTCGATCGCGGCGCAAAGCATCTCCTCGTCCTGTCGCGCAATGCAGCTCGCATCACCCCAGACACCCAACAATGGCTGGACGGCGTGCAGGCCACCGGTGCGAGAGTTGTGCTGGAGAGCTGCGATGTGACCAAACGGGCCCAGCTTCAAGCTGTGTTGGAGAAATATAGTTCCGAGTTGCCGCCCATTCGCGGCGTCATCCAAGCCGCTATGGTGCTCAAGGTATGTCTTCCGCCTTCTATTCTTCTCTACTATGACGGCACTAACAACTACAGGATGGGATCTTTGAATCCATGACCCACGAGGACTATCTTGCGGCCCTCAACCCCAAGGTCCAGGGAACCTTTAACCTGCACACCCTGCTCCCCACCCACCTTCGCTTCTTTATTCTTCTATCCTCCATTAGCGGATTCGGTGGCAACGCCGGCCAAGCCAACTACGCTGCCGGAGGCAGCTACCAGGATGCGCTGGCCCGCCATCGCGCCAGCCGGGGTCTCCCCGCCGTCTCCATCGACCTGGGCATGGTCTCCTCGGTGGGTGTGGTCGCCGGCACGCAACACGTCGCCGACCACCTCGAGAAGCTCGGCCTGCGGGCCGTCTCCGAGCACGAGGTGTGGGCGTTGGTCGAGTCCGCCATCCGCCACCCCATCCGCACCCCGGAAACCTGCCACGTCGTCACGGGTCTCCCCAGCGGATTTGTCCGGTCGGACTCCGCTGTCTGCTGGAACCGGGACGCCCGGTTCGCCGTTCTCGAGCAGAAGGACTCCTCTGCCTCGGGCCTGGCGTCTACCTCGAACCCCGGAGCCGGTCTGAAAGAGCAGCTGTCGGCTGCCACCACTCCTGCGGAAGCCACGACCGTCATCCAGAGCGCGTTGATCACGAAGCTGGCCGAGATGTTCAGTCGCAGCCAGGAGGAGATCGATCCCTCCTTGCCCCTGGCGCAGTTTGGTGTCGATTCCTTGGTCGCCGTCGAGTTGCGCAACTGGTCGGTCGCGACGGTGCAGGCCGATTGCTCCATCTTCGATGTCATGCATGCGGCCTCGGTCACGGGGCTCTCAGGCAAGATGGCCGAGAAGAGTCGATTTGTGAAGCTGTAGGTTGGAGAGGATTGATTGATGTATATACCGTTCTTTGCATTTGTGGCGCATAATGGATACTTGACTGGTCTTGATTTGGGTCTCGTAGAGCCTTCAGCGTTGCGCTGTAGGCGAAGTAGGGCATTTCCGCATATCCCGGTTGTTCGGGTTATATCTCGATTTGTAGCTGACTATACGTATTCTCTTCTGTTCTATATTCTATGATACGGAGTAGAGTGATGATGATGGGGGGAATGGGGGATTGACACTAGTGATCGATAAGCTATCGATAGTTCGAAAGCGGTTAGCGAGTCAACCTGCAATCCAACTTTTGTCGGCGCCCAAGTTGTCCGATTCTCTCCTCCACCACCACTTCAATCACCACCACTCCCTCCCCCCACCTCTCACCCATCACACCGTCGCAATGGTCAAGCGCAAGGAACTCAAAGACAATGACGTCGAGATGTCGGGGACGGACCCCCGCGTCGACGGCGACGAGTCCGAGGAGGCATGTCCTCCCTCCAGACCAGAGATGCACCCCCGCTAACACCACCACCACCATCCAGGACATCGACATGGTCAACGTCGACTTCGAATGGTTTGACCCCCAGCCCATCGACTTCCACGGCCTCAAGAACCTCCTGCGCCAGCTGTTCGACAACGACGCCCAGATCTTCGACATGTCCGCCCTCGCCGACCTCATCCTCTCGCAGCCTCTCCTCGGCTCGACCGTCAAGGTCGACGGGCCGGAGTCGGATCCCTATGCTTTCTTGACGGTGCTTAATCTGCAGGAACACCAGGTAGCCTCTTCCCCCCCCCCCCCCCCCTCTTCTTTCTTTCTTTATCTCTCTCTATCACTATTCAACCCCAAAGCTAACCATCCCCCCCAGGACAAACCCGTCATCCAAGACCTAACCAAATACCTACACCAAAAGTCCTCCAACACGCCTTCCCTCTCCCCGCTCGCGACCCTCCTCTCCCAAACCCCCATCCCGCCCATCGGCCTAATCCTCACCGAGCGGCTCATCAACATGCCCGTCGAAGTCGTGCCCCCGATGTACACGATGCTGCAAGAAGAAATCGCGTGGGCGATCCAAGACAAAGAGCCGTACAACTTCTCGCACTACCTGCTCGTCTCCAAGACCTACGAGGAGGTGGAATCCAAGCTCGATGCCCAGGAGACCCGGCCGCAGAAGAAGAAGAAGAAGGCTGCGGCTGGTGCCGGTGCCGGGGAGCGGTTCTTCTTCCATCCCGAGGATGAGGCGCTGGAGAAGCATGCCCTGTGTAAGGGGTCCATCGAGTATACACATAAGCAGGACGAGGGGCATTCGGATTCGAAGCGCGCGTTTCAGGAGTTGGGCATCAGGACGAAGGGAAGTTTGGTGCTTTTTGAGGCTGATAGGTTGGAGGGCGCTGTGAAGGGTATGGTGGAGTATTTGCAGCCAGGGGTTTAGAGGTTAGAGGTTGGTTTGATTTTTTTTTCTTTTCTTAAGTCCATGATGATGGCTTGTTTGTGGATATATAGACCCCAAAAGTTAGGTTTTTTATTTGTGGTGTCGTGGCCGTTGAATACGTCCGCCTGTCTGTCTATACTTATGCCTACCTATACCTGTCCTGTCCCTACGATGGCTATGACTGTGCCTATGCCTGCGCCGTTCCCGTCCGGTGTCTCCGCTGTCCCATTCATGTCTCTATGATTATGGTTCGTCATGCGTCTGCTCATTCGCTCTGCGGTAATATCTGTGCGCCTGGTGGCTGTCTACTCCCATTCCGTGCCCTTCAGACGCTGCATCAGGTAATCCACCTCGACGACCTTGGTCAGAGGGATCACGTATTCCTGCGATTGTCAGCATATCTATCACCCCCTCTAATGCTAGCGACAAGGAGGAAGAGAGAAGCGGGGTGGGTGGGAGAAAGAAAGAGGAATATAACCCACCTTATACATAGCCACCACAGCATCAACATTAATCTTGGGCCCATTCTCCGACTGAAACCCAGGATCGGTACCATACGTCTTGGCCTTCAGCGCCAACCGCTCCAGAACCTTCTGCTCGACCTTCGCATCGGTAATGGCCTCATCGATGCCCACGCGATCATTCTCCTTAATCATCTTAACGAACCTCTCGGGCTCCTTGCGAAACTTCGCCTCCGCCACGAACTTCCCGAAATGGATGCGCCGCGAGAGCGCCTGCAAGCAGCTGACATCGCACGTCGCCGCAGACCCGTAGTTCTCCTGCGTCTCGCCGCGGTCCTCGCGCCCGAACTGCGGACACACCGCCGGCAGGATGTCGTGGATGTACCGCTGCTTCAGCGTGTCGTTGACGTTGACATCGTTCTCGTGCAGAATCTTCGGGTATTGCAGCGGCGCGAGGATCGGCTCTTCCAGCTTCGACGGGAAGAAGGGGTATTCGTCGGGCGACTGGTAGCGGCGGACCCGCGACTGGAGACGTTCTTGTTCGCCCAGCAGGTAGTCGAGTAGCGAGAGGGGCGGGCCCGGGATTGAGACCCCGTTGGGGTGGTAGATGGGCGCGTTGAGGGGGAATTGCACCCGCTCGATCAGGTGGAAGGTTATGGTGTCTTCGAGGCGGCTGGGGGAGGGGTTAGTTGATTAGTTTGGAGGGGAAGTGGGTTCGGGATGGCGTTCATGGTGGTTTTCGGGAATTGGGTTCTTGGGAAGTGGCATTGAAGGCATAGGGGGTGGTGATGATGATGGTTGTAGGTAGGTAGGGGATATGATTGCCGCTGGCGTTGATGCAAATACATGTGGTGATGCGGGGCACGCAAGGGCATGACAGGGATGTGAGAGATCCGTCCATGGAGCTGGATCGGATCTCCGACCGATCGGAGGAGCGATTTGACTCACATCAGTTGGAAGCGGATGTTGGCCAGATCCAGCGCCTTGGAGGCGTCAGAGAGGTCGATGGCCGTGTCCATTGCTGCGCGTGTGATATGGGGAATGTGTGCGAGAATGAGAGTGCAAAGGTGAGGGCGAGAATGGGGGGTTGGGGGGGGTTGGATTGGAGAAAGTCGGAAGCTTCGACGCTGAGGCTGCTGGAAATCCTCCGCTTTCGGGGTCGGGGAATCAAGAACGAACCAACAAGAATTATGATGGGGTCCGCGCCACGGCTTTTGTAGACGGGGTGCCTGCGCTAACGTGCCGATCGCCTCGGTGCTGACTTTTGGGTCGTTTCATGGAGGTCGGCGCTGTGGTGGTCCGCATGTAAGGACTATCTTGACCATGGCGCTGGAATGTGACATTTGACGTGGTGGTGGTGATTCATGATTCCTCTCGGATATAGCTGAGGTACTTATTACTTACTACCTCTTAGTACCTGCCGTAGTACCGTAGTATAGTTACGGTAGGTACAACCGTACAGATACCGGTTTCTATACCGGAGGCAGGTGACTGTGGCTGGTGATACCGCTGCTGCGGAGTCTGTCAGGTGCAGGTTGGGCTCGTCCGCCAGGATCAGTAGAATTTATTATTTAGATCCCACGGCGGTAGACTCACTCCTGAATATTAGAGTTCCTGAGATACCCTCCTATCTCTCCCTCTCTTTTGCAACTCCTTCCATTCCATCGACTGCATCCCCAAACCGAGCCCCCGTTAAATTACCGCCGGACGGTCACGGCAATACATCGCGTGCCCGGCCGCCGCCGCCCATCCGTCCGCCATCTTTTTGCATCTCCAGTCCAGCCAAGCCGACCAACTGCCGACTCGATTGATCCCTTCAGCTCTCCACCTCCTCAGCTCCCCGTCCTCAGCTCTGCTCCTCTCGCCCATCCTCGTCCTTGTCCTTCCCCGGATGGGTCTTTCTGCCTGACTCTCTTTCTCCCCCCTTGGTCGGTGTCATGGACAAACACCGCCGTGATGAGTCGCCTTCCGGTCTATCAGACATTGTCGAGCAGGATGGTCTATTAGGGACTGGCATCACGGTACGCTCTGGCACCACCTTTCCCCTATTTTTCTTCCTTGGATCGCTTCGCTGATCTCTCCTCTCCTCCCCAGTCTCGCCACCTCGAGGCCTTCGGGCGGAAAGTCACATCGACTGCAGGCCATTTGATGGGACCGGCCGACGCCGCCAACGGCCACTACCACAATGCCATGACCGACATCCACCGCGAACTGCGCCGCCCCAACACCCAGCGCAAAGTCTTCTCCCTGACCCAGACCACCCCGACCGACCTGGTGCGCTCCAAGCTCTCCACCACCGAAATCCAATCCCGGGCCATCTCCTCCCTCCCTGACGACCTGCTCGCCAACATCCCCGACGACTCCAGCTCCTACTCCCTCTTCCAGGGCTTCCAGGCCTCCCAGGATGACGTCGAGTTCCGCCGTGCCCATCGCCGCCGCGCCTCCAAGGGCAAGAAACTGCTCAAGGACAAGGACGACCCCTCCGCCCTGCCGTCCGCCCCGGCCGACCTCAAGAAGGAACGGGACCTGTTGAGCCGCCGGATGGAACTCATGGGCGTGCGCAAGAACATGTGCAGCTCGGAAATACACGACATCGACAAAAAGATTGCCAACCTTCACAACATGCGCAAGATCGTGCTGGATCGCTTGGCCGGTCTAGAGATGGAGGAGGCGGAGCTGGAACATGAGCGTAGGTGTCATAGACCGGAAATCGTGGCCGGACCGGGCTGACGTGAACACAGTGACCGAGATCGAGAATAAACTGGAGGACATCGAGGAGGAAACACCAGAGGTGCCGCCCGCGTCGACCCCGAGATCATCAGAAGCCAATGACGATTCCATTGTCTCGGAAGATCCGGCCATGGACGCTTCCTTCATGTCGGAGTCCATCTATCAGAAGATCCCGTCACCGAGGAGCGTGAAGCAACGATCGATAAGTATGGGTGTGTCTCTTGCTGCAGGGCCTACGTGCTGACGATTCAGGGAAACGATCCATGCCGGTTCTCCACGAACACTTCGCCCCCGGATCCGAGATCAAGGAGATGCAGGCGCATTCCGACGTGGTCACGGCCCTCGATTTTGACTACCCGTTCGGCACCATGATCAGTGCCGCCCTGGACGATACGGTACGCGTGTGGGATCTCAACGTCGGCCGCTGTCTGGGTTTCCTGGAGGGACACAACGCCTCCGTCCGCTGTCTCCAGGTCGAGAACAACATTGTCGCGACGGGCTCCATGGACGCTTCGGTCAAGATCTGGGATCTGAGCCGGGCCCGGTTCACCACCACCCGGGACAACCGAGTCACCCGGCGCGAAGACGACGACGACGATTACGTGCACGCCGACAGCGCCTCCATCGCGTCCCACTCCACCACCCTCGACGACTGCTTCGCGTATTCGCTGGACGCCCACGTCGACGAGATCACCGCGCTGCACTTCAAGGGTGATACCTTGGTGTCCGGCTCGGCGGACAAGACGCTGCGCCAATGGGATCTGGTCAAGGGGCGCTGCGTGCAGACGCTAGATGTCCTATGGGCCGCGGCGCAGGCCGACACGCTGGGCGGCGAGTCGACATGGCGCCCCTCGGGACGCATGCCGGACGCCTCGGCGGACTTTGTTGGGGCGGTGCAGTGCTTCGACGCGGCGCTGGCGTGCGGTACGGCCGACGGCATGGTCCGTCTGTGGGATCTCCGCAGCGGCCAGGTCCACCGGAGTCTGGTGGGCCACACGGGGCCGGTGACCTGTCTACAGTTCGACGATGTGCATCTGGTAACGGGCAGTCAAGACCGCAGCATTCGGGTATGTATCTTCACTCGACGTCATGGACTACACACTAACGGGACAGATCTGGGATCTCCGAACGGGCTCGATCTTCGACGCCTACGCGTACGACCACCCCATCACCAGCATGATGTTCGACACCAAGCGGATCGTCGCGGCGGCGGGCCAAAACGTCGTCAAGGTGTACGACAAAGCGGACGGCCACCATTGGGACTGCGGCGCAGGAGTGGGCGCCGACGAGACGGGGCCGTCGCCGTCGCTCGTCGAGCACGTCCGACTCAAGGACGGATTCCTGGTCGAGGGCCGCAGGGACGGGATTGTTGCGGCGTGGACCTGCTGAACGACGCGATACGATACGACCTACCTACCCACATACCTACCTATCTACCGATGGTAGCTAGCCCTTCCCTCATGTTTGTATTTGTGACTGCCTGGCTGCCTCAGCGATTGTATATTATTCTTTCTTTTGGGCAATATAGAAGGATGGGCGTCCGCAGAGGGCAGCCGTGTAAATGCATTGCGTGCGTGATTTCTTTGTGTGTTTCAGTTGGACGGAGTAGTGGCTTGAAGCATAAAAAAATAGTGACAGATAAAGAAGAGGTTGGGTGGGTGTGGTTGGAGGGCACAAAGAATAGGATGCGAGAATCAGTATGTGTTCGTTCCTTGCTCTGTCGCGTAGGGGTATTGTACTGAGGTTGCAGGGCAGAAGGACCACTACTCAGGCCTACCCAGTACTATAGTAGTATCTAGTAGTCGCAGTCGACGTACTGAGCAAGGGCATTCAGGCCTCAAGGTGTCAGCCCGAGAGCCCCTTACCCGATCAGGCAAGGGCGTATCGGAAGTGGTCACAGCGGCGTATCAAACTTACGGCATTCCATCATTCCTCATCCCATCTTCATTCACCATTCAATCAGTCAATCTTGAACATCCAACTGCTCTCCCCCTCCACCCCATCATACACTTCCCTCCCACAGTAAAGGCGCATCGCACTACGCGTGGCATATGCGCGATCCTTTCCCCGGATCCGAATCCTCCCCCTCCACCGCCACTGCGCCGGCGCCGATCCGCATCCGCCGCGTCTTCTCGCGCCGTGTCTCCTCGCGCATGAGACCAAGAAGGAGAGAGTGAGAGAGTGAGAGTGAGAGTGAGAGTGAGAGTGAGACCATCCTGAACTGTCGCCGTAAGTCAATTGACCTGCTCCACCCAGTCCCCTGGTACTCCAGGTTTATTTTAAGAGGCCTCAATTGTCACTCAAGAACAAAGAGCGCGGGCTGCCCTGTCTGCCCCTCTCTTTCATCTGTTCGTCTCTTCCGCTTCTGACGCCCGCGCAGGATCCTTGATTCTATCCAAGTTCAGTCGCATGGGCGCCGTGGTCTGGACTTGACCATCAACTTATATTCCCCGATCCGCCTTTCGTCCGGAACAGCAGGCCTAGCTTTTAGTTTATTTGCCTGCTATCTCCGTATACAACCAACCCCGACGATCCTCGCGCGTCTGCCTGAGGCTGCCGCTTCCTTCTTTGTGAGTAGAACAGCTCGACTTGCGTGTGCTCCAGCACCTTCCAGTCTTCCTCGCCATGCAAGCATCCGCCTTGAGACGCCAGCTGACCTGATCACTCAGACGCCCATCTTCTAAACACTACACGCCAATGCCTCCTAAGCGGGGCTCCGTCCGGCGCAGTGGCACGACCCCTCGCTCCAACAAAGCCTCCGGAGCAGCACCGGCCAGGTTCGGTGCGACGAAAAGGACCCAGGCTCTGCCAGACATCCCCGTCAAGCATTCGTTTGCCTATGGATCGACAGACACGCCGCTTCTTCCGCGGGAGCTGACCGTGCACCCCGAGATGGACCTGGAAGCGATGGCCGGGACGATCGACCACGGGATCGAAGTTGCTAAGGATCGCGAAATGAAAGAGACCGAAGGCACCAGTGACCGACGAAGGACTTCTTCGGTGGGCGTGTCGCCAGTTCGGCGCATGCGTGAACCCACTCCGGATCAGTTGCAGCTGTTTGATAACCTGCGCGAAGCCACGCAAACCCCCAGCCCGGTCCGGGGAAACTCCCGCAACGGCCGTTCCACTGCCACCCCTACGCCTCCTGTTGCGCATAGCCTTTCTTCGTCAAGCGCGGTTTCCGTTCCCAAGCCTAGATATCCACATGTATCCGCAGACGATCTGTATCCGTCGCCGATGACGCGCCTCGGCCCTAACACGCATGGCGAACAGCCGGTAGGGAGCTCGCCTCAGGTCGACAACGAGTCAAATTATTCATACTCGGTCGAACGAGACATTCACGACGACAGTCTTCGACGCACCCTGTCTGATGGAAAGAGCATCAAGGCGCCCCCTCGTCGGTTTTCCGGCCGGGCTTTTGGCAACGATACCATCGACGAAGAAGAGGAGCCGGACTCCAGACTTCAACAGCACTCACCCTCTCCGGAGCTCTCTCCGGAGCCGAGCTACGCAGACTTCCAGATGGAAGCTACGCCGGACTTTTCGCCGCCACCCGAGCCAGCTTCCGCCAAAAAGTCCCCCGTCAAGCAATCGGCGCCAACAAAAACAATAATCCCCGAGACCCGGGTACAGCCTCCATCGCCACAAGTTGCAGCGTCAAAACCAAGCCGTGGGCGATCACGCACTCCGCTTGAGACCCGCTCTCCAATCGCGGGACTCTTTGAACTCCTTCCAACAAAATACACAGCAGCCCGCATCTTCACCATGGTATCCCTGGCCGCGGCCGTCTTCTCTCTCGTTGCATACACCGATCTTTCCTCCCTACGCAGACCAGTTCAATACGTCCCCATGAACGACACCAACATGGTCGAAATATCGAGCCTCACCGACCAGCTTTCCCGCCTGGGCGTGCAGGTTTCATCACTCGCAAAAGACGTGAAGCAGGTCAAATCCGACGTGCGCGCTGCGCCCACCACCGTCATAGAAGCGCCGGCCAGAAGACCATTCGAAGCTCCAGTCGTCCGGAAGACCAACTTCCTAACTCGAGGCCTCCGTGTGGTTATCGATCCCTACTTCTCCAGCCCAACCATCGAGTCCAACCTTACCGTCTCCCAAACCTGGTTCTACAGAGTGAGAAAATTATGGACCTCGGACCCCGGACCTCAAATGCCACAGCCTCATCTCGCCGCTCTCTCCTCCTGGGAGGACTTCGGCGACTCGTGGTGCGGCGCCCCCCACTTCCACAGCGGCATGACCCAGTTATCTGTCGTCCTCGGCCACGATATCGTCCCCGAAGAAGTCGTCGTTGAACACATGCCCAAGCACGCCACACTCTCCCCCGAAGTCGCCCCCAGGGACATGGAACTCTGGGCCCAATTCAAGCTCGTCGATCTCGATCCCCCCCCAAAAGGCATCCACGGCCGCGCCCTCGCCTTCCTCGCCCGTGCCAAAATCTTCCCCTCCTCCGAGCGGTTCTCCATCCACGAAGCCATCATGCACGCCCTCCGATACGCATTCCCCCATGATCCGGAGAGCGCGTACTCCAATGACCCGTTCCTGCCCCCGACCTTCTACCGCGTCGGCAAATGGACCTACGATCTTGATGGCGCGCACCACGTCCAGCGCTTTGTCCTGGATGCTGTTATCGATGACCCGAAATTGAGGGTCAATCATGTCGTCTTCAGGGTTACTTCAAACTATGGCGGACCGCATACTTGTCTCTATCGGGTGAAGCTTTTCGGGCATAAGTAGACTTGCCCCCTTCTTCTTTTCTTCGTCTTTCTATATGCTATGCTATCATGGTCTCCATTCTGGGTCGGGTTCATGGCGTTATGCTGGCTTACTTGGCGTCGCAGGCGTGGAATGGATGGACGGGTATTTTTTTTGCATCGGGGTTACCTGCTTCATACGTTCATCTGTCAATCTGCTTCCTTTCTTGTTCTCTTTTCCCTGCCTTCTCCTTCTTTCTTTCCTTGTTTATGGGGATCAATTTTTTTCTCTTTCCCCTTTTATTTGCGCTGCAGTTCAGCGTTCTTCGCGCTTGTCTTTTAAGATACCAGGTCATCCGTAGTTGATGTTACCATACCTACATCAGTACTTGGCTTTTTAGCTTTTAGCTTTTAGCTCTTGCAAGGTTTATAGACAGTGTCAGTAGGACAATCGGCTTTTGCCTACATGGTTATTTTATCTTATATTGCATGTCAAGGGCGTTGGATATATTGAACTATAAGCTTTTGATTGTTATAGGTTGGTTGGTTCGTTGTTGCGATTCAGATAGTGTAGGTGCATATGAGGTATGATTGGATAGATAGACCCGGTCACCACCACCACCACCAACAACAAACAACATAGAAACAACCAATCAGAATGAGATGCTTCATGCTTCATTCTATATTCTATATTCACCCCCTCGCCCCCTTATCCCCCCTTCCCCTCCATTCCTCGCCATCCAAATTCCAGCATAATTACAACAATAGATAAAAAAAAAAACTCTTACTTCTTCAAAGCCAAATACAACCTCCTAAACGCCGACTCTCTACCCAGCAGAACCGCAGGCTGATCAACCTCCACCAGCTCGCCGGCCTCCAGGACCGCCACGCGATCGAAGCGGTGGATGTGGTCGAGGCGATGCACGACTGCGAGGACCGTCTGCGTCGGACATTCTTTTGCGATGATGTCGTACATGAGGGATTCGGTTTCGTGGTCGACGCTTTTTTGGATTATTAGTACTAGCTTCTGTTTGTGGGCGGTGGGTGGGTGTAGATTTGGACTAGGGCAGCGGAGGGGAGGGGATTGGGGTTAAATGGTAGGGGGTAGGTGGTAGGTGATAGGTAGGTAGAATGATGCAACTGAACAGGGGGGGGACAATGGGAAGGTGGGAGCTAGGGGTGGGAGAAAAGCACAGGATAGGAGCGGGGGTGGGTATATACCTGCTCGTCGCTTCATCGAGAATCAAAATCGGACTATCCACGACCAACGCTCTCGCCAGCGCAAGCAGTTGTTTCTCGCCGTAGGACCAGTCCAGGGAGTCGACGTGGACATCGAGGCCGCCGTCGGCGGTGACGCGGGTCCAGAGACCGACTTTCTGGATGGCGGATATGAGATGTTCGTCTGGGAGGAGGCTCTTTGGATCAAGGTTGAAGCGCAGCGTTCCAGGCATGAAGAATGGGTCCTGGGGGATCACGTTGATTTGGGACCGGAGGGTCGTGGGTCTCATGTTGGCGATGTCGGCTCCGTCAATGGTGACTTGGCCGTTGTGGATGCCCATCATGCTGAGGAGGGTCATTATGAGCGAGGTCTTGCCGCTGCCCGAGGGGCCGCAGATCGCGAGTCTCTCGCCTGGTTGGATGGTGAGGCTGAGGTTTTTGAGGATGGCATCGGAGGGGGCCTCGGGGCTGCATGGACATTAAATGAGTGTGTGAAATGAGAGAGGGGGGGCTTACTTGTATCCTGCGGTGACGTTGGAGAAATTGATAGCACCGTGTGAGAGTTTCACTTCAGAATAAGAAGAAGTGTTTGTCTCTTCGGATGGCGTCTCTTCGACAAACCGTTGCACGCGGGATACCGCCCCAATAGATACCTCCATTGACGTCCAGCACTCGATGGTGTTGTTCAGGTTTTGGCTGAATGTCAGGATCAAGGTGAGAGCCACACCGACGGCTCCCGCGCTGAACTTGTCTTTCAGATTGATGACAATAGCCACGAGAATCACTGCGAAGATGGCGACTATTAGGTCCAGGGCGAGCTTCAGTCCCTGTCTGATGCAGTAGAGCATGTAGAATGGTTTTTGAGACAGGTTCAGTTTGTTGATGCATTGCTCATGGAAGTGTCTCTGCCACTGAAATGCCTGAATCACGGAAATGCCGCTGACAGTCTCCTGGAAGTGGGTGTACAGCGGCGCTTTGGCTTCGATGTCCAGCAGTCGCACTTGGCGAGATGTGCGAAGATAGCCGCGCTGGATTGCCCACAGGGCGAGGAACATGAATGGAACAGTGATGGTAATACACTGACCGATAACGCAGAGAATTATGATGCTGACGACTCCGGAGGAGACACCTAGGTTTGTTAGAAGTGGATTGTGTTAGTTAATGAGGGAATCTTGCCTTCCGCAACGTTCAGGGCCATTATCGGCAGCGAAAAATCGATCAATTCCATGTCTTGGCTGAACCTGTATTTTTCTCAGTATTGTGATCTTCCAGGATGTATGTCTCGCATACCTGTTGACGATAGAGCCAGTGTCTGTCTGCTGGAAGAACCTGAAAGGGGCACTGGAAAACGTCAGCAAAGGTTTGAATTAGGAAATAATGGCTCTTACCCAAGGGTTGCTTCCAAAAGATCTGTATGAAGACCCAGAGCAGTGTTACCGACGATATCGATGATCAAGAGCCTGTGTACTATTAGATTTGCCTTTTTTCTTTGGTTTAAAACTTACCAGCAGGCGGATATAAGGGTAAGCATCGAGGCCACGACGATAAGGGTATACACTCCGATATACTTCCCGGTGTCGCTATTCGGGCTTTTGTCGTTTGCATCAGACCACCACTGCAACCAGATAGCTAGCAGAATTGTTAGCGTAGTCAGAATCAGGAAAGAATCGATCATACAGGAAAATTGAGAGGTGAATCCGTTGGCAAGAGCAGACGCCACGAACATCGCAACGATGACATATCCTGCCTTTTGGAAATAATAGCTGTATACCGACCAGCTTCCATCCCGTCGCGTGAAGTCCTTCTCTACATCACGGGAGTCATCGACCTTGGCGTTCATGTAAGATTTTGGTGTCGCTTCTCTCGCAACCTCCTCTACTTCACTAGCCGATACCTCCTCGTCCATAATCTTCGTTTGAGTGTACTCAGGATGCCGCATTACAAATTCCGGGAAGGCGCCTTGATCCACCTTTCTACCGTCATTCAGAAGAACGATCTCGTCGGCATAAGGAAGGAGAAATTCTGAGACTTGTCAGCGCACACCTAGCCTACAGACAATGTGGGAATACGTACGACTGTGGGTTGCCAGAACAACTGTTTTGTTGGTCCTTCGGAAATATCCATTACGTCCAAACAGACTCTCACTGATCTTGTGAATACTATGAGAGTCGAGTCCACTGAATACATCGTCGAGAACAATGTAGGGAAGGCGAGAGTAGACTGCCCGCGCAAGAGCCTGGTTCTGTTAGTGGAGCGCAAAGATAAGCACAGAACTATACTCACCACTCTCTGTTTCTGCCCTCCACTGAGAGAGACACCGTTGCTCCCAGCCAGGTACATGTCCCTTCCTGGGAGATTGTCCAAATCGTCGGTGAGCGCGCATGCCGAGATCGTGTAGTCGTACCATTTTTGATCGAGCTCTGCTCCGCCTGTAATGTTAAACCCTACTGGAGCATCCATAATCCATGGAGTTTGTGGGCAGTACGCGGGTGACTGTGAGCAGTGCATATAGCCGCTGTTGGTATGCATCCGACCCATGATACTCTCAAGAAGAGCTGTTTTCCCACATCCAACTGGGCCAACTAGCATTGTAATTCTGTTCACGGGAAGTGCCAATGTCAAATCGCGGAGAACAGAGTCACTGCCGAGTGCCCAGGAGATACTCGCATCTTGGAATGATGCGAAAGATTCACGCGACAGCGGAGACTCGTACTGTTTTTCCGGCTTCGACAGCACAGCCAGTTCAGTCCCATCCAGCGATATCTTAGGCGAATTATTCTGTGGCAGAAGCTCACTTGACCTCTCTCTCAGGAGGTAGTCCTGAATCCGTTCGAAACAACCCATCGATTGTGTGAGCTGAGGTAGCGCCTGAACGAATGTTAACAACGGAGATGTAAGAATCGAAACCAAGGACACTGTGGTAAATGCCTGCGTCGTTAGAAGCGTTTGGTCCTTCCGAACCAATGCAATAATTGTATAGACCAGGAATACCGCGTAGGGTGCAAAGTCCAGAGGCACGTTTGCTATGTCATGATCAGTCAGCTACATGCTTTGATAGTGCTCAGGACCTCCTTACATAGAGCTATAATTACCACTAGAAGCTTTCGGTATCGCTTGGAGATTCCTAGCTCAGACTTTCTGTAGGTTGTGATCACTTCGGATAAGACCGTTTCAAGTCCCAGCATTTTTACCGCCTTCATGTCCTTCAGCATGGTCGAGGTGATGGAAAGACGTTTCTGAACCTGCTTTACCCAGGCTGCCTGGGCACGCCCATATCTGGTGGAAATTGGCGTTGTTCCCAACACACAAGCCACCGCAATTATTGCCGGCATGATACAAGCAATGGAAACTTGAAGCTCCAATAGCCAGATGGCCACACCAACCGATACGATGGATGCCCATGTCTCATGCAGTATCCTTGTGCTTGAAAGGATGCGCTCCATATCAGTCCCCATCAGCGTCACAGCTTCGGCCTTGTCGGAACCGGATGTCTTAAGTGCAATAGTCTGTTCGTAAATCATCGCCACAAAGCCAGAGCGTACTACGGTTGACATGCGGTTGACCTGGCGGTAATATACCGCCGTGGAGATTCCCATTCCGGCGTATACCAGTGCATACCCTCCCACCAAGGCCCGCCCATATCGTTTGCTTTCTGGAGTCGTTGGTGCATCGACATAATCGATCGTCGCGGAAATGAGGAACGGTTGACAGAAAGTGAAGCCTGCGAGTAAAAGCCGCGGTAGGATAGCAGAGAGGAAAGGCCCGTAGTAAGCTCTAAATGTTGCCTTGATCAGTCGATGTTTGCCATGCGTCTTGTTCCAGGCTTGTATAATCTGTGCCTCTGCGCAATCACCCTTTAAACAGGAGTCGATGTCGGGTAAATCATCTACCCCAATGACATGCGTATAGGCATTTCGAAACAACGGAAACACCCAGAGGAAGAAATTCCGGCCCCAAAAGCCGTAGATCTGCTCGACAGTCACATCTTTGTACAACGGACGGAGCAGATTTGTTTTTCTGGCAGATTCAAAAACCACAGCCAACACTATGACAACATATATGGCAGTGAAGAGCCCTCGGGGGACAGCGATTGATGGAATCTGCCACAGTGTGCGTAGTCGTGGAATATACAAAAGGCTCAATGCGGAGAAGTATAGGATCAGAGTATCGGACGGTTTGATCAATCGTTGGTCCTCGAAGAAGGAGAGGATGACTGCTGCGAGGGTTGCCGTCAGACCTAACACAGCCGATGGGGTTGAAACGCTGGTGTGCAGTGCCGCGGTCCGGATCTGATAGACTGTGAACACGATCTGCAAGACGAATAGAACCACTAGGATACTCTATCCCGGTTATTATTATTGACCATCCATTTTCCATGTCAGGGACCTCCTACCAGTTTATAGATGGCCAGCTGAACCGACTTCAGCTTCACCGGAGAACGGCGCAGGATCTCGAATCGCGGCAGCAGCAGGAGCAGGAAGACTGCAGAGGGTAGGATACCAAAGAAGACGTCTTCGAAAAACAAGGTGAAATCGAAGGGGCGACAAGCGACGTTGATCTGCGGTCCAAATTGACCGTCCCCGTTGCTCGGGCACATAGAAGCGTTCATGGTGTCAAGCCGTCAAGCCGTCGACACATGAGTCACCCCGCAAGCAATACGAGGCTGCCATGACTTTAATAGCTCAGGCAGCAGGCAGCCGGCTCTGCGGCTTAAAGGTGATAGTGATCCAGAAGGATGCTTGTCAGATTAGCCCGGAAGGTGTGATTCGGCGTGACCAGGAGCTAGCGACGAATCCGGGCATGGGCCGGGAGCCCCGACGGAGCAGCTCTCGATAAGACACCTGCCATGTGGTCCTGCGGTGGGTTCGATGAGTCTGGCTCTTTTCGGGAAGGCAAAGAAGGCGATTGACGATGGAAGAGTTCGTTGGGGGGAACAACAATGGGGTGGGGGTGAAGCTCGCCTTCCCCGCTCGAGAGGTCATGTTGTTGTCTCCGACTGTAAGACAGCAACCTAGGGGAGTTGTTGCCACTGAGCCAAACTACTAAAGACTAACATTACCCGCAGTTACCTGCGGACCCCTAGAATCCCATATATATACTCAAGTACACCCGGGAGAAGATGGGCTTCACCCTTGTAAGTAAGTATGCATATCTCGCGGATATCATCCCTTCAGTTACATATATACTATATATTTTAAAGTAAGTCAGAACTTGGTCAACCGAGCCCAGTCGGAAAGCATTTAGCGTGGTCAAACAAGATTTTAGCATACTAGGCCACCTCGTCTGCGTCCTGCCCGCTCGAGGGTCGGATGAATAGTATGATATTGTAGTTCAGTTGTTGCGTGTTGACGGTGACCGCCCCCCCGCCTCCCCGCCCCCGCTCCCCCGCCCACGCCCAACTCACCTTCTCGTTGAATACTCCAAACAACATCCCTCATGGAAGGACGGTTGTTCCCTTTCTCGAATCCCAGGACTTTCAGAACTTTCAATACTTTCAATAATTCCAACCCGCTCTTCTTCTTTATTTGATGCGCAACCGGGATCCCCGCACGGATAAGGAGAAGGCTGGAGCTGTGGCCATCGAGCAGTATGGCTTCTACGGGACTGGCTAGATAAACAATAGCACCAACTAGCACTGTGACTGCCTTGACCCCAACTCCATTCCGAAAGCACGCGCGCGTCACCATGGATCGACCTGTCATGGGAACCGGGACCCGTACTTTTGGATGACAGCTGGACGGTCCAACCAATCCCCCCAGCCTCGCCGCTGGAATGACCTCACCAACTCGTGTCCAGGCAATCACATCCTTCTCCCCCGCATCGAAGCATCAGCGGCCCCAGCTTCAATGGTCTCGCTACGCGGAGAAAGACCCGCATGGGGCGGCTGTCTAGATTACGTTGAGTCCCGGCGTCATCATCTCATCATCAACGCCACCCCCCCTCAGCCGGCTTTATATAAGGCCTGCGCCCCCAGCCCAGTTTCTGAACCATCACCCCAGATGTCAATCTGAATGTAACATACTACAAGTCACACCAAGCAACAGACCTATCAGTTGGTACGCTTTGCGGCTTGGCTGGGCTACGGTGCAGGGCAAAGGGGGAGGGGGTCGAATGCCGCACGATACCCTGCATCCTCAGACGGATTGGAAACTAATCGGTCACAGAAGCACAGTGCACCATGCAGTCCTCAAGATCCAATCCCGCCGCGCGTCTGGCTCAGACTGCCAAAGACAAGATGCCCACGACTTCGAGCACCAAGAAGGACCCCACCGAAAACTGGAGTCCGGAGGAGATGTTCGAGACCACCGTGGACAAGGACGGCAACCCGGTCCCCGACCCCATCTCGTTTGTGGACGGCGAGAGAATGGGAAAGGGCACGAAAGGTGGTCGCGATGAGGGTGACATGTTCGAGGCTGCCACCGAAGACTTTGACTAGTGGCATCGCTGCCGTGGACCAAGATGCAGGACACCTCTGGCAGGCGAGAGTATGGTCGTGATGAACCGTCGTCCACTTGAATGTTGTCAGTCACTCTTTGCTGGACAAGAGCTGAAGAATATTGGTCTGTCAGATCTGGATCGTGGTGTTGAGACATGGGAACGAGACATGAGACATGTAACTACTAGTGCGCACAGGCATGGGGATCGTGGATTAATCTCCCGGGGTTCACTCCTTGACCGCTGGGCCAACAAAAAACAATCAGATTGTGTGCATACTCCCCACCCTTGCATGGTCGGCAGTCTGTGTTGTCTCTGGTGCATACTAGAGGCGTTTGTAGGAGCATCCATCGACCCTCCCTCCGCTAAGGAGTCTTAGTGGCATTATCTAGTGGTCGTTCGGGGTATCTAGTGTACGGAGTAGTACGGAGGGTGGAGGGGCCTGAGGATCGCCATGGCAACGCTGGGCCGGCCCCTGCCTCAGGCCGCCCACATGCCGGATCGGGCAATCCCCAAACTCGCGCTGCGATGGAATCATCGCCGAAACTCCAGATTCCCAGATTCGCGATCTCTCCCCCCGGTCTTCGCTTCTGGCTCTCCCCGACCGCTGTTTCTTCCGTCTGGCCTCTTCCGCGTCTTCCCAGACAGGGGCTGCTGTCTCCCGACTCCTTGCTGCCCCTTCCTGCATGTTTCTCTCTTTCACCTTCCATAGCAGACGCTCTCGAACCCACTGTTTACCCCATGTCGATGGTGAACCTCCCCGTTGTTTAGTGCCGCACGTCAATTGCCTTGCAGACGGGCGGTCCGCGCAAGTACATAGCATTGTGTATACCCTCCTGTTGCTCGTCCCCCCAGCCCCCCAGGGAACTGGAAGGCACCACCACCACGCCCCGTTCTGGGTCCACTAACCCAGCAGCCACGACCCATATACCCACGTTGTGATCCCCCCGGATACCCATCTATCTCCGCCCCTCGGTCCTTGCCCGCAGTGGTACAGTTGCCTGTATGTACCATTGCCTACTTCAACGCCAGCGCGAGCACCTCACTCAGTGTATGCAGTTTTTGAGGGATTACGGCCCCGAGATGTCCCTGGACCCCCGCTTCTACCACCACATCGGTCACCTCGCCGGTCCGGGCTCCCAGTCCTCCGCCTCGTCCTCGGGGGCCTCCGCCATCACTGGCATCACTAGCCCGTCCGCCCTCTCGATGACCGCCTCCGCAGCGTCTATGCGGTCGACCGCGTCCAGCCCGTCGTTGCGCGCCCGTGAGAGCGTGGCCATCGCGACCCACCGCGCCGATGGCGTCTCCAGTCCCTCTGCCGGCGGCGGCGGCAATGTGCGGGTGGTCGTTCGGGTCAGGAAGTTCCTGCCTAGAGGTAAGTGTGGCTGGTGAAGGCAGCGTCAGGTAGAGGCTAATTGCGATCCCCATCTTCCGCATGATAGAGATCGACCGTAAGGCCAAGTGCCTGATCAGCATGGACCCGCACACCCAGATGACCAGGCTGAGGGCGCCCCAGAACCCGGAAGACGAGGGCAAGCCCAAATCGCAGGCGCGTGGAAAGGTCCTGGAAGATAAGTCCTTCATCTTCGACAATTCCTTCTGGTCCCATAACGAAAAGGACGGCCACTATGCCCACCAGGAAGATGTATACAACTGTTTGGGGGAGGAGTTTCTGGATCACAACTTTGAGGGATACCATACCTGCATCTTTGCCTACGGACAGACCGGCTCCGGCAAGAGTTACACCATGATGGGCACGGCCGACCAGCCCGGATTGATTCCCCGGACCTGCGAAGATCTGTTCCAGCGCATCGAAACCGCCGAAACCCCCAACGTCAGCTTCAATGTCCGCGTCTCCTACTTCGAGGTCTATAACGAACATGTGCGCGATCTCCTGGTGCCCCGGACCGACCCTCCGCATTATCTCCGCATCCGCGAGTCGCCCTTGGAGGGACCGTACGTCAAGGACCTGACGGAGGTGACGGCGAAGAGCTACGATGAGATCATGAAGTTCATGCGCAAAGGCGACATGTCCCGCACAGTGGCCAGCACCAAGATGAACGACACGTCGTCCCGATCCCACGCGGTCTTTACGATCACGCTCAAGCAGATCCATCACGACCTTTCGACTGATGAAACCACCGAACGCACCGCACGCATCCGTCTGGTTGATCTGGCGGGATCCGAACGAGCCAAGTCCACTGAAGCGACGGGCCAGCGACTGCGCGAGGGCTCCAATATCAACAAGTCCCTGACAACACTGGGTCGCGTTATCGCCGCACTTGCCGATCCCAAGCCTGGACGCCCGGGCAAACGCAAGGTTAAAGATGTCGTTCCGTATCGCGATTCCATCCTCACCTGGCTGTTGAAGGATAGTCTGGGCGGCAACTCAAAGACAGCGATGATCGCGTGCATTTCCCCCAGCGACTACGACGAGACGCTCTCGACCCTTCGATACGCGGACCAAGCCAAGCGCATCCGCACGCGGGCTCGGGTCAACCAGGACCACCTCTCCGCTGCGGAACGGGACAAGCAGATCGCGGAGATGGCGGAGACGATCCGCACGCTGCAGCTGAGCGTCAGCTTGGCGACGGCCAATCGGCGGGAGAACGAGAACCAGAATGAACGGCTCGAGGAGTACCAGCAGAAAGTGGAGAAGCTTCAGCGGCTGATGGAGGAGACCAAGATGGTCAGCGAGTGCAAGATCCGGCAGCTGCAAACAGAGAACGAGGCGATGCGCAACCATTTGAAACTGGCACTGGATAGCATCCGGAACCCGATTCCCCCGGTGATTGTGCCCAAGCGCCGAGACAGCCGGTTCAGTGTGGATGAGAGCGACGGCTCCCTGACGTGCAGAAAGCAGAGCCGTGCGCTGTCGCCGCCGTCGGACCTGGATTCGGAGCCGGAGCCAGACCTCATCTGGGAAGATGAGGACACGATCGAGAGTGATTCCAGTCATTTCGAGGCGCAGGAGATGCAGGCGCACATGGAGAACCTTCTGGACGACCTGAACATGTTCAAACGCAAGCTGGCGACGGATCATGAGCGATTTCGACCCAGCTTGCCTCTGGACGGGCGGAAGCGACGGCGAGCACTAGGGGATGTTTGGGCAAACAATCGATAGACGGGCGGCAGGTGGCTCTCTGTAATTACGGCGTTGGTTGGTTGGATGGATGGCTTGATTGCTTGCTTGATTGATTGATTGATTGGTGCACATATCCTGGGGTAGCTGGTTCTGATACCTCCGTTGAACCGGGCCCTGCTTGATTTCTTGTCTTTACTGGCCTTCTTTTTTTCATCTTTTTTTTCCTTCTCATCTTTTTTTTTCTGGACGATGACATGATTGTATGGTAGGATGACCGAGTGACACCTGACGATGTTTGATGCCCGAATCCCATGAACCATTTATGATTAGTCGATGCAGGAACCCATGCCGCTGAAGTGGCTTGATGATGACAGCGCTTCGGCAGGATGTGGTTAGAGAGTACTAGTAGTAGTAGAGTGCAGATGTAAAGAAAGGAGGCTGCTGCTCGAACTCTCCTTTCTCACTGCCCACATGCCTCCCATGCCTTCCTCCCGGAATCCTCCAGACTCACATCCATACTTTGATGGGCCAGTTGCTGTCGGGGCTCTGGGGGGTGTGGCAGGCCGGTAGGGCTGCTGCTTATGGCATCATCGCGGGCGTGGCTGTGAGTCAACCGGCCAGTCGACGGGCCACCCCCACAACCTCCGAAAAAGTCGCCAATGCCCCTCTCTCAGTAGTGGCCTTCAATTCCTCCATCGCGACTCCGACACCGACCTCTTCCTCCTCCTCCTCCTCCACTGCCACCACTCCTTCCACCACCACAACCACCACCACCATGCCTTCACAACCCCAACCGTCCCAGGGGACGACGACCCCCAGCGCCGCCCCGTCAACCTCAGCTCCATCCACCTCCACCTCCACCTCAGCCTCCAAACCCGCCAAGCAGCAATCCTCCAAGCAAGCCCCCAAACCCAAAGACAACGCCTCTTCTGCCCCCGCCGGCTCTTCCGACAGCGCAGCGCTCACACCCGCCGAACTGAAGAAGAAGGCCAAGGCCGAAAAAGCCGCCCGTCGGGCTCGCGAACGCGCCGACAGAGAACAGCCCGGTGCTGCTGGTGGTGCGCCCGGCACCCCGTCGGCGAAGAAGGGCGCCGCCGGTCCTGGGGCCGGCGGGAAGGACTCCGCCGCGACTACGGGCGCGCAGCAGCAGCAGCAGAAGGGACAGAAGCAGGCCCCGCGCCGCGGTTCCGCGCAGTTGTCGGGCCAGCCCAGCGCCGCGGAGGTCAAGAAGAAGCAGGAGGAAAAGAATGTCTCGGTCTTTGGACATCTGTATGGTCAGCAGCGTAGGACTACGGTGGCGGGTGCCGGCAAGGAAGTCCACCCTGCCGTTTTGGCTCTCGGTTTGCAGATGAGGGATTATGTGGTTTGTGGGAGCAGTGCGCGCTGTGTGGCGACGTTGTTGGCTTTTAAGAGGGTATGTCTATGTCTATGACGGTTTTTTTAGGTGTTTTTCTCTATTGTGTGTGTGTGTGTGCTTGGTTGGGTCCGCAGTCTACTTTTTGTCTACTTTTTCATTTCCTGTGTTATGTCTGCTAATGCGCTGCAGGTCATCGAAGCTTATACCACTCCCCTCGGCACGTCGCTCGCGCGTCACTTGACCACCCACCTGTCCCACCAGATCACCTACCTCTCGACGTGTCGCCCTCTGTCCATCAGCCAGGGCAATGCCATCCGCGCACTCAAGCTGGCCATCGCCTCTATCGACCCGTCCGTGCCCGAAGCCGACGCCAAGGCGACGCTGAGCGACTTCATCGACAGCTTCATCCGCGAGAAGATCACCGTTGCGGACCAGGTGATTGCGGGCAGCGCAGCGCAGAAGATCCAGGACGGCGACGTGGTGGTGACGTTTGCGGGCAGCTCGATCGTCAAGCAGACGCTCCTGACGGCACACAAGCAGGGCAAGAAGTTCCGGGTGTCGATCATCGACTCGCGGCCGCTGTTCGAGGGCAAGAACCTGGCGCGCACGCTCGCGACCGCGGGGCTGGACGTGCAGTACTCGCTCATGAACGGCATCAGCCACGCCATCAAGGACGCCACCAAGGTGTTCCTGGGCGCGCACGCCATGACCAGTAACGGCCGGCTGTACTCGCGCGTCGGCACCGCGCTGGTCGCCATGTCGGCCAAGGAGCGCGCCGGCGGCGTCGAGGTCCCTGTCATCGTGTGCTGCGAGACGGTCAAGTTTACCGACCGCGTGGCGCTAGACAGCATCGTCGTCAACGAGATCGCCGACGCCGACGAGCTGGTTATCGCCGAACCCGTGCAGCAGCTGACCGGCCTGCCCGATCCGGCGGCCCCCGCGGTGGAGTTGAAGAAGGGCAAGGCCGCGCCGCCGCCCGTCGAGCCCAGCACCGCGTCGCAGAACATGTCCTCGCCGCTGAAGGACTGGAAAGACTCGGCCAACCTGCAACTGCTGAACATCATGTACGATGTCACGCCGGCCGAGTACGTCGACATGGTGGTCACGGAGATGGGCAGTCTGCCGCCCAGTGCGGTGCCCATTGTCCATCGCATGAGTACGAACTTGTAATCGATGTGATGTCTCTTCTTCTTCTTTTTCTTCTTCTATGATCTCATATTTGTGGTTTGGGGCGAGGCTGGGCAATTTCGGGTTAGCTTGCATGTCTGTATTGTATTGATGAGGTTAAAAGTTGCTTTTAATGGAGTATTAGTAGTGGTGATGTGGTTGTGGTGATGTGGTGGTGTGCATTTCCGGATGCGGTAAGCGCCGATTTGATCTGCTTATCGCGAACTTAACGTTTATTCTTGTGACGCCGTAGTTCCTCCGACAACAAACCACACTTGACTCCGCTATAATAACCACCTCCTGGTACACTCAATCTACAATATATTTTACCAATCCAGAACAGTACCCTCCACCTACTCCAGAACAATACACCTACACATACACATACAACCAGACCTCAACCACAATCACAATCACAATCACAATGGTACTCCCCTCTCTCCTCCCTCCTCCCTCTCCTCACAACCATCCAAACACCACTCACTCTCTCCCCTCTCAAACTAACACCGACCAAAAAACAGAGCAAAGACTCCACCCCCACCCAAATCCACATGCACCACCCCCGCCTAGCCGACTACTTCGAAGACTTCACGCGGCCACACACCTCACTCACCTCCGCCTCCTCCACCAGCACCACCTCCACCACGCACCCCCACACCACACCACGCACCACGCACCCCCACCCATCCCACTCCCACTCCCAGAGCCACAACACCCTCTCCGCCTCCCCCACAAGCACGCCCTCGTTCCTCCCCGTCGAGGAAATCTACCTCCTGCCGCAGTATCAGCCGCCCAACCCGGAGGACGAGGATGATGTGGTGCCCGATCAGCATGCCGCGTTTGGGATTAATAGGGCTATGAGGGGGGGGAGGGAGGCCGTGTGGAGGGATTTGGGGCTGGGGGGGCTGGTAGATGGGAGTGCTTTTGGAGGGGTGGGGGGTGGGGGGGGATGGGAGGGGGGTGGGAGGGGGATTGGGACTGGGGCTGGGCCTGGGCCTGGGTTTGGGTCTGGAGGGGGCGCCGGGGGAGGGGGAGGAGGGGTGTGGCTGTTGCGGTTAGGGGGGAGGGGGGCAGGATGGGTGGGAGGAGGGTGGTTTGTTTAAGGTAGGGGTGGCCTTTTGTGCCTTTCTCGGTCTTGAAGGGGGAGATGCTGAGTGAAGTGGGTGATGTTGTGTCGCCTGGGGGGTTGGTTATGGGGAGCGGGCAGTGAGTGATATGAACTGTTGGATGGGGGGGTAATAGGGAGGGATACTTAGGGGGGATATTGGGGATACTCGACGGAGGATTGAGGGCTGAAGAGCCCTCAGACACTCTACGGGTCGGTCGGGTTTATAACAGGGTACGGCTGGGATGGGGGCTAGCATGGGGCTATTCGGAGTATGGGATGGTATGGGATGGTATACCCAGGACAGTTCTTAAGATGGTTCACGGAGTTATGGCAGGTTATGTATGTATGGTATACCCTTGTCAATATAGTCATTACGTCTCATTATGTATCTTCTTATATCCGGGTGATATCCACCCGCGCCCGCTCGTACAGCTTGTGTCCGACTTGCTTCTGCTCGCGCTCGTCGTCTGCTATCGTCCGCGCGTGGACCGCCATCTGCGCATACGTCCCCGCCCCGCGGCGCTTGGAGAGCGTCCCCGGGTTGATCACCGTGACGCTGTCGACGACCTGTTCTCGTTAGCAACGGCGCCTTGAACTGCTTGATAGATGCGTGGCGTATTGTAGATAGAGCTCATACCTTGACAAACGGCGGCAGCATACTCGGCACGATCAGCACGTCCGGCCGCACATTCCACCACTCGCCCAGCTTCGCGTAGCTCACGTCCACCATGGCCCCCGTGGCCAGCCCGCTCTCCGTGCCCGTGTGCGGCAACATCTCGCGCGCTGATGACGGGAACATCGGCTGGAAGTGCCGCTGCTCGATCAGGTACTTGGGCAGGCGCGTCAGCAGACTCCCCTCATGCGGCTTGCCGTGCAGCACCTCCTCGCGGCGCAGCTCGTACAGCACGTCGTGCGAGCACATGCCGATGACGGTCTCGTTCAGCGACAGCGTCACGGGGTTCGACACCATGCGCACCTGCTTCGGCAGTCCCAGCTCCTTCTTGGGCAGCTGTTCCTGCGGCCACGACACGTGCTTGCTGACCGCGTCGCGCACTGACGGCACCAGCACGATCGTGATGCTTGGCACCGCCGCTACCAGCCGCTGCAGCGGCGCCGTGATGCAGTGCCGGAACACCGCCGTCAGTGTCGCCGTGTCCGGGTCCAGTCCGTTGATCTCCGGCAGGTCGAAGTCCCCCGAGGCCAGCAGGGGGTGCTCGATGTCCAGGAATGGGCCCAGCAGGATGACGCTGTCAGCGTAGCTTTCCGCCGCCTTGCGGCAGATTTCTTGCAGCGGCTCGAACTCGAGGTTGTCGTCTGCTGTGTAGGGCCCGGAGGCGATGATGATGTTCAGGGGCGCGGAGCCCGCTTCGTCCAGTCGCTGGTTGATGGTTTCGAGGTTGACGATTGATGAGGCCGCTGGCGGGAGGAGCGGTGGGGTGAGGATCTCCTTCACTGAGAAGTAGTTGCCCGATGCGTTGATGCCGCGCAGGGCGACGATCTGTCCAGGGAAAAAGTTGGCTGAAGGTACTGATTCCAGGTTCAACGGAACCCGGAGACCGGCTCCGGTCCGTCTTGATGTCTCAAGTACAAGCGACGCCGTGTTGAGCTTGCCCTCCATGCTGTCTGATGCGATGCGTCCCACCGCCACGATCTCGCTGGTGCTCTGCGTCGCCGCGCTGCCGAATGTGATCTCGTCCGTCTCGTACTGCTTCTGGAACAACGCCGTGAACTCGTCGATGCGGTCGTCGAGGATCTCCGACGCTTCCGACAGGCGCATGGCCATCGGCTTGTATCCGAATTTCTTCAGGTCTGTGTTCGCTGTGGGTCGTATGCGCGCCTCGGGGTACGGCGCCATCGGGGTCTCGACTTGTGAAAGGTGGGAGTTGATGGTCTCGATGGTCTCGCCGGCGTTGGCGCGTTCTGAGAATGGGATGGATCTATCTTGTCAGTTTAGTTCTTCCATTGCGCAGCGCGTACTTACTGTACTCCATCACCGTTTGTCAGTCTCACGGGTGTCTTTGTGCCCATGGGTGACCCGGTGTGGTCTGTTCTTCCGATCTTGGACATGGAAGGCGACGAAGCAAAGTCGGCTTTGCGCTTCGCTGATCCGGCGTTGCTCCGTGAGGTATTCGGCGTCAGTCCGTCCAGCCTAGCCGGGTAGAGTCAGTCAGTCCGTGTCCGCCTGTCCGTATTCCTAGTCGTAGATAGACTTACATGCCAAAGACATCGGATTTCACAGAAGCGCGCGGGGTAGCCGTGGGTGCAACCCGTTTTTCCGTCTGTCTGCCAGCTCTGCCGCGGGATTCTCGTTCAAGTGTATCCTGGACATCTTTCTTGAACAGTCGCACAGTGCTCAGGTCCAGCTTCAGCTCGTCCGGGCCCATCTTCAGGCAGTAGGACTCCCATTTGTAGAACAGCTCCTGCGCGGAGATGGAGTGGATGCGCAGGGTTGACTGCAGCTCCGCGAGGATATCCTTAGGGATGCCATCGGGGGCGGCGGCGGCGAAGAGCTCGTTAAGCTCTGCGACGGTGTCGTCCATGGTGACGGTGACGGTGGGGGGGAGACTTGATGGTGTTTGTAGGGGATCCTCAGTCAGTCAGTCGCACTCCGCATGTCCGGCAATAATCCAGTCGAGAGGCGACGCGAACGCGAACGCGAGACGCGCCCGGCCACACCGCCTTCCGGAAGGGACCGCGCACTACCAAGATGGTAATTTGCGACGGCCTCGCGATTAATGATTATTGTGCAGGCCGGCGATCGGTGGGCCTGTCGATCAAGGTTGCGCCCGGCCATCTTGGCCTGCCGCCGCGAAAGCACACCCGGGAACAAAATTGCCGTGCCTGACCCCCCCTGATTGCCCAATTGCCTAATTGTCATCTCGTGGAGCAGGGCCTCGTTCTCATCAGTTCCGATCCCTTGAGCTCCAAGCATACACTTCCTCCTCCATCCACACTCCTTCACTCCCTCCTCCCACACCATGAGCGCTCCTTCAGAACCCCCCGCTGCCTCTGCGGCCGACAATGCTACAGCTGTCAACAACTCACAGACCACTTCTGACCCGTCATCTTCGATCCCAACTGAAGCCCAAGCATCTCCCGAGACTACTGCTACACCTGCCGAGCCCACTCCGGTCCAGGAACACGATATCGAACGAGAGCTCGAGCTGCCATTGTCCGCCGCCGACGGCCTCATCCAGAAGCCCTTCCCCCGTCCCCTGGAGTCCGCCCACCCCACGCCGCCGCCCCAGCTCACCCCCGACCAGGACGCGAAATACAAGGACGTGTTCACTGCCGTGTCCGAATGGACCTCCGTCCCGACCACGTCCGCCAAAAATGCCCCCACCGCCCCCCTCACCGACACCGAGCGCATGTTCCTGACCCGCGAGTGTCTGCTGCGGTACCTGCGCGCGACCAAGTGGAATGTCGCCGAGTCCGTTGCGCGCCTGCAGCGCACGATCACCTGGCGCCGGGAGTATGGGGTCGAGAAACTGACCGCGGACTTTATCTCCGTTGAGAACGAGACCGGGAAGCAGGTCACCCTGGGCTACGACATCCACGGCCGGCCGTGTCTCTACCTCCTGCCGTCGAAGCAGAACACGGAGACGAGCGATCGGCAGATCCAGCATCTAGTCTTCATGCTGGAGCGCGTGATCGACCTCATGGGCCCCGACCAGGAGACGCTGGCCCTGATCGTCAACTTCAAGGAGACCAAGTCGGGTCAGAATGCCAGCATCGGCCAGGCCAAGCAAACCCTCAGCTTCCTGCAGAACCACTACCCCGAGCGCATGGGCCGGGCGTTGGTGATCAACAGTGAGCGACCTCTCCCCGCATCCCAAGCGATCTGTCTCTAACCAATCAGTGCCCTTTATGATCATGGGATTCTTCAAGATCATCACCCCGTTCATTGACCCCCAGACCCGTCAGAAACTCAAGTTCAACGAGGACCTGTGTCTGCACGTCCCTCCCGGCCAACTGATGAAGTCCATGGGCGGCGAGGTCGAGTTCCGGTACGAGCACTCGATCTACTGGCCGACGCTGAACAAGCTCGCCGACCACCGCCGGGCTGCATACACGGAGCGCTGGATCCAGGGCGGAAAGCGCATTGGCGAGTTGGAAAACTACCTGAAGACCGGGACCAGCCCGAGTCTGTCGCAGACTGAGTCGCAACCTGCTGCCTGAGCTCTCACTTGCACTTGCACATAGCTTGTCCATTTCTTGATCATTCGCCTCTTGAAGTTTCCTCCGAGCGTCTTCCGGTTGCATGGCGATGATATACTGTATAGAACATGTTGAATAATTCTCGGGTCCTGATAGATCGGTCTGTTTTATATTGGGGCTCTTCCAGTGGAGTCTGTCATATATATTTTTATTTCTCGGGTTTACTTCGTTATGGGTGGGTAGTTGAGATACACGATAGGCATTTAAATCAAAGCATTCCCTGTGCTGAATTATGACCCGTAGTCCGCCACGGCGCCAATGCCCGGCTACTGAAGCTTTCTCCGCAATACCCCGTCACGTGCGGGGATGGCGGGGCATATGGATGCCCAAGGCACCGAGAAGAGAAAATGGAGCACAACCAGCCAGGGTGACTGCGGGGATTATTTTGGGAGGTGGCAGCAGTAGAAGATAGTTCAGCACCTAGGTACGAGGTAGAAGGTGTGGCGTCATTTTCTCTCACCCTTTTAGGCCGACAAGCATGCAACAAAGCCCCAGGACCCTGGTATCAACCCCGGATGGATGGCCCCTCATTTTCAATATAATCGGGGGTGCAGCAATATGGGAGGATCCTTCCTGGGAGAAAGATCAGTGATGGACGATTAGATATCTGTAGCCTGACAGCTGACAGCTGCAATATGGAGCTTTAGTTTCCTCTGAAGTGATCAGTCACTTCCAAGCCCTTCTGGCCGGCCACTGCCAGTGCGCCTTGTATCCCAAGGTGTCTCCGGATCTCATGCGGTACCGGGCAGCTGAGCGCCTGAGCACCTGAGCCGCTGGCGGACAGGAATAAGTCGGCCTGCTATTGCTCGATGGAGTCATGGACCCTGGGAAGTCCTTGTGCACCCGCAGCATGCCCCTCATGCCCGGTCTGGAGGGGTGCAGCGAGGGGAGAGAGACGGAGAAAGCTCCCCAGCGGCTGCAGGCCCCCACGGGCAGAATGAGCGTTTCCGGCCCGCCGCCCTCGACCGACGACACAACCACCGACACCACCGACGACCACCACCACCACCACTTCTGCGACTGCGACTGACTGCGACTGAGACTGCTGCTGCTGCTCGTCCTTTTTCTTCCTTGATTCCCACCCCCATTTCTCGACCTCCGTCTCAGCCTCAGCCTCGCCCACCCTCTCCACCGACCGACTGTCCCCCTCCCC